TTATCCAGTCTTTGACAGACCCACTAAACGTGGTGAACAAGGACTGGGTAGCCTCGTAACGCATCCTCATAGAGCAGCATGGCTTTCAGCTAAGGGTCTCACTTCTCTAAGTATAGCCCCTGCAAGCCATGCAACAAGCAACCTACGCTCCGCCAAAGTAAATTTGATCAACGGGAAGGAAGTCGAAAGGCTCACTTAAAGGATCTTAGCTACTCATGTCCCGACACGTGATAATTTCAACGGATGCCCGCCCCGGACGTTCTTCCCAGCAATCATGTACTGCCATAAGGTACCGGATTTATTCAGGGAAAACTGCGTTCAATCAATCCTTTGTCATGCCTAGCACAGCTGCTTGGGTAATAAGCGATTTATTCGTGTTTGGTGCTGCCACGTGTCTGCTACCTGAGAACACATACATAGCCAAACACGCTTATTGCTTCTTGTCCTGTTGGCTTCCACAGGTTGGCTGCAGCCAACATAACGTAGCGACCTTCAAAGGCAGTCTATCACTGGCATGAAACTTTTAGCACTGGTATCTTTGATTTAAGCAGGGAGGAACCTCAAGGTTGGTTTGTTGCAGCTTGCACTCTCTGCTTTTGTGGTCCTACAACCTGGAGCTGAATAGGAACCGAACGCTGACTTCGGTCTCCTGGCGGCTCCCCAATAAACGCTATCCTTCGATACGCTACTACCACCCGTGGCCATTTCATAGAGCGTTTCCGTAGTCATATCTTTACTGCATAGGGTCCCTGGCCATCCAGCGCCGCTGCGTTTTGTATGATTCCATATCTGAACCAGGTAACAGCCCAGTTCTACCACACGCCCATATGGCCACCACCTCCGTTTTGATTGGCCATTGATTGTACACAAAATAATTTGAGATACTCTTGAAATTTACTTATGCACGCAAAAATTAAGAATGATGATTCTTAGTAGAAGCAGGTATGGGAACGAGCTCGCCAAAAGAATGTTTCGAATTTTAATTTTTATACTAAACTTTAAAATTTTGAGGAGACAAAGTGGAAAGCATCTTGCCCACAGATTAATCTTGAGCTGGCCTGGTTTTACTGAAGAACCGTTACACAGAAAAAGTGATGGGGCAGTGCAACTCCTTATCACAAGTGGAAGTCCTCGTAGCCCCTGACTGTTCTTGTATAGTTCGGTAAGAGCACCATAGCACCATACTGCAACAAAGCAGTGAGCACGCGCTTCAAATTTTTTTTCATGAGAAAGCCCTCGTACATTGTTGGCCAAACAGTGCTACTCCTTGGCTGAATGAAGGGTGAAAAGGTGCCCCAGCTCATCAGAGAAATCTGCCCAGTATAGACGAGCATTGCCCTCCAAGGTTTTGAAATTTATGGTGATAAACCTTCGTCTAATAGGAAAGCTAGGCCTAACACGAGACCTGTAGAGCATCTCACCGCTTTGGCCTCGGCAACCTCTCGGGCTTTCCTGGTCTCTGGTTAACATAACATAGTGGCCTTGCCGCAAATATAGATACTCTTAATGTCGGTATAAATGTATGTATGACTTCTACCAAGAGTGTAAGCAAAGCTCCTCCATTACTGAAGCGCAATTATACCTGCTAGGTAGTATTCCTCCGTAAGGGCTGTACCCTGCTGCCATACAGCATTCCCTCCGGTCCAAGTCGCAATATTTGGGGGTGGAGCTAGAGGTATTCTATGCAGCACGGTGCCACCAATTTTGAGAGGTTTATTAGACAAGTGCAACTGTAAAGCGCGCTGGAACTAGATTGCGCCGAGAAAAGCCTTTTGTTTTATGCGGACCCTTGAACTTCCATAAGCTTTCATTATTAGCCGCTCATGTGAAAGGTGTGCACATCAGGCTAATATTCTCCCCATGGATGGAGATAAGCGCCTTAAACCCTGGTCACAGTCTGAGTCCATGCCTTCATCTGCCGTCATCATCCGTTAGAATAAAGTTAGTCACTGTAATGAGCGGACACGTGCGGTGGCTGGTAATGAACTGCTTCATGTGTGTGGAATATGGTGACAGAGTGCTGCGAAAAAGGAGTGGCAGGTGTTCCGCACATGCACTTAAGTGTTACCAGGACCAATGCCTTGTGGATGTCGCAGATTTCTACTTGCCACTACCAGCATACATGATAAATGGAAGATAAGCCTATGAGGCTCTGTGTTGAATAGCAGTAGGTAGTACACGCTAGACACCCCAAAAGATCTTTCAAACACGTCATTGCCAGCTCTCCTGCGAGCAAAATATTTGCTCACGCAGAGAGGCTCGCAAAACGAGGAAGCACTGCGGATTTTACTACAAAGCAATAGCACTGCAAGGAGGCCATGACCAGCCCACAGTAGTACAGAAAAACGGAAGGCTGCACGTGGATACACCTCAGAAACTTCAGCTGTATTATGGCTCAGTAAACAGATTTCCAGATGGACGTAAAACATATCAAGTGAATATCCATGGGCACTCATAAACCTAATTTCCTAAAGCTGTTTCTCGCTTTGATAACCGTTACTTTTGACACTGCTAAAAGCGCACGAATCTCTCTCGATGTGGTCCACAGCATGTCAGGCTGCCAGTTTGGCAACTACTGGTATCGCTGAGCATCACCTGCCGCAATGAGATCTTGAAAACGGCGTAGGAGCCACAAGCAGCAGGCAGGGTATGTCCAGCGTGCAAATAGAATAAATCCAACTGCGTATACGGGCACTCGTCACCTGCACTAGGGAGCTTTGCATCACTCTACGGATTCCAAGAGATACTTATCGGAACAAAGGCAGCACCTCCACAATGTAATCTGCGCTGCTGATGGGACCTTGAACGCTACTCACGCAGCCAATCTAACAGCTTACACAGAGTCGGGGGGCGTGGCTACCAGCACGTGTAGACCGCACGTGCTCGCGCCAACAAAGACCGATCTTCTCACGTCAGTGGTTGTTGTTGCTGCTGCTGCTCTTGGAGCATCCAAATGAAGCTGGGTTGGGGATGTTGCTCGGGCACCAGCAGGCCAGCCCCCAAGGCGTAACAATGCACAGCAAGCGCTGGTTATCTGCTTTTGCTGCTGCTCTTGGCCATCAGCCCCAACCACACTCCCACTACAAAAGCAGTCCCAGCTGTACGTACAGCTAAAACGCCGCCGGCTTTGCCACTGTGCTCTATCTGCCGTTCCCCCATCCAACGATGTGCAACCACAAGCCCGGTTGTGTGGTCCAGACGAAACAGAGTGCAGAAGCGGCGCTGACTGCTCACTGTGCTGCAGTGGATGTATAAGGACCTCCTCCTGAAATAGTGGGGTATCCGCCATATCGTATGCCGCATGCGGCAGTAAGCAGCAGCAGCCAAAGAGCTCGAACGGCATCCCGTCTGCTGCAGCCACTCCTGAAGGTGCCACATCAATTTCTCGGTAGCAGCCGCCCCGACGCACATCAAACAGCAGAAAACTGCCGCCGCTGCCACTGCTTTTGCTGCTGTATGGGAAAGGGGCAACAATAAGGTCTTCCTGCTGGTCCACAGCAAATCGCCATTTGTTACACAGGAAGCTGCTAACGCTGGCCTCCCGAGGAGGGCGGAATTCGCGAACGACGCATGCAGCCAACCTCCTGCAGAAACAGCGTCGACACATGCCACACATGCAAGGACGCAAAAGCGCAACAACAGCAATCGTGACAGCAGCAGCCTCATAATCAGCAGCCTCATAATCAGCAGGCCCATAATCAGCAGGCTCATAATCAGCAGCCTCACGATCAGCAGGCTCATAATCAGCAGCCTCATGAATCAGCAGCCTCATGAATCAGCAGCCTCATGATCAGCAGCCTCATGATCAGCAGGCTCATAATTAGCAGTCTTATGATCAGCGGCCTCATAATTGGCAGCCTCATGATGAGCAGGCTCATAATTAGCAGCCTCATGATCAGCAGCCTCATGAATCAGCAGGCTCATAATTAGCAGCCTCATGATCAGCAGCCTCATGAATCAGCAGCCTCATGATCAGCAGCCTCATGAATCAGCGGCCTCATGATCAGCAGGCTCATGATCAGCAGCCTCATGATCAGCAGCCTCATGATCAGCAGCCTCAGCTAAAACAGCATACCTGCCCTGAGGTCCCTCCTGTGTCGACTGCGCTGCACGCCGCAAGTCTAACAGCTGCAAGCCCTCAATCCCTCTGCGAACCACGACAGCGTCTACATGCGTCTGAAGTGGAAGGATGCCACTGACAGGCCCGCCGATACCGGCGCTGCAGATTCGCTGCTGCAGAGCGATCGGAAGCGGACTTCGAGGATCGATAGCCACGACGCCTCCCTCCACGCCCCCCACAAGCGCAACTCCTGGCGCATCAGCAGCCGCGGAAGCTGCTGCCGCCTGTCTCGCTGAGAACCACGCAGCAGCATAACACGCATGCGGCAGCAGCCGCCGCGCTCGATCTGTAGGTTCCCAAGTCTGGTGCATCATGAGCTGCCCAGGGCGAGGGCGCAGAAGCTGAACAGAGGGTCGCCTGCCAGCGAGTACGAAGAAAGGTTCGACGCCTTCTGTCAGCGCTGCTGCGGGAGAGGCACTGCGACGACGAGACAGACTGGAGGCACATGCCCACGCGTCTTCTGCCGCTTCCCTGTTCGCCCATAGCGTGCCGCTGCTGCCACTCGAAAGCGCCCGCTCGACTACGAGGCCTCCCTTGCTGCCGGCGCTGCTTCGCAAACAGCACACTGCGAGCTGGCATGCAACCTCAACGTCCACTAAACGGCCTCCAGCCGCGAAGGCAGCCGCTGCAACAGCGGCACTGGCGTGAGGGGCGGAGGCATCCGCGGGGAGAAACGCCGTCGCTCGTGCCTCCCGCGAATACGGAGACGCCCCCACACCAGCGCTGCGCTCCTGAAGCCTTCGCCGCCGCTCGTCTACCCTGGCTGCTGCACGGGAAGCTCGTGCCCGTGGCGATGGAAAAAAGGCGGAGGCAGCAAGCTGCAGCAGCCGACTCCCCGTCTCGCCGCTCATCGACAGCAGCAGCTGCCAGTTGCAGCGAGATGCCTCCTGAGCCTCAGCCCCCTGCAGCAGCGACCCCTGATCTGGAATGCACGCGCTGGCAGCGGCAAGACAGACAAAAGGGGAGAATCCAAGAGGCAGTGGCAAGTGCAGGTGCTGCAGCGCCGTGGCAAACGCCCTAGCTCTAAAACCTGCTCTTTCTTCGCTCCTGCCGCTGTTGCACAAGCGCATGCGACGGAGAGCAAGCAGCAGGTTCCCTGGAGGAGGCCCTGCAGCAGCTTCTGCCGCAGCATTGCACGCAGCAGATGCTGCATGCAATGCAAAGACAGAGGGCCGGCCTGCACCGACGAGCGGCTTGCATGCATCATGATGCGTAACAGCGTTAGGAGGGTAGGACCCTTTACGCCTGCTACGTCGTCTTCCCCTAATGCTGCTTTCTGCGCGATCGCTGCTGCTACTGCTATTGCTACTGCTGTTGCTGCTATTGTTTGTGCTGTTTCTACTACTGCAAAGCCTACGCCGACGCCTACGGCTGTGCATGCTAGGGGCGATTTCTACAGTGCAGGGAACAGGGCGGCTGTCTGGCTGCTGGGAGTTCCCTAGCTGTTTGATGTCACCGCTGCACTGCCGCTGCTGTTGCTGCTGCTGCTGCTCTCGCAGCGCCTCTAAGCTCCTTTTGCGGCGACTCACGTGCTGCTTTGCATGCCGCCACGGCCGCTGCTGCCCTTCATACCCAAATCCGAGACGCCGATATTCGTGCTGCCCTGACTGCTGCCGCTGGGAAGCATGCTTTCGGCGTGTACGTGGAGGGTTGTCTGCGGCAGGCACGTCTGATTCTTGTCGCTGCCATCGTGGCTGCTGCTGCTGCTGCTGCTGCTGCTGCTGCGGCTGCTGCTGCTGCGGCTGCTGCGGCTGCGGGTTGATAGCTGAGGAAGGCTGACGCAGTGAATGAATTGGGAAATATCTCTGGCGTTCTGCATTCCAGTAGAACCCCGGCAGATCCATGGGCATATCACTATGAGGGTCTCGTCTCTGTTTGAAGAAAAGGCATTTCTAGACGCAGCTTCGGATGCTGCCTCAGCGCATAGCGCCTGCTCTGTCTCTCTCTCTCTGAGGCTGGCGTCTCCGGCAAAGCTGCCCGTTGCAAGGAGGGGGCTTGCTGCTGCGCCCCTTGCCCTCACGAGCAGCAAAAGCAGCAGAAAAAGCAATAGCGAAAGCAGCAGCTACACTGGGAGACGCGCGTGTGCGCAGCGGTGTCGGTTTGCGTAGAGGATCTAGCGGGGTTGCTGCGAATCGAGGCACAAAGTCTTCCACGGCAGCTCATCCCCCGCCCCGCCGGCAGGCTGCTGCTGCATAATGAATGCTACAAACGAGGCCGGATACACCCAACGGCGCTTATTTTTGCTGCATGCGTCCACTGCCGCAGGCTGGCTGTAGCGGCTTATCGCCGTTGAGCAGCACGGTTCTCTCTGGCCGCAGGCTATGGCCCCTCTCCACCTGTGAAACCACAGCGTTACTCGTGGCTCAAAGAAGCCACCGATGAGGCGTTCTTAGTTCAACTCATTGGAAAGCCAGCCAGGTTGGACCATGGTACCTAAAACCCCGTTGGGGGGGGCGGGCCCTTAGGGGGGGCCCCCTTGGGGATACACCACCCAACGGGGGAAAGCGGTTGCTGCTGCTGCGCATGCGGTCGCAGCCGCTCCGCGGTGGCAGAGAAAGTGTATTTGACCCGCAAACTTAATTCGAATTCTATTTCCGGTGGGCCCTCGAGTGCTCCCCGCGGAAGAACGCACACCCCTCCGCCGCTGTTCGGCTGCGGGCAGTGGCACCAGCCGCAGTGCTGCCCTCTGAGACAGCCTCAGGAAGTTTTTCTTTCCCTGCACCTTCCCCCTAAGTCCTTGGTACCACGGAACCCCTCCTTGATCAAGGCGAGGCGAGGCGCATGCGGTGTATCCGGCAAAGGCAGACTGGCGAGGGGCCCCCTGTGGTGCACGAGCACGGCCCTCTAAGCAGCAGCAGCAGGCAAACAGTGCAGCAGCAGCACGCAAGCAGCTGCTGCCGCAGAAACGGCATTTGTAGCTCCGACAGCCGCGCAGAATACAGGCCTCCTTCCCCTAGATTAGGGGCCACCAGCTGGACAGACACACCGCCTTCACCATCAGCAGCATGAGGAGCACCAGCGAGTCTATCGCCCCTCCGACAGGCACAGCAGACACTGCGCCAGGATTCTCCGCCGACGACCTCGAAAGGGCCAGAGCTGCTTTTCGCGTCTTGCTGGAAGTCGCTTGCTGCTTACTCCCAGCTGCAGCCGCCCCTGGAGAGGGAGCAGACTGCACTCCAGCGGCCACAGCAGGCGGGCAAGGAGGGTTGCAAACCTCGGTGCTGTTGCTGCTTACGCGCCTTTGCGAAGAAAGCTGGGATCCCAATCTCCTATCGGAGATGATTGTGGCAGCTGAGGAACACAGAGCCGAGTTCATAAGGAATGCTCTCGCACAAAGGCAGGCAATGCAGTGAGCACCCTCACCAATGGCATATACTCAGCATCAGGAACTCTTGCCCCACTCTCTGAAGGAAGCTCGTCTCAGGGACCGATCTTCATGTGCATAGACATCATGAATACACAAAGAAAGTCGTTCACTTAAGTATGCTTCTCGGGAGTATCAGGGGCACCAGCGGTAGCGCCTGCTTAGTGAAAAGATGCTGCGATCGAAGGGCTGCCACTATTTCCGGGGGTTCCTTAGAGGTTTCGCGCTTAGCACAACTGCCACTGGCTCTGCGGCATCATAGGGACCAGTTGGTACGACCTTCCTAGGGTGATGCCCCTACCGCAACTCTCCACTTTATGCGTAGCTTTACTTCCTATCCGCGAGGCCTATCTCAGCTCCTCGGAATCGAATTTCCTCCGAGGAAAGGCACAGGATTCCCCGGGGGCCACGGCTAGGGGGTGGGTGTTTCTCTCGCTACTCTTATGGTCAAGAACGTGCGATTTTGCACCTCCTTTATGCGTAATACCGGTGTAGTAGGCATCACTCAGGGGCACTAATGAAACGCAGTCCTACATCTTTTGGCTACGTGCATGCTTCGAGCTTGACGGGCGCTTCCACTAGCTGGCCAATTTTGTGTGCTGAATTACATAAAAACTAGGAGGTGCGGTGATCCTTTTACCAGTCGAGTGTCTGGCTATTAGCTACGAGAGCTAGGTATATGCTACAGGGGTTACATGTTTTTCAAAGAACGGGGTTCTTGGTAGGTTGCAGGACTGGGCTAGCCACGGGGACAGACGACTGTGCTCCCCTTAGAGCTTCAACAGCAGGAACGCTCAGCTTTCCGAAAAGGATTCTGCCAGTCTATTGCACCGCAGTCTTCCGTAAAGTCCCCTAGAGGCTCATGAGGCACGAGACCTTGGGGAACCACGGCTCTCCCAGTGTTTTGCGCTGCACGGCTCAAGAAGCCCTCTCCCTTTACAGGATGATAAAAATAATATCGACAGATTCATCTATTCTAGATGTTTGGGTACATTCAGCTTTCGAAGAACTGAGGGCTTAAGATGGCAGCTTCCACCATGGGGGACTGAACAGTGACCCTGGATTGAAGCGGCGGAGGCCTCGAAACTTGAAGGTGCCCAAGCCTGCCTTAAGAAACAGTCATAAACAAAATATCTATATGCTGAATGTTTATCGTGTGTTTGAGGTTGGGGGGGTAAAGCACACACACGCACGCAAACTAGTAGCCCAAGGAGGCGCAGATGCCTTGTAAGCCCCTTTCTTCCCGCCGGAAAGGGAGTCCTCGTGGGTAGTGTAACAGGCCGCTGCGGGGGAAACTATGGAGCAGTCCCTTAGGAAGCTATGTCATGTTTATTTACAGGAAAGCAAGAGAGTATGGGTTTCGTTTGCTACGGGTGTATGCCGCAAACCAGAGGCCAGTGGTCGCAAATCAGCCCCCTTGGACCTCAAGCAGCAGCTCCCCGAGAAGTTGCGTGAGCAGAACCACGGCATCACACGTAAAATGTGGTGTGTCTCTCAGTTTCAAATCGTGTTGGCATTGTGTTTTGCGCCAAGGTATTGATCGCCTCTTGCCTTGCGCCCTGGTCCAGTTCGAGTCACCTCACCTGGCGTCTGTGATGCAGCGCTGTTGTATGTATGCTGGCTTGGACGTTTGTGCGCCTTCTGCGTTATAGATCATCTAGCTCAAAGTGTAGCGCATCCTGCCATTTACAGGCCTTGCTCGGGAGTAGGCCGCTGTCCTGCGGCCTCAGTCGTGTGGTTGAGCCTTATGGCCCTTTCTCTTTCCCACTCCCTCATTTCTCAGAGTTCCTCAACTCGGAGATGCATGCAGGCCTGTGAGAGCTTGTACTGGCCACGGCAGAAACAGACACAGCATAAGTTGGAGCACCAACAGCAACCTCCCTGCAACAGTTGTGAGTCTCGAGCTCTTTTGGGCAGGGGACAACTGAAGGGATAGTGACTGGTTTTACCGGGATATGGATCCTGCTAGGGCTTTGTTTTCTTTGTTCGACTTAAGTGCAGCAGCGATACATGTTGCCCAACTACTAATGTGCTCTCATTTGCTGTGTATGCGGCTGTGCGGCCCAGCTGAAGTGGCGCTAAAGGGCACCCCAGACCTTTCAATGCTTGCCCACGCCTCTACGTTCTTGCCGATTCCAGACGCCTCCCCCAGGGGCCTGGTCTCTATACCTCCTTCAACTTGTTTGCCAGGTGGCTGCCTCCCACTTGATCTGTCCCTGATAAACGATTTGCAGCAGGAGACGCATGTGCAGTACGGCCAGCACGCTCTCAAGGATCCGGATTTCGCAGTGCTCCAGTCCAGTAAAACGACGCCTTCTTTCATCAGGCTGAATCGTATTGGGGAGCTCGCCGCGCAGTGGACCGCCAGGAAGTTGTCTGGGTCAGAGAAGTGGTGCAGTGTCTGTGTAGCATCTTCGATCGAAAAGGCAAGGAAGGAGAAGTCTAAGGGCGGGAGGAGCCGCCCCTGCTTCTCCGGAGATGACGGGGGAGAGCCTTTTCCCTCGAGTGCCTCTCCACTTGCAGCAGCGTCATCGCGAGCGGCTCCAGTAAGCCCCAGAAATATGCCGATTTGGCCTCGGAAGGAACCAGGCTTTTGGGGATGGTCTCCTGCAGGCTGGTCCCCTCAGGAGTCCCTGAAAAATTTTTTGCGGGACGGTGCTATCCTGGCAAAGCACGCAGTGGCTCCCAATCCACCGGACTCATGTACTAGCAGCACCGAGAGCAACACCGCGAATGCCCTCGAAGGTATCACTGTTACGCATTACGAAGAGTCACTGCCTTTCCTCCAATCTGCGTTGCGCCTGGTGGCTCGCAATCGCTCCCTAGCCAGGACGGTAGCACAAGAAGCGAAGCGACAAAGAGGAGAGTGGCTTAGCCCGTGCAGCGGTCCTAAGGGTCTTGGATGCAGAAACACGGAATGTTCGACAGATGTGCCGCCGTCTGTCACTTCTCCAGGGTGCATCAGTGGCACAAACTCAGCTAGGTGTCTCTCCGCAAGCGCTGTTGAGGCACTACCCCCAACTTCTAGCCCCTCAGCAGCAGTGGACAAGGTCCAGCAGCAGCTTCTGCTAGCTGTGGAGAAGGCAGGCAGTAAGAATAGGAGAGTGGTGGCGCCCTCCCGGATTACTGGATTCGGTCCTACAACCCTGCCAGCCTTCAGTAGCTTCCCTGTTTTCATCGCATCTGCCCTTTTACGTGAAGAATCCTTCAAGGAGTGCGAAGCGACTGACGGTCTAAAACACAACTCCAGCTTTGTTGCTAGCAGTCTATGTCAAAGACGGGGTTCGTGGAGCTAGGCTGCAGTGTTTTTCTGGCCCCCTAGACAGTATTTCGGAGGCCGTACTAGGCTGGTGCCGCGAGGCAGTAGCCGCTCAGCAGGGCATCTACTAGCATGTCTACCACGTTATGGAAGTATTTGCCCTTTGGAAGCGCTGCAATCATCCCCATTGCACACGCGTTTGGCATATGTTGGAGTGATGCTCGCACTGGAAATACGCATAATTTGGCAAGTAGCTGCGCGACCCTATATAATCCGATACGTGTTCATAGATGTACACGTATATGCGCCTATGTACACATCGGGAGTTATGTATACAGGGATGCGTGCTGCCAGTTGTCAGCTGCTGTGTGGTGGTAATACTGCAGCTAAAGTCGGGGTCTGACTGTACTGTAGGTATACAGAAGAGGAGCTCAACACCCGTTCTGCTACCCCTTTGTTGGTTTGCTCATCGCAAAATCCCCCAGGAAGTCAATAGCCGCGGCTTCTAAGCCTGGGATTTCCCTACCGGCACAGGTCCTATAGCTCAGTTGGTTAGAGCATTCGGCTAATAACCGAAAGGTCGCCGGTTCGAGACCGGTTGGGACCAAGGTCGCGTCTAGCATTTTCCTTAGGCGTTGTTACCTTTGGCGCGGTGTTTATAATGCCGAGACGTAGCGTAAGGTCGTTTTTTCCATTGTTACGTCTCCTAAAAGACTGTGCGGCGCAGCTTCCCAGGCACAAGGAACCTGTTGGACATGCACAAGTCACAGATGCCGACGCAGGTATCTTCCATTCACGAAATAGCAATAGCAGCACTAGAAGTGGTGATAAACAGTATAAATGCCTTTTCTATTCGCACAATGAGCCCTAGACTGCTTCATAGGCCTTACCTATCCTCTCGTAGCAGCGCAGCCATAGAGGCCCCTCTCCCTATGCCGACCGACAGTGCGAGGCACTCGCTGCTGAGGAGGGACGCGGGAGCGTAGAGGTATTTACCAAGGTTTTCGTCCTTTCAGCTTTAGAATACTGAGGTCAGATGACAAAAAAGCCTTTATTGTGTGTTCATTTGGTGTGCTAAATAAACAGCTCTACATGCATCTGGCAACTCCAGGCCCCTATACTCGTCTCACCTTATCTTGCTCGGCGGGATGTGCGACGTAGGGGGAAGGGTAGGCCTCCCTGCATATAGTTGGTACCAGCTCCCAGAAGATCCTCCATCCCGTTCGCGTTGACCTCTTTGGCTTCGCAACAACGGGAAGAGACGAAGAAAACACGCGCGTCTTTTTCCCTCTCTTTCCATAAATCTTGAGGCGGCAGGTCAGGCGCTGGCTCCCCGTGCTTGGCCTTTGAAATAGAGTGACCAATCAGCGTCGTTAGTAGGCTCTCCTGCGGGATCAAAAGCATCCCAGACAGCCGCTGCAGGAGCAGCAGGTGCGAAGCAGAAATTGCATTAGCACCAACAAGAGGAAGCGCGAGACACCTCCCCCTTTCAGCATCCCTGCCTTCTCTCTCCTGTCGTTCATAGAGCATTCTTCCTGCTGTCTTCCCTGTCTGGGGTACACCTGTTTCTCTGTGTGCTGTCTTCGCTGGCACCCGCTCCAGTCTCTCGGGGCCCCGAAGAGCAGAGCTTGCCGAAGCCGCACCTCTTCTTCAGATAGTACAGATTTACAGCAACCAGAATGAGTGGAGTTATTATCGACTGCCTCACGCTTCCGACTCCAGGTCGCTACGTGCAGCCACACGAGAGCAAAGACTTTTCCTCCGCCACCAACATTCAAGTTTCCATCCAGCAGGTGCTCCGCAACAGAGATGCGGCACTCCAACCGCGGCAGGAGCAAGACAAGAGACACCTAGGGCCAGGGAGGCCTCTCCACACGGAGACGCTCTCACAACAACTGAAGGAAAAGGTGAAGGCGGGGAAGGACTTGGTCTGGACTACCGACATTGACGTCGAGCTCCCCATTAAACTTGCGGAAAGGTGCGCCGCTGCATCATCACACACTCTCAACTTGTGGAGCTCCCGCAAATCCGTCGTCATGTACACCCTAGCAATCCCAGGCGAAGAGGCAACTAGCACCTGAGGCTGCTGCTGATTTTTGGAGGGGCTCAAAGCCTCCGTTGCTGCTTTTAGCCTGCCGGATGGTGTGGTTGGTACCTCCACTACGAGGGTGCCAATCTACGCCGTCTTTGTGAGCTGCCAGCTGGGTGGCCCTCCCGTAGTACATCCCTCTCTGCACTTGCCGCGCGCACATTCCTCTGTGCAAAATCTGTGTGTGTGTGTGTTTTTTTTCTCCCGCTTCTACTGCTGTTGCAGCGGCCCGGCGGCTATACCCCCCCAGACAATTGTCGAATTCTTCGGGGACTGTGTTCGACGCTTTAGCTCCGAACCAGCGTTGCTCTTCGAGCCACACTTCCCAGAACTCAAGAGCAGCAGCGGCGATAAAGAGAGCCTCAGCAGCTCGCGCATTGGCGGTTCTGCAAACGCGGATAACGATGACGGCGGCAGTCAAAGGGTCTGCTTCCCCAAGGGCAGTACAGCGCCCCTCCAGGCAGTCCCCCCCTCGTACGCTCCAGACTTGATTCCCGGATGGTGTGGCTACACCTGGTTCGGTTACTGGTCAGATGCCTGTTTCTTCGCCAAGGCCCTTATGCATTTGGGGGCACCCCGCCTCTGCCGTGTGGCCATCATGGGTTGCAATGCTGCGGCGTGGGCGATCTCGTTCTACGGCACCATCTTTTCTGGGGGTGTTGCGGTCGGCGTTTACACAACGAACAACGAGGAGGCGTGTAAGTACGTCATTGAGCACTCCCAGTGCTTCCTTGCGGTCGTCGATACGGCGGAGAACGCGCTCAAGATGCTCGCCGTTCGGAAGCGACAGTTGCAGCAGTTGCAGCAGGAGCAGCAAGAGCAGAAGCGGGAGGGGCGCCTGTTGGCGGGGGGCAGCCGTGTGCTGCAGCAAATCGTGGTCTACAGGGATCAAGTGCCGCCGTCGCTCGCAGCGGAGGGGGTTGTTGTGTCCTTCGACGACTTCCTCTCCCTGGGTAGGGGGGTGAAAGACAGTGACCTCTCCGTTCGGATGGAGCAGCAGAAGCCAGGATCCTGTTGCACCGTCGTGTATACTAGTGGAACGACAGGAAATCCGAAGGGAGTGATGCTTAGCCACGACAACTTGACGTGGACTGCGAGCCTCATGGCGCAGATCATATCGCTTACGAGAGAAGACCGCATCGTGTCTTTGTTGCCGCTCTCCCACGTGGCTGCTCAGATCGTGGACCTTGTCGCGCCACTGATTATGGGGACGGCAGTCTTCTTTTCACGCCCTGACGCCTTGAGAGGCACGCTGCTCGATACGTTGCTCAAGGTGAGGCCTACTTGGTTCCTGGGCGTCCCTCGCATATGGGAAAAAATGGAGCAGAAGCTGAGAGAGGTGGGAGCGAAAGGCAGCGCCTTACGGAGACGCCTCAGTACTGCCGCGAAAGACATCGGCTATGCAGGTGCATGCGCGCTGCTCGAGGGCCGGCAGCCCCCCTTGGCTTTTGCAGCAGTCAACAAAGTGCTGCTGCATCAGGTACGAAAGGCCTTGGGATTCGACCGCTGCAACGCTTGGGGGAGCTGCGCCGCCCCCATAGACCCCGAAACACAAAAATACTTCCTTTCCCTTGGCATGCCCATCAACTCCCTCTATGGCCTCAGCGAAAGCACAGGACCTCAGACCTTCATCGCGCCTGCACCTGGATGGTACGAGACGCTGCGTGCTGCTGAGAAAGGCCTCCTTCCAACCATTACGGGGTGCCAGGGGAAAGGCAGCAGCATACTGCGCAGTTCCGCGGCTCTTAGTGCCCCTTTTCATGTGTCGTTGATGGCTCCTTCACGGCTTTTGCAGAGTCTGCTTGGGCGGACCCCCACCGTCCGTTTGCCCACCCCTTCTGACTGTGTCTGGATGTGGTTGGACGCCTGCTGATGTTGCTCTCGCTGCGCAGGTTCAAGCTAGGCAGCATCGGCCACTCGATGCCTGGCACAGACACACTGATTTTGAACCCCAATAGCGACGGCGAAGGCGAGATCTGTTTCCGCGGGCGTAATATCTTCATGGGCTACTTGAGTGACGACAAGGCCACCATGGAGGCCGTGGACCCCCAGGGATTTCTGCACTCGGGAGATCTCGGGAGGGTTGACGAGGAAGGATTTCTTTTCATCACGGGAAGAGTCAAGGAACTGCTGATTACAGCAGGAGGAGAAAACGTGGCTCCCCTGCTCATAGAGAACGCCATCAGACAGGAACTGCCCATCGTTTCAAACTGCATGGTGGTGGGAGACAGAAAGAAGTATCTGTCAGTTCTCATTTGTCTCCACACCACTAGAGACAAGGACGACGCGCCCACGCAAACCCTCGACACTCAGGTCCTAAAAGCCATTGCCCCCCTTGGTGGAACCTCCAAAACAACCATGGAGGCGGCCGAAGATCCCGTGGTGAACCAGCTCATCTTGGCAGGATTAGAACGTGCTAACAAGAAATCTATTTCTAGGTCGGCCTCTCCGCCAACAGCCTCGTATACCTAGAGCAGTCCCCATGCCGCACACCCTTTTCCCATGATTCTTTCAGCACCTCCTTCTTGTCTTTGCCATGTAGGATAAACTTAGCTTTAGGGTCCTATTCTGGTTATGTGCTGGTGTCTGCTGTCACTCTAAATGCCGCTGCTGGTGCAATCATTGTCGCTGCTATAGGGCTCAGCGTGTGCTGGCATGGCGCGTACTTCCGATCGACTTCTCGGTGGCTGGCGGGGAGTTGACGGCCACTTTGAAGCTGAGGAGGAAGGTCGTAACTAAAAGGTATGAGGACCTCATTGAGCAGATGTACATACACCCCCATCCGCCATGTCTGCAGTCCAATCGTGCTGCTGCCAAGCTGTAGCCTGCCTTTGCTGCTAAATCTAATGAAGCTTGGTGTAGGGGCTGCCATTTGAACTACAAATTCAAGGAGAGCACCAGCCAGGATTGCTGTTGCCAGTCCACATAAATGCGGGGGCAGCAGCAGCTGGCACTGCAAAGGCAATGCTCAATGTGTTTATGCGAGCTCCCTCTGGGGTCTCTACTACACAGTGGTTCAAATAAACGAGATGCAGCCTTTCAAACAAGATTTTTCACCATGGCTATGCTACTCCAGCATTAAAAGAGTACTGTTTTTAAAAAGTAGGCAAATGGCGAAAGGCAGGAAAGGCTTAGGGTAGTGAGACTAATGCTTACAGTATAAGCCTTTACGAATGTGGAGGGCGGGCAGAAGTAGTGAGGCTTATTTTCGGCCACTGAGGGAAAGTGCTTCACCTTTAGAGTTGGCCCCCGAAGTAAAAGACACTAAAGACCCCAAGGTTGCCTCGCTGGGGGTTGAGTGCAGGCGGGACTACGACGTATCTCAATGAATTAGGATTGTTGTTTTCGTACCCTCATGTCTATGAATAACAAAGTTTCGTGGAGTGTCTTCACTGTGGATACTTTAATTCGTTTGGGGGGTTGTAGTCAGCTGGGTGAGCCCTCTATGTGCTCGTCGTTAAACTTAAGAGCATTACGCCACACGCCACGCCACGCACGAAAACTTAACGTTCCGGAGACAATGAAGGATAGTCAGTGGGAACCGGGGGCGTCATCGTCTAATATGGTTTGACAAAGGCAAGGATCTGACATTAAAGTGCCCTCTCCGAAGACCACCGGACTTGGTCATTTGGATGCAGAAGCCCCCCTGGGGCTGTGGTATAAAGGTCACATATCTTTAAAGTTTACTTGTATTTTGTATTCCTGCAAAAGTGTTGCCTCAAGCACCAGCAGGGCGGAAGTGTTCAGTCTTCCAACGGCAGCACTGTTTGTTGTGTGCGTGATACTGTCGGGTGGAGAAGCTACTAAACCAGTTATTAGATAAATGAATGTAACAGATCAAGAGTAAATAGCAAAATATGCACGAAATAAAGAGCAGGCACGTGCAAGCAAGTCAGAATGTGGTTTGAATACGAGTCCCATCTTCGAAGCGGTGACGCGGCTCCACGGTATCAAGCAGTAAGCGAAGAAACTGAAAGAGCATGATTAAAAGTCGTGCGTTATAATTTGAAAGACTGGCGAACCGTCAAACAAGCCGTATCCTAGCGTGCTGCTGTTTAGTTCATAACTCTCTAGGGGACGTAGCAAGCAGGAACATCGCTGTTCAAAAGGCAATGAACGCATGCATGCATGATGCTCATGGAACACGCCTCACCCACAGACGATGATAGACATGTGTGCTCGGTATCACCCGCGCGATAAGGCAAGATAGAGGAAGGAAACAAAAAACGAGGTAAAAACCTCACAAATGCACTCAACATGATTTCAAGATGCATGCCATCATGCATCCACTCTGAATGGTGTTCCCCCCAACTCACATTGTGAACCCGCGTATAAAAATCTTTTTCCCTCGACGCTGTAATATAGGTGGCACACACACAACCACCCCTTTTCTCTCTCCTGCCTACAAGCGTAAACAAAAAAGCTCGGTGTGAGAGGGTTGCTGAACTCTGTCCACCTGTGACCTGCGCGCCCGTGTTCCCTGCACTGCACCACAGCGGGCGCTTTTCCGTGCTCTGTTTCCAGCCTCCGGCGGTACGCGCCTCATCATTCCCGACGTCGCCCGGCTTCCGCCGAGCGGCATCGAGAACTGCGGTCTCGCAGGGGCAGGCGCACAGGGGAGGCTCCCAGGCGACATGGGACACCACACGGCACTCCGCCACCGAACCGACTTCCGCTCGGATCACAGCCGGGCGCTACCCCGGCCAGTCAGACTCTGATACCAGATGCCCAACTGGTTGTAGGGCAACGCCCATCATCGAGCTGAAGTGACCCTGGTGTGTCTGGTGGATGCTGGGGTGGCTGTGCACGTGCATCTTTTGCGGACATGAAGAAGATCTTGATGCTGATAATATTTCAGTGTGTTAGAGAACCGATTTCTGCTTTGATTGGAAGCTAATGGGTGCCAGAAAAAGGTTTTTTCTCTTTCGGTGCTGTCGGTGGTTGTTGCAGCTCTTTGTGCACACCGGTAGTCAGTTACTTTGTCTTCGGCTCCTGAAAAAGTGCTGTAGAGAAGTAAAACTCCTGGAATGGGCTGTAATCTTTTTGTAGCAAACATTAGGCCGCCTTTTTTGGTTTTCCACCATGCTGAACACCTGAAGCGTCTTTTTCATCCTTGTCTGCTCTCCAGCTCGGCGAAATCGTCCTTTCCGAAAGTGCTGTCTTCTTCTCCGAGTTAGTACAGGCGGAAGAGAGCGCAATGTTTTTTCTTCTGGAGGGTATTCTATCATGGTAAAGATAGGGTGTACACCCTCTTAAAGGGCACACAAAAACTCCCCACAATCCAAGGTCAGCAGCCTCCTGTTGACTTCTATGAAGCCTCACCTGATCAGACAACCCGTCAAACGAACAGCCACAACCCACACCCCGCGAGACATCTGCGGAATCGGTTTAATTTATTCTGACCGGCACGCACATCCATGCGAAAAAATCGGAACTAGCATCTGCGGTGGTTTTACCCCGATGTTCGCGTTAGCGAGCACAGGATACTTTGGACTCCCTAATAGACGGCAGCGGTGGTCGATGCTGAATGTGCCACTAGACTCATGTTTTTAAAAGCCTAAGTCTTCCAGGCTACTTCCTTGTGTGCCGTTTCAGTTGCAACGAGGCCGCTGCAAAGCTGCTGGTGGGCAAGTGTTGGTAATGAGGTGGCAAAGGTTCTGTTGCTCAAGAGTTTGTAAGACTGATTCCTTTTCTATGTTCTTCGTGCTTTTGTCCATTCTAGCAAATGTTTTTGTGAATCGTCAGTGACTCCAGCCCAGGACGAAAGAAAGCTGGAGGAACGAGTAGATTATCCCCGCTCTAGTTGCACGTACTATATACCGGCGGCAAAGCGTCATGATGTACTTGGCTTTGCCGCTGCTGTAGTTGTCGTTTTGCACACCACTGCTGCTTTCCATTTTTACCGCAATGTTTTGAAACGCTGCGAATCTCATAATGCTCGTGATGTACCCTCAGGCAGTGTACGTTTACTCTCCATGCCAGTATCATCATGGTGAACCTCTATAGAAACAGAATAATTCGCATCAACACAAGTTGTTGTTCCTGCGCTATCAAGAGCGAGCATGAATTCAATGACATATACATCGTCTGCAGCAGAAGCGCACTCTAAGTGCACTCTTAGCTCCGAAGAACCACGCAAGAATCAACAAGGCAGCTTTGCTGTACTATTACACCCATGATGTCATGGAGGACTCCAAACTCTTGCAAGATAAGCACAAGCAAGCAACCCCTTTCGCTGCCCATGTGGGTAGCTGCTTATTCCCCCTTAATTACACCCAGCTGGATGCATACACCCACCTGGCTTTGCCAGCTGCTGCATTAGTCCCCCAATCCGTTTTGCAATGGATTTGTTTGAGGTTTTGTCGGCCTACTAACCCCGAGGGGCACTTTTTCTTGGGGGCAGAGCTCGCCCTCTATCGAAGAGTCCCCACGGGGTAATGGAAGTTACGGTGGAATAGCAGGGAGAATACAACGGAAATAGGAGGACAAGAAAAGTAAAGTCTCCGCAGCTGAGCTACATCGCATTTTTCCTTTGCCTGCACGTCTCCTGGACCACCAGCAAGTGGTTTCTGTGGTGTGGCATCAACGAGCTCCAAGGGGTGTTCAGCTAGCCAGCCAAACAAATGGCTTACTTTCTCTGTGGTTAGATAGCCCTAGCAGAATGATACATCGTTGGCTAGCTGGCTGGTGTCTAGTGATGGTTGTTCACCTCGCTAACGTATCGGCCAACCAGCTCACATAAACCACGTAGCTAGCGCTGGTCAGACAGTACAGAGTACCTAGGGTTTCCAATTAACCTGTAAGTATGAGGTTTGCAATGTACAACACCGGTGGCACCGCAAAGTATCCTCTGCATCCCCCTCATAGCATTGTTTTGGCAGATTGCTGTAGCAGCGTGTGCTGTTACAGCAACTAGTGCTCCGTTGCGACGAAGGGGTTGCGCGAAGGTCCCCAGCCTGAATCTAGCCCCTTTGTAATATATGCCCAAGGGAGCGCAGCCTCCTCCTCGGGGATTGGCAGAGACTCCCATTGCTCTGCTGCTGGTGCGCATGTAGGCAAGGACGAGGGTGTTGTGTCTGCAGACGTCGCAGCAGTGTGACCAGATCCACCCGGTGCAAGGGCAGCGGAAAGTGCAGCGCTGGGGGAGTTGTTACAACTATAATTGGTGCTATCCCAAAGAGAAGCCCTGAGGAGAGCAGAGGAAGCAAAGAGGGAGGCTGCGTCAGCTGTAGAAGTTGCCAGCTCCAAGGAGCTCTCCAGAGTCCAAAGCGATAGCGGCCTGTTATCGTGGGATCGAAGTCTCTCTTTCCCATTAAAGCAGACATCACATCCGCCTGCATCGAATACCACACAAAAAGACCATAAAGTTCATCTTGCATACTGGCCTCGACGCCAGAACGTAAAAGTGGGAGGGCCACGCACAGCTGTAGGAAGCGATAAAATTTGTTGTATGTGAGGCATTGGATGACATTGCTAACACCGCACACCTGTCTATTTGTAGCCCTCTCCGACCCAAAGCTAGCGGCTCCCCATGGAGCTATCCCTCGATACAGGATCATGTGCATGCATGCCATATTTTTTGTCCCCTTCCCTCCCAGCCCTGCATCCTTCCACTAGTGCCCCTGCTGCCCCCCTTCGTTCATGCCCCCCACCCCTGCCCCCGTAGGCCTATACACTCATCCATGTCTACCCGCGTTTCGTCTTGATTCGTCATTGTGTGTGAGCCTCTTCTCCCAGTACTTCTATCCCTATCGTTCTCTCACCAGACTGCTTTCTCAGTCCAGGCGTCTCCGGTATGTCCCCTAGGGGTTCGCCGGCATCGCAGTCAACGGAAGATGCCTCCTTCTCCTCCGTCTTGCCATGTAGTTCTTCATGTAGTTCGTTGAGCAATTGCCGTACAGCCTCTTCTTTCCTGGGATCAAGGCCCATAAAGGGAGACGAAGGGGGGCCCCTTGGCATCCCTTCTTCCGTCCCAACGCCAAGATCACAGGCCGCCATATGTGGCAGGAAGCCTCTTCTCTCAAGAACGCGTGCTGGGTGGGGTTGTTGTTGCCGACTGGGGGATCTTTCTGCAAAGAGTGGAGGGGGGCAAGGCGCAGTCTGGCGCAGAGCGCTGCCCTGATGTCATTTACCTCCTCTCCTTTAGTTGTAAGTTTAACGAAAAACCCCAAGCCAGACGTACTATCCGCAGTTGCACGGCGGGACGTGCAGGGTTTGCCAAGGCGGTGTGCCGTGGCAGCAAAAGCGATGCTGCAGCCGCAAAGGCTCTTAGTTCGGCCCCTAAGGACGAGAGGAACGAGAGCAAAAATAGATTAAGAAGGAAGAACACGATAGAAGCAAGGCCTGTTGGGGCAGCAATGTAGAACCCTAATCCTGCGGGGGTCTCTCGGGAGGCTGGGTGCGATGGCTATCTACCGCATGCCTGGAGGGAGGGTGGGGTCGCCCAGAAGGGTTAAAAATACAAAAAGATTATATTCTATATAAAGGCCAGGCATAAGGGCACAGCGTCTCGGCTTCTAGATGAAAGGGCAGGAGGATATGAGGATTTGCTGGTTGGTGGGTGTGGAGGTGTCGGGGTGGAATTGTCTGTTGCGTCTTTCAGCTGTAGGGAGAGGAGCCAACACCCACCTGTATATACATCTACAGCTACACCAAGCGAGGCCTAGTTCCGCTCTCTAATCAGCAGGCCCTGGGAGAACGGATAGGAGACTCCCAGGATGAGACGGGGTACATGAAATTACTGCCGCACGCACTCCAGCGAAATTGGCAGCTGTAGAAACTTGGAGGTTGTTGCTGGAGTACAGTCCCGCTGTTGAGAACAGAAACTTAGTGCACACCTCATGGAAACCGAAAATGCGACTGATCATATGGCTCATGGAGCAAGTCGAGGCAGCTAAACTCTCCAGCAGTCCCCTTATAGCACGCTAAGCTACCTTAAACACTTATTCTGTTGAACCAAAAAAGTATTAGAGAATTGACTCGCTGGCCTGTCTGTTCGAATATCCTATTCACTTCAAGGTACTCAGCTTGATGCAAGAACGCGTAGTTTCATGTGCATCTGCGCTAGATACTGCGTGCAACCAACAATGGTTGCGAGGAGTGGTCGGCGAGCGCACCCCTTACACATGCTGGGGACTCTGAGGACCGCTGGCAGGGGGCAAAGGGTGCTTTTTAAGATAGCTCTCAGTAGATCTGCGTTGACATTACATTGAGTATGTAATTATGTTTCACGTCATGAAGACCTTATACGAGAAGCTGAACCCTCATGGGGATGGTAGAATCGTCCAGAAAACCACCAATTCGGGGCTTGACAGGCTTCACTGGCAGCAGGCAGATCATTGAATACTTGCTTCCCGTAGGGTTTTCCCCCCATTTTTGCCGTGTGGCCCTACAGGCTCTGTGCTTGGGCGCAGGGGCAGATACAAGTTGTAGCACGGCAGCTGCTTTCTGCAAGCTAAGAAAATGCTGCTAAGCAGACCCACAGCTTCTATATTACTCGAGTACTCCCCTATTAGACACAAACCGAGGGAACTTCAGGCCATCCCCTCCGCTATAGGACGCCAGGTAGCACGATCCTCAGAAAGGCAAAACCGCTCAGCTATCGGCTCTACTTTTAGTACGAATTTGCTCAGTAAGGGGTATTTCTGCTTGGCTTTGTTTTAAGAACCTTCTACCCAACTTGGGGGAGCATAGACGCGTAGTGGCCGCCCTTTGAGTTTACACACAAAGTTGGTAGGCATTTGCCCCGAAACTAGTAGGGTTTGGAGTCGAATACTGTACACCCCAGCTCTTTCTAGTCCGTCCTTCGCCCAGCGGATTTGGTAGGGGTGAAGAAAGAACAGCCTCCTAGCCGTCCCCAAGAGAGTATACCCACTACGTGCCCACCTTTGGACCAATGCAAAGAGTACACACACACACACACACAACAATCATGCAGCGGGTGGCCTTCTCAGCACACCTCCGCGCCAGCGATTCTTGTCAAACATGTGCAGTGAGCCTGTATTAGCCAGAGCAGCCTCCGACCCAGCACTGCCATCTGACCGTCAACAGCAACAGCCGGTTTGAGCTAGAGACGTGCTGCTCCTTTGGATGCAACAACGGCTACTGCTGCACTTGAACCAGTAACGCCTGCTTGCATGCCTCTGGCAGATATCGAGGAATCTCCGCCATAAGATTTCCCCACTACAGTCCCTGCATCCGCGCTTTTGCTGCTGCAACAGCAGCGACAGTACGGGGGGTGCGTCAGTCTAAAAATCGAAAAGCCAGAACCCCGTGTAGCCGTTTAACGACTTTGCATGCGCCCAGGCCTCGCCTAGCAGCCGCTTGTTGACCTGCGTTGTGGGAAACGTGCTGAGGTCACCTCCAGGAAGGAAGCAGCCAGGAGGCGAACTCTGGAGCCGGGGTGTATCTTGACTTTGTGTAAATTTCGAGCTGTAGCTCCCCGTTGAGGTAAAACGATTCCTTGAGGCAGTCCGGCGTCACTTTCGCGCGTGACACAAACGGCATAGAGTAACTCTTCATGAAACTGCTGGTGTCGCTACACGCCGCCAGCGATGCGGGCAGCAGCGAGAAAATGCCGCTACTGCCTGTGCTTCCGTCTGCATTGCCCGCCTCTTTTCCCGCGGCTCCCTCCTCGCGTTTTGCGGAAGCGCAGAGGGGATTGGCCGTCTTGTAGAGGCGTGTGAGGTAGTACAGAGGGTTGCGCGGTGTCGGAACGGCAAGCAGCCCTAACGGCCTCTCAACAAAGGGGGCCCATTCCCCCATAGGCATAGTAATCCTGGAGGGGCCTCCTCCCATCACGGCATAAGGTTCCCAGTCCTCTTTGGCATTACGAGGCTTCTCAGTAACGGTCTTGTACCAGTACGTTCTTACAGAAAGAGACGGAAAATTGAAGTCCTCTGAGGCCTTTGACGTGTCCAGATGGATCAGGCCAAAAGGCGCGTTCAGGGCCTGTTCCTCGAACTGCGCCACACACACACACACACAAATACATACATACATAAGAAGCAGCAGTTAGAGGCCTTGAAACAGAACGTGTTCTCCCCTACTTGGGAATACACTTGTAACCCCAAGTGTTGCGATGCCACCAGACATATGGGGGGTTTGGAGAAAGAAACACCTTGGGCTTCGTCTTCGTAGCGGCAACCCATGAGAGAAGCGTCTGGGAGATATACTTTTGCGGCTTCAAGAGTTCGTTCATTGGATTGTACATGGCACAGCTCTCCTGAACGGCTTTCTTGTCCTGTTCATCCACCAGGATGCTTAAAACAGTTTCTCCGGGAAGCAAATCATGCCGGAAGAGCGAGCTTGCCAAGGAGGAGCCAGCTAAGGCCCACCGCACCTGTTTGAGTCTGAATGCGTTCGCTAGCACCTCAAACAAGCCAAGCAACCCCTCATGCTGCGGGATGGAGAGCAGCGGCTTGGAGGCCCCTTGGAGTTCATTCTCCAGGGCCTCTCTGAGAAGTTCCCGGCGGCCAGTCCCCCACAAGGCTATGAGCGACCCCTCTGCATATACGCGTGGGGAACCTACAACACCTTCGCATCGCTCTACGTCTTCGGCTGTAGTGCCAGCCGAATACAAATAGTGACGCCGCAGCTGCTGCAGCTGCTGTAGCAATGGAGAGGTGACCTCGCTCCACAGCAGCAGCATGATGCCTACCACCCCCATCGCTATCAGAAAGCAATATTTCTGCAGCATCTGACGCCCATGAAGACGCCTCAGACGCACAAAGCGAAGGGCGTGATACCCCCGCACGCCCTTTGTGGTGGTAGTGGGAGGCAGAAGCATTGTATACGTCTGTTTCCCCTTCGTTTGTGCACCTGGATGCTTGTTATGGCTGCTTCCTGCCATTAGGGGTACCTCCCCTACTGTGAGAACGCGGCTGAACCCCGGGGGCACTCGGCTAGAAGACGAGGGAGAAGGCTGCATCTTCGTGCTTGCAGGGGTGCACCGGGTGTTGTTGTGGCCAACGCTGCTAATCAGAGCTGGGAGTCTGCTGCTGCGACTACTGCAGCAGTTGAGGAAGGCATTCAGCTGTTGCTCTGCTGCGGTCTTCTCGTGAGGATGGTGGTAGGAAAACGCAAGAAAAGTAGAAAGTCAGGACGCTAAACTGCTGCCAAGCGGGCTTCTTGCACCACCGTAGTTGAAAGGATCGGCCGTGCAATAAAAGGGAGGGGTGTTCAGGCGGGGAAAACGCAGTTGTTTTGCACTCTTGGTCGTGCCCGTGCAGCAAGGGAAACCTGTTAGGCATGTACGGGTGGGTGTGATGCTATGGAGCCTCTGACACTAGGCGTCAAGCCAGAGCGACCTCAATGGAGCAAGGGCATGAGAGGGGTAGGCCTTCTAGAAAAGAGAGAAATCCCCTAAACAGCTGTACGTGAGGCTGGCTGCCCTTTTCGCTACGCCTTGCACATTTAACCGCTGCTGCGGGTATTGGGCAGCCACTGCCGCAGAGGGAGAAAAGGTAGAGACCGTAATGAGTTGAAGTCGTAGAAATGAGGCGCAGAAGAACACGAATGCAAGGAAAACTCCAGATCTAGTTGCGCAGCTGTAGGTGAGTCGACAGCAGCACGCCAGCGAGCTGGGAGATCGGCGCTCAGCTATGGCTGCCCCCTAGAGTGTACGGAGGTGAAACAAAAGAAATCACGGTGCTGTTTTCAAGAGGGGAAGGGACTAAATTGGGGGGAGAAGGCCCTGAAGAAAGTGCTATAGCTGTCGGCCGCTACTGCCGGTCCCGCGCCCACGAGGATGCTCGGGAGAACAACGGTACTAGCGTTGTGCAGATTTCTTCTTTTTCCAATGTGCAAGTGTTTAGCCATGCCCAATGAACAATTTTAGGGATGCCAGTGGAGGGAAAATATAGAGCGGCAGCGCTTACTGGCACCGAGCTAACCCCCCGGGAGAGGCCTCGATTGTGCTCTTGTGTTGGCACGGCCACCGACCAGCGTCCGACCACCCACCTGCATTGCCCTTCAAGATCTTCGCATTGACTCCACTGGTATCCAATCTATTTAGCTTGCACAGTTAAGTGGCACAGTCGAAAAGAAAGCAGCAAGCTGTTTGCTTGCGCATCTCTGCTCCATCGACCCTAGGTAATGCGCGTACGGCCCTTGGCCTACGACGAGCACCGCTCCTTAGGAGGCGGCCGTCGCGTTTCTTTGGGTGCAGAGCAACGCCGTAGCAGCAATCAGCTTACACACCGCCGCTTAACATGCCTCCAGTTGCGGAACTGTGGCCATCCCGTCCGGCGCCGGACTCTAACGTATGCAGCACCAGGCGCAGCCAGCCAAGCAGGGCGCATAAATATGCAGAATAGACGGAAACAGTGTCTGAAATACCGGTGAACAAGGTTCTGAGCTCTAGAGGGACCAAGGAGGGCTCTCGTAGACTTTCCGTAATGTGCATACATATATATATATATGTATATATATACATACCCAGTCCAAGACGCCCCTCCCCCCTTCTACCTTCAGGCAGGAGCGCCGCCGCATGTCGCTTAGAGCAGCATCCTCCCCGTTTAGAGCAGCTCTCCTCTGCCTATAGCAGCTCTTTCCCCGCTTAGGGCACAGCCCCCGTGCCCACTCCACAGGCGTAGGTGGTACCAGCAGCATGAGGCGTGCCTCAGTACTGCTGCTGATTTGGAAGCGCGAGCAAAGAAATCGGTCATTGCCCATTTAGGGAAGCTCGAGACAGAGCAGACTGCTGCCCTTCGCCCCCCGCGTGACCTTTGCGTCGCCGAACTCGGCAGCACGTGCGCGCGCGCTTTCAATTGGACTAGACACATCCACTGAAGACTGCAACAGTGGGTTGGGGGTACAGTGCACCCTTTTTGTAAAGCTAACTACTACCACTTGGCAGCAATCTCATGAGCCCTAACAAATGCAAAGACGTCGTCTCCGATTTTCAACTGCGCGGCTTCCTCCGCGTAGCTCGAGTAGACAACGCGCTCACCCGGAAAGACCTGCGGCGGAGGCACCCAAAGGGGAAGACGCAGGGGTTGCCTTCAGAACTGGCAAACCGTTGGAGCCACCCCCTCAAGGAAAGCCTTTATTTAGGCCGGCTACAGCAGGGAGTGCGCGGCTTTCAAGTGTGCCTGCTGCTGCGAGGCCAGCAGAGTATCGAGCAGCACAGAGAAGAAAAAAGGCAGGGAAAGCCGCCGCCACCCATCAGCGAGAACGCCGAAATAGATCGACAGAATACGCGCGCACACGCAGAAAAACCGTCACAGGATGACCCCATTTCACGAGCGTACCTCGACAGGAATTCGCGTCTGCTGCTTATTGAGCCTCCCAGGGCCGGTAGCTACTACTTCGGCCTGCTGGAGGAGTCGATGCTGTTGCTGAGGCATCAGCAGCAGCCCCCCAGTGCTTTTCTCGGATGGCTTCAAGACGCGCACAAACACCCTGCAGCACAGCCCTCGACAGCAGAAACAAGCGGATGCGGGAGCGTTGCAACAACGCAGCAGAGGCGGCAGCGTACCGGCTTACGGCTGCAGGAGGGGCAGGGAGCCGGCAAGAGGCACTCACACCCTCCCCAGCAATCCAGAGTAATGCAGAACTAAACCTCAGCAGCAGCGTTGCACTGACGCCACGAGGCCCTTCCCCCCCTCTTCTTCCAAAACAATCTTACGTGTCACCGAGAGGCTTGATGTCTGCTGCCTGCCAAGTGTTAGGGTTCAACACCTTCGCAAGAAGCTCCTCCGCAGAGAGCAACACGCACTCTGCACCATCATATTTCAGCTGCAGAACCATACCCACATACACACAGACACATACCCATACACAACACAAAATATATACAGACACACCTGTACGTACGCGCACGACGCCGATTGTTCTGTGAAACAAAGCAACGTGCGGCTGTAGCTGCAGCAGCAAATCATGAAAAATGTTGATATCAGCAACAGTGCCCTAAGAGGCGACGCAGGGCACCCAAAACGCGAGGCAGCCGCCAATAGAGGTGCGGCTGAAACAGCACTCAGAGAGCATTTTTTTAAATAAGAAGGCAGCAATCTTTTCGAACGCACGTTCTCGCCCGAGTGCTTGGAAAACACAACAAAATCTCCGACATTGACGTCAACCGGAACGCGTTTTCTGCAGCAGCAACAACAACAGCAGTCCCGAAAGTGCCCGCAACCAATGGGTTAGGTGTACAGACACCAGCACACATGCGTGCTGCCGCTGCAAATGCAACCGCCAGCCATGCGCATGCAAACGCATGGGTGCACCAAGTAAGTATAAGCACTAGATTTGCGGAAAAGCAAACAGCCTCGGCAGCAGGCAAGCACTGAAACAGCAAGATCGGCAGAATAGAGCACCCCTTTGCACACAGCGCGGCAAGGCAACCAAGGCACCACTGCCATAGGACGCGAGACGATTTGCTGCCACAAGGAAATCAGCAACACTCTTGGAGGTAAGAAAGCCCGCGGAAACAAATAAGCGGCATAGGGGCACAGAGACAACATGAAAACCATCCGCGCCTCCACAGAACCACAGTTGCATGCACGTTTCCACTGCTTCATATATTTGATATGGATGTATAGTGTATATGTATATCTATGGATTTATACACATATGAATTTATATATATATATGTGTATGGATATCTCCCTGATTTCGAGTAGAAAGTATGGTTCCTTTCGCAGGAGGCGCAGCTCATGCCTCGCGCTAAAGGGTTCAGGGACGAGGCAAGAGGCCATCCCTGCTCGTGCTCCCCCTTCCCTCCCTCCCTTTCATCGGAAAATCAGGAAGGAAGGGAGAAAGGGGGAGAGAGGGAGGCCCCTTTCAATTTGCTCTCCCGCCTAATACCATACCAGCGCCACCCACCACACGGGTGGCACGCTCAGCCCCAGCGGACGCATACACCATGGAAGCAACACAAGCAGCAGCACAAATACACACACAAATACACAAATATACAAATACACACACAAATAGACACACACACACAAATACACACACACATACACACACAAATTCACACGCAAACACACAAACACACAAATACACATATAAATACACACACAAATACACATATAAATACACACGCAAATACACACGCAAATACAAACACAAATCCACACACACACACAAATCCACACACACACACAATAGCAAAAATCCACGCACGAATAAACAAATACAAATACACAAATCCACACACAAATATACGCCCATACACACACATACAAATCTATGCAGCACTCACCCTGTTTCTGGGAGGAATTCCCCCGCGCCAGAGGCGAGGACTTTGCCGATGATCTGCTCCTTTCGAGACTGCAATGAGACACCCCAAGGCACTCTCTGCACGCCTCTCAGCCTTACCGACATAGGTGCAGTAGCAAAACAGTTTCGCCAACCCTGCTTGGCGGCAGCTAGAGTGCAATGCTCTCGCGTGGTTTTTGCCCGACAAGGCGTTCACGAGAAAAAGACACTTGCAGGGTGTCGCGGTAAAAAAAGCAATAAAGTCGTCTGCCAAAGAGACCTTGCAGCATAAGCATACATCCAGCCAGCAGGCTAGGCAGCAGCGACAGCACCAGGCGGGCTGCGTAAAAGGAGGCATCCGAAAGCCAGACAGTCTGTGACTGCACTTCATACCTCGACAGGAAGGAGCAACCCCCCCCGCGTCTTGGCTTCGGCTTCTACCTTCTCTATGAGCACCATGCCTCGCAGCGGCTGTAGGGAGCCACGAATAGCTTCTCCCTCCAGCGTGTGCTTGCTGCTGCTGCTTATTGCAGTGCCTGCTGCAGTAAAAGCCACACACGAGGATGCAGCGGCATGTCCATGGGGTGCAGCTCAAACTCGGTGCTGCTAGCAGTAGGACGCTTGGCGTTACAGCGTAGAAGGTCTCCTTCGAGGCATACCAGCTGCCGAGGCTGCAGAAGCAGCAGTAGTCGGCGTCAGCGCCTGCAAGGGAGGTGGAGCTGCAGCAGTCATGCCCTGCAGCAAGAGAATCCCACGTGGCAAAATGAAAAAAGGCGGATACGCGCATCACCATCGGTTCAGCTTCTGCGAGGCAACAGGATGCACGGCGAGTCCACACCTTTGGAAGCACAAAAGGGGTCAGGAAGGCTGCAGGCACTCACCCGCAGGATCTGCGATGACTGTGAAAAGGCGAAGGTAGCAGCTTGTTGCACTGCCGCTGCCGCTGCCGCTACTCCGAGGAGCAGCGGCAACATTCGACACCGTCCAGCCTTCATTGCCGAAGCACGAAATCCTGCCTTATCCCTTGCAGTAGTGGAGCACTTTTGCGCCGACGGCCTGCTCAGAGGCTTGCGCTTTCTGTCTGAATTCCAAGTGTCCAGACCCTCGAAGAATGTGAACAAAGACACACCCCACGCACCTCGACGTCGGCGGCAGTGCAGAACGGGCAGCCGCAGCAGGGGCAGCAGTGGCAGCTGCAAGGTAATCAAGGCCGAAAAATCGTCTATTTGATTACTTTACAGAAAAAGCAAGACAGATGAGGTATATTCCCTGCTGCGCGAGGCCCCTCCATCCACGCATCCTTGCCCCCACACACCCGGCTGCTGGTGCTCCTCAAGCTCTATGCAGTGATGCTGCTGCTGCTGCTGCTGCGGTGACTGCCAGGGGGGCCTCATCCTGCTTACTTCTTAGGCTTTGAAGGCCCTCTGTTTGCCTTTTCGTCCGAAATAGGCTGCGCGAAACTCGTTTCTGCCACGGCTTCCTTCCTCCGTGGGCTCAGCATCCCAGGCACTACTGCTGCTCTCGCCGCACGGACGGGCTACACTCACACAGTACGCAGCAGCTGCTGAGCCACAGGAGAGCGCGTGCTGGATCGGAGGGGCTCCCTGCTGCCGACAGTTTGCCCTTCTACACCAGTATCAGTGCCAGAAAGTCATTTTCAAGCCACAAATCATGAGGAATCTGCAGAGCCTCCCCGGCGCTTAGCGCTGCTGCCGCCGTCACTGCCGCTGCTGCTGTAGAACCAGCGGGGGTTAAACCCATGCAGCACGAGCCTTTTTTCGCCGCGGCACCACCAGCTGATGGTGCTGCTACGGCTCTGAAACACCCAAAATGCAACTCCCCTGCCTCCTTTTCCTCCTCCCTCTGCTCCTCCTCATAAGGCTCCCGCATCGGGGGACTGAGGCGGCACCAGTCGGAGGCTTCGACGAGCACGTCCTGCTCCCGCCTTCCTCAGCAGCAGAAACAGCAGCGGCCTCTCCAGCAGCGCCTCTGGGATCAGAAACGCGCGAGGCGTCCGCATCAGCAGCGCAGTCTGCGCGGTTAACAGCCTTCTCGGGGGAGGAGCTCCTTCTCAGCAGTCCAGCGAAAGCACACGCCACACCACTGGCAGCAGCAGAGCTCTCCCAGCAAGCACTTGGTGTCGCGGGAGGAGTGCAAGCAACCCCTGAGGCAGCCGCAACGCATGCGCCAGCTGAAGCGGAAGCCTCCCCAGAAAGGGGAGCTCCAGCGGAAACGGATGCGCGTGCTGCACGCAGAGCAGATGCAAAGGGCGTTGCCAACCTGCGCAGAGCATCGCAGGATCCGCAGCAGAGTTCGGAAGTGCCAGATAGCAGCAGCAACAACAACGAGAGCAGCAATCATGACAACCTTGAAGATCTGAGCAGCAGCGAAAAGGAGGTGGTTGTGTCCATGGGGTTGCTGGCACTGCTGCTGATTGTTGCAGCATCGTTCTTCATTTTCCTTGCCGCGAAGCGCCTGCATCATCAGGTGCTGCAGCTGCCACTGCTCGCAACGCTGCTCGGGCTTTTGCTAGGGGCTGTGCTGCAGCAACATTTGCAGCTGCAGCCACGCAGCAGCAGCAGCCTTCGCGGCATGCTGGCTCTCAAGGAGGAGGTTTTCTTCGTCCTGCTGCTCCCGCCGATCGTTTTCCAGGGGTGCCTTGAAACACTTAAAAGGCGTTACGCCAAAGACCTCCATGCCGAATGCATAAACCCCTCCCCACAACACAATTTGCACTTTATTTCGCCTGGCGTGTTATCTTCCGCCTGCGCATCTCGTCCTTCGGTTGTGCGACGCGCTCCCGTTCAGGCGACATGTGGAAAAGGGATATGTGTCTACATGTATATATCTATGTATGTATGTGTGTAGAAATATATTTGTATGTCTATGTACGTTTATGTGTAGATGTGTGTGTGTATGTGTCAGTGTATGTGTCAGTGTATGTGTGTGTGTGTGTGTATACATGTATGTCTCAGTGTGTGTGTAGGTGTCAGTGTGTGTGTATGTGTGTATACATGTATGTGTCAGTGTGTGTGTGTGTATATACATGTGTATGTCGGTGTGTATGTACATGTATGTGTCAGTGTGTGTGTGTACATACATGTATGTGTCGGTGTGTATATACATGTATGTGTCAGTGTGTGTGTGTATATACATCTATATGTCGGTGTGTATATACATGTATGTGTCAGTGTGTGCGTGTATATACATGTATGTGCCAGTGTGTGTGTATATACATGTATGTGCCAGTGTGTACATAGGTACACATATATATATATATATAAATGAGTGTATATACATATAGATGTATATATATATTGTATTGTCATTGTGTCTGTGTGTCTATGTGTGTCTCTGTGTGCACGTATACAGTTTATATGTGGACTTGCCATGTGGAGTTTGAGGGCCTCCCTCTGGATTGAGTGTTAATAGGCTGCATGCTTTTGCTGTGATTCAGGGGTTTGGAGATAACGGAGGAGCCGTTTGCGTCGGCTTTTGCAGAGAACTTTGGCTCAGTTTTGTGGCTTGCAACTGCGGCGACGCTCTGCAGCACGCTGATTATCGGAGTTCACATGCTCGGAGCAGGTCCTTTGATTGTCTTGTTTGGTGGCTTTGACACTCCAAGTGCTGGCGCAGCTGCCAGGAGACGTGTGCGCCATGGCCGTCGTCAGGCAGCAATTTTTGCCGAAAGCTGTTTGTTCTGCTCGTTTCTGCGTCTGCTGCAGGCATGTTGCTGCCTGGAGTGTCTCTAACAACTCGGCCCGCCTTTGCTATGGGAGCTCTCATTTCTGCAACAGATCCCGTGTCGCTGCTTAGCGCCTTCCGAGATATGAAGGCTACGCTTCTTATTCATGTCCTCGTACGTTTTCCAGCACGTGTCTCAAGAATCTCGCAATGCGTGCACACGCAAAATCTCTTCATCGTTGATCCCCCCGCCTTGTCGTGGGCTGTGCTGTTGTGGGGTAGGGTTCCCTTTTTCTCGTGTATTGTGTGTCTGTTTGCTCCCCCCTGCGAAACGCCACGCGGCTATACGACGGCGCCACCTCTTACAGAACCCCCACTAAGGCACTCGGTTGCTTTGCACCACATCAGGAGGAAAGAAGCAGCAGCAGTAGCAGGAGGAGGAGGAAAGAAGCAGCAGCAGTAGCAGGAGGAGGAAAGATGCAGCAGCAGTAGCAGGAGGAGGAGGAAAGATGCAGCAGTAACGGCAGGAAAGCATCCCCATCCTTGGACAGAAAATAAGACGTGATGCGTGTGCTGCCTGTCTCTCAGCTTTTCGGGGAAAGCCTTCTGAATGACGCAGTTTCTCTAGTGCTCTACAAGGCGGTGACGGATGGCGAATTAAACACAGGACTGACTGCTGTTGCAGCTTCCTTCCTCGCCACCTTTTGCGCGTCTACCGCTCTGGGAGTCCTCACTGGAGCTGCTGTAGCTCTGGTGCGTTTCTTCTTCTCTCTCTCTTCATCACAGGCATTCTTGAGAAAACATCCGCTACTAACTCCCTGCTGCCTGGGTATGTGTGTTGGGGGCATGTGCATCGCAAAGCCTTTTTCCTCTTTCTTTTTGTATCTCTTTCTCTTGTGCGCGGCACCTATCCCGCTGCGTTTGACGCGCTGCTAGCAGAGATACCCTGCAGCAGAGCCTGTGGAATGGTGGAGAATTTGTGAGAAATTTGGTGGGGGTGAACGGACTGCACCTCACAAAAAAGCAGGGTTTGCAATGTCGTTCGCTTGCTGAGCACGCTCGCAGATGTACAAGCACATCGGTCTGAATCGTGAGGAAAATCTCGCGATGGAAGTTGCTTTGTTGCTTCTCTTCCCGTGGATTGCGTATCTGATAGCAGACGTAAGGCTTCAAAAGGTCAAAACCTTCTCTTTTCGAAAGCTCTGTCTGCATGCGTTTGAACTTAGTCGTGAAGGCCGTACTTACGGCAGCTCTCTCTCTCTCTGTCTGGCTCTCTCTCTCTCTCTCCTTCTCTCTCTCTGCCGTGTACACATGCGGGCAGAGGACGATGCGACGTTTACGGCTCACGATTTGTGGTTTGGGTGTATCAGGGTTGCGGAGGGAGCGGCATCGTGTCTATCTGCTTCTGTGGCATTTCCATGGGGAAATACGCCTTTCCGAATCTCTCAGTGTCTGCACAGGTGGCTGCCCGTGGTAAGGCGCACGAAAAAACTCCAGCGTGCGAAGCCTGATCGCTGTCAGGATTATCTTCCTCCCCCCTTCCACGCAAAAAACATCATATGGAGGTGCTCCCTTTCGCGTTTTTCTGCAGAGAACTACTGCACATGTGCATGCCCGTCGAGATGTCTCGTTACATGCCGAAAAGAGTCCCTTCTTAGAGAGATTCCATAATCCATCTTGCCTTCTAAGCACAGCTGCATGCGTCGTGTGTGGTTCGCGGTGTGCTCGGCAGGGCCTAGGCATGCTGTCCAGAGGACCCTTATGTGCCCCCTCTCTTTGCCTCCGTGTCGCATGCAAGTGCTGCGCTGCCAGATCTGAAATGCAGGCTGCGTTCCGCTGCTTCCGCATTGTCTGGCGGCCTTCTTGCAAGCCGCTGCATGCATGCAGAGCTCCTGTGTGCGCAGGCGTGTTTAGGGCTTTTGCACTGCTCGCGGAGTGCGTGGTCTTTGTATATCTCGGCCTAGCGCCTTTCTCGTTCGACCTGCTGCCCCTAAAAGACTGCGGTGTTTTCGTGGCTGCTGGAATTGCAGTCATCGCTGCGGCTCGGTGAATCCGGATCCACAAGATCTGCAGAGAGCGCCGCGACAGCGGCCGTCTTTTTCTCCCCGCCAGTCTCTCCGCGCAAGAACGGCTGTCGGAGCTGCATACATGCGTGCCGAGGGGGAGCTTGACGTTCTTGGGGGGTTGTTCTAGGAACATGAAGTATATGCGTGTTGTGGAGGTTGCGTGTCTTTGCATGCAGAGCCATTAGCGTGTATCTTACTTGCTTCTTTCTCAACTTGTTTAGAGGCCGCAAGGTGCTGAGCGCAAAGGAGCAGCACGCAATTGCTCTTTGCGGTCTGCGAGGAACTGTTGGTGCGTCGCAGACCCCCCACTCCGAGGAGAGTGCTCAGAGAGGGTTCTAGACTGTTGGATGCTCTTTGTAGCGTTCGAATGCGAGGGGTCGAGGGGGAGGGACGTTCTAGCCGTTGCGTGCATGTGCTTTTTGTGCAGCATTCGCCTTGGCGGAAAGAGCTCAACACGACTTTGGCGGCTTTGAGGGGCAGGCGATCCTCACTCTTACGCTTGTTGTGGCTCTCGTCTCCGTTCTCTTCCTCAGTGCGTTTAGAGTTGACAGCGCACGGAGGAGCTCTGGAGACAGTGGACACAAAGGCTTTCGAAAGGGAGTATCTGCATGCTCCCTTCACTCTCTGTTCTCTGCGCGTGTGGACTGCGCTGTTGTCTCGCAGCTCCAGCGCTCTTGTTTGCCTTGCGGCCCTTGGGCATATTTGTGAGGGAGGCATCTGACGAAATGGCTAGTAGCACATGTAGGCACCACAGGGGCGAGAGCAACAACCCCGACGGCATCTCGGAGGAGGTGCTTGGGGTGCAACAACAGCAGCAGCAGCAGGAGGAGCTGCTTGCGGAAAGTCGCACCGCTTGGTGCAGGAACAACTGCTGCGCGTATCTGCGAAGGGCACTGAAACAGCTGGATGCGAGGTGCATATATATGTATATATATGTATGCATATATAGTGACTGCCTTACTGCTCGTGCTTGCTCTTCGGTTAGCTCAGGAGGACGCCTCTCCGCCTGCTGCCCCCCTTCTCTCCCCCCCAGTATTGCCAACTGCGTCCTTATCGCCTGTCTTGGTGCATATGCAGATATCTCACTCCCTTCTTCATCAATTCGCAGAGGGCGAGCTGCAACCCGGAGCAGTCCGCCATGGAGTTGCAGCAGTACGCAACAGGCACGAAGCAGCAGCAACGGCAACACCGAAAAAGAGGGCGCAGTGTGTATGCAAACATTCCTCCGACACTGGAATCCCTAGAGAACGATAGTGCAGTATCTACCAACCTTCGTAGCGACAGAGAGCTCTCTGCTCAGCAGGACCAGCAGCGACAACTACCAGCCGGATCACTTCCCCGAGGTGATCCTTGCTGCCTAGAAGAATTCGATATGGCTTTTTCGCCGTCTGAAGACGTGAGCCCCTCAGGCTTTCTGCAGGTTGTGCAGAAACCAGCCTCAGCAGGTGCTTCTCCGGCCTGAGGGGGGACTCCGAACAAGAGATATGAGGAATGTTGAGGCATAGCGACGTTAGCTGCAACTGGCAATAGTGGCTTTGCTGCACGAAACGCCCTTTCCTAAAGAGGCACACATAACTGAATAGCTGTCAGTTCTCGCCGCTCTTCTCGTGCTGCAACCCCGAAGGACGCAGCGTTACCACGTGTGTTCGCACAACCCAGCCCGCCTATACCGGTGCTGTAGAAGTGCCTTCAAGGATTAACCTGTACATGTATATATATATGCATAGGCACATGCATATGTGGCACTAGAAGGGCTCCTAGGAGTGCCCTGTGGGCCTCTTTTTGTAGCATTTCGCTCCTCTTTGTGTGTACCGTGAAGAGGCAGCATCGCGTGCAGCTCTCTTTGGAGCGGCTGGAAGACACGGGAAAATGTGCGAGCAGGTTGCACTGTGTAGCCCGACGCTTCCCGCCACTGCAACTTAATTGGTCATTAGGCGTTCGCGGGACTAGAAGAATCGATAGAAACGTCGTACTCAGCGCTACGCATATGAGGGGGCACAGAATTGTTAGGGGAGGGGGGAAGGGGGGGCTTAAAGGGAGCAAGAGGTAGTCTTAACGCCCAGAGGCTGCTGTACAGAAAACGCAGTGTGGCTTGTGCATGCCGTAGAGCTAGGCTGCTGGCTCCCTCGCGGCCTCTTCAATGGGTAACAGCAGCTCCTGTCCCTCGTGCACCGCGCCACTACGAGACTTTTGTCTTAGGCGCTTTACTTAAAGACCAACTGTGTTGCGACGCGCTGCACGCGCATCCTCTATCAACCTCTTTCACAGATCTCCGCGAGCGAGATCCTGATGTAAAGAGACAAGTGCGGGCTACTGCCGCTTCGGTAGAAAGCTGCGAAGGGCTTTGAGGGATGGGATAGGGGGCCTCGTTTAATACGAGGGCATTTAAAATCCCTCACGCAGAACCACCGTACGAATAAGGCGTGGGATCACAATGCATGGGGTGTGGCTGGGGGGAGTGACCGGTGCGAGAATAACTAACACAGAAGCTACGGGGCGTTACCTCTCCTGAAGTGCTGCTTCGTGTTTGCCTGCACACCCTGTAGCTATGCCTTCTCCAGAAATTATAAACGCTTTGAATGCCATCGAAAAAAGAATCCCTCAAGATAAGCCGACAAGCTGCGCTGCATTCGCTGCGTATGTATCAGGGGAACGGATGCTGCAGAAACCCATATCGTCTCCATTCTTGTATGGCTCCAGCAGAATTCGCCCCTAATGAGCCGTAAGGGCCTTTGACCCTGCTCTGGACAGACGTGCACCTATGAAAAGCAGGGTTTGTCGCCGCATGCAGCTGCAATTGAGCTGTCGGGATACAGGAGAGCACAGTAGAAAGTATTTAGGCTAGCGACTGTTGCACCGATGAGGATTAAAGTTGCCCTACAGTGCCGCTTCGCTGATAGTGCATGTTCTGGAGCGTAGAGCGATATAAATAGTAGCAAAACTGCCTCTTGGGCAATACCATTGTGTTGTAGGCCAAACACTTAATTTGGGCACTTGATTCTCTTCAGTGATATGCAATCAACAATTCAAAAAAATAGGCTATTTGTTTCGGCTGATGTCCGTCAATTCAAACAAAGCTTTGTTAGCCCAGAAAAATAATAGCTATTTCTCCCCTGTGCACTATAAGTTGCTATTTGCAACTTACAGTGAATATGACGTGTGTTCCGAGAGTGTAGCCGCATCCATCTAGCCTAGTGATCCCCCTGTCCATCACACGTCAAAACTTGAAGCGTAAGGACAGCAGAACAACGAGGGAAGTGACTTTTTGAGGAAGGCCCCTAGTGGCTTTTGGTTATACTTGTAGGAAATTTGGGTGAAAAAGTCGCCCTATGTAGATCGCTGGCCCGCGTTACAACCTGCATACTTCAGCACCCAAATAAAGTGGCAGCAGAATCCAGTGTCTACCGCTAAAAATCCCAGGAAGGAACAGTGCTGTCTAACTCCACCAAAATGCCCTGGGAGTAAAAGCGCAGCGGTTACCCAAAGTGAGCACAACCAACTTGTAGATGCAGCGTGACATGCTACTTGGCTAGAGTTTCCAGGTCACTCCAGCCCGACAAAGACGGAGCTTTTCTAATCAAAACCAGATCACACAACCGACAAGGCTAGGAGCAGAAGTCTGCACAGCTCTTTGAGTAACACTCTAGGCGGGTACCGCTGGCTGCGATCAAGGATTGCTAAGCCCAGAGCTCTGCAGGGACTCCTAATAGAATAATGATTCTTATTACCCTATCTCACGTGTATGGTAGTACCGGATCGGCATGATTCACGTTGAGTGAGCTAATGGATTTGTAATGAACTGAAAAAGATGCGGTTTAGCTGGTGGTGGAAAGAGAGCAGTTGCTCTACCAAGATTCAACAGCGTGCTGTGAGGCGGCAGGAGAAGCAACGCTGCTGTTAACGGATTCAATGCATCAAGTCCTAGAAACAGAGTACCAAAATACATTTCTTCAAGTTGAGTAGCGCTTATGTCGCCGCAGTGGCGCGTCACTGGAATACAAAAGCACGTAGTGTGGCGGCAGGAGAAGCAACGCTGTTAACGAATTCAACTCATTGGGTCCTGGAAGCAGACTGCCGGAACGCGTCCTTAAAATGGACTAGCTTTTATATCCCCTCAGTGATGCGAACAAGACAGTGCCACGTCGTGCGTTCGCACATGCCGGCGAAAACACAAACAGCATCTGGTTATTGATCCTGGGAAGCCTAGAGCGTAATAGGATATTATAAGGCATTAATCGAGTGGTACACAGTCAAATTCAAAAGAATTTAGAACTAGGAGGGGAGAGTCGAGCTCTGTCGTTGCAGACAAAACCCCCGAAAGGACAATGACCGACGCCGGTGCTCTTCCGAGTCATGTTCGCCCGGGTGTATTGGCAGCCCGTGGATCAAAGCGGTGACTGGTGTCAGGTTGCCGCAGTAACCTCTTTTTTTTGCTGCTTAATTGCCAAATCCATAAAGGGCAAAGCAGAAAAACGCATCTATTTTCTCGTATTATCCTCCCTTCCCGCCGGCCGACTTCACGGTCTGCCCACCAGCTGAGCTGCCTGCCTGTCTGCTATTTCTGGGGTTTCACGCTTCTCAGGGCTGCCATCTTCTTTCCATTTTTGAATCTCGCCTTGGCTTTGGCTCGGGGGCAACCGAGGTTTTCCCCCATCTGCAGTAACAGCAGCAGCAGCTGTCTGTCTGTCTGCCAGTCTCCCCAATTTTTCTTTCTTCCTCCTTTTTGGTCACTTTCTGCTTACTGCCTCCTTCTTGAGATGGAGCACCCCAGTGGGCACCAAATGGCTTCAGAGACCGCCAGCACCGCCAGCGGCGATGGCGCCAAGCTCGAATCCCAGATGTATCATCAGCTCCGGAAGCTGATTAACGTGGTGGTAAGACACTGCAGCCCTTCCCTGTCTCGATTACTCAGAATTGACTAGCAGCATGCCGCAGCCCAGGGTACCTTAGGGGGCGCAATCAGAGCGCTCTCTGCCGTTTGTTAGAGTCGCCTGTGCGATGGCTTCCCCCTCGTCTCTGCAACGCGCCAGCTTATTCCCGTCTAACAGGGTGTTTACATATTTCTTCTGACAGCAGCCCTCCCTATGCTTTATTGTGGGCGGCCATGGCTGGTGTTTCGTCACTCCTTTCGATTGATCGCCAAGGCTCCGCCTTCTTCACTGTTGTGCTGCCGTTCTATTCCACCGCGGCTACCTGGGCCGAATTGAGAGAGGGCACTTTGGCATTTCCCATAGAACTCCCAGGCTTGCATCGCGTGCTACCAGGGGGCGCTCTCGGCAAACATGCGGAGGGAGGATGGGGAAAGGACTCACTTTTCTCAAGCGGCTGGACCGCGTGGCATTGTTTGCGCATGCGTGGCGCATGAGCGACCTTCAGAAGCGGCATTATGCAGAGCACATCGGCAATAGGCACCAATATCTTCGCTCTTGTGAACGGCTTCCGATACATGTGGGGGCTTCAAAGTGTGTGGTGTTTCGCTGCAGGACGAGCTGAGGGATTGCGGCGTTCAGCAGTGGATTCAGCTGCCGCGCATATGTGTCTTAGGCACACAGTCAGCTGGTCAGTCTACGAAAAAGCAGCGGCTCGCTTTTTGTATTCTCTTTCATGTTTCTCCTTGCCCTCTGATCCTGTTGACACCTTGGTTTAGCTCATGGAAACGAGCCTTGACGAAAATGACCGTCGGCGCATCGCTTCTCTGAAGGAGCTTTTTCCAGGAGTTTTTAGGGGTTCTTTGACTCCTTTGGGGGCTTCTGACTCTCATTTTTTTAACTAGATGTTGCTTGGAGATGTGGGACGGATGTTGTTTCAGGCAAGAGTTCTGTATTAGAGGCAATCGTCGGTGTTGATTTTCTGCCTCGAGGCGACGGCGTAGTTACGCGACGCCCGCTTGAGCTGCGCCTGGTGCATCTTCCGGAATGTAGGTTCTCGCTTTTTTCTCTTTCTATATTTATATATATCTCTGTGCATGTATGCAATGTGTGTTTTTCACTGTGTGCTTATGTGTGTTCATGTGTATCTTTTCATGTGCGTGTTTATGTTTGTGTGTTCATGTGTATCTTTTCATGTGCGTGTTTATGTGTGTGTTCATGTGAAATCTTTTTATGTGCATGTTTATGTGTGTGTTCATGTGTATCTCTTTATGTGCGTGTTTATGTTTGTATGTTCATGTGTATCTTTCTATGTGCGTGTTCATGTGTGTGTGTTCATGTGTATCTTTTTATGTATGTGTGTATGTGTGTTCATGTGTATCGTTTCATGTGCGTGTTTTTGTGTGTGTGTTCATGTGTATTTTTTTATGTGCGTGTTTTTGTGTGTGTGTTCATGTGTATCGTTTCATGTGCGTGTTTATGTTTGTGTGTTCATGTGTATCTTTTTATGTATGTGTGTATGTGTGTTCATGTGTATCTTTCTATGTGGATGTTAATGTGGGTCTCTGTCTGTGCGTGCCGTATTGTGCGTCTTTCTGCTCCTCTTCATTAAATGTGTGGTGGCGTTGGCTCTACACGGGATGGCGACAGCCAAGCCAGAAGCAGTGGGCGTGGGGGGTTCCTCTATATCAGCGTGGCTCTCCATGCTATGTTGCAGCTTGCTGTCTCTTGTCATGCCCCTCTTGAGGCTTCGCTTTTGAGGCACCGTCTGCTGTCAGGAAGGGTGTCTTGCCGCTGAGTCTGTCTCGCCGGTGTCATCCTACCGCGTCTTAGCGTCCTCTGTAGTGCTCTCTCTCTCTCCTTAAAGGCAGTTTGCTTTGTTGGCTGTAGAAGGCTAAGCCTTGGCATGTGTATCGCGCTGCTTCTGCCGGCATGAGTCTCTCTGTCTCTCTCTCTGCATGCAGCCGAGCACGCTCCTGAAGAGGCATACGCAGTGTTCGATTCCTCAAGGGACAAGAAGTATACGAATTTCGAAGAAGTTCGCAGGCAGATCGAACGCCTCACAGATGAAGTCGCTGGTGAGCATGCAGCATGGTCTGTGCTAAGGCCCTAAGCGCACTGCCTTAAAATTCTCTGCCTCATCAAGGCTCTAGATAGCTGGATGCACGCATTCTATGACGGAGGGGTCGCGCTGTATGTGTGTGCATGTTTCGAGAGTGTGGGGAGGTTTTTTTGCAAATCGCTGAAAAATGTGAACTCTGGGAATCGTGGGGGCACAGACCAACGCGCACAGAGAGAAGGGGGGGAGGCAGTGAAGGGTCAGAAAACGCGTGGCTTTTTCCAGGAAAGTAGAAAGGGTTGCGTATGTTATGGTGTATTGTATTGTATCGTGGTGTATTGTGTTGTGTTATGTTGTATTCTGGTGTATGTTATGGTGTATTGTATTGTATCGTGGTGTATTGTGTTGTATCGTGGTGTATTGTATTGTATCGTGGTGTACTGTGTTCTTTTATGTTGTATTGTGGTGTATGTTATGGTGTATTGTATTGGTTTGTGGTGTATTGTATTGTTTTGTGTGCGCACACCTCATGGGGAGGGAGGCGGTTCTGCAGCAGGGACGCACTGTTTATGATAAATGGTGCAGAGAACCCTGCACGCTCCACGCTGCACTTCTCAATCTTTTCCGTTCTGCCTGTGTGTTGGCGTTTATCCCCACCAGGCAAGAACAAGGGGATCGTAGACTCCCCCATAGTGCTCACTGTATACGCCACGCGATGCCCAGATCTATCGCTTATTGATCTACCTGGCATCACGAGGGTTCCTTTGAAGGGAAGTGACCAGTCAGATGACATCGAGGCACTGACACGCCAAATGGCACTCAGGTGAGAGTCATGAGCAGCGCTTGAGCCGGAAGCGCAGGGGCTGTATTGTTTTCTCAAGTTGCCGGGGAGATTGCATTGCCCCTCGTCGAGCTCTGTGGGGGTATGCATGCATGCGCTGAACGGGGCCAAGAGATGGATTGCGCCTTATTTTGGGAATGGGGCTTTTTTAATTAAGCGATTATCTAGCGCTCACATTATGCAACTTTTGTGTCGCTTGGCGTGTGTGCAAGCTTGGCCGTTGTCACTTAGACGCATGCAGAGGGGAGGCAGCCATCCCCCCCTTTCTCCCCTCCCTCCCCTGCACGATTCACATGGCACTGCATCAATTTTGCTCGCCTTCTTCTTCGTCTTGCCGCGTGTGCAGCTATGATGGGCTTCTGTTGCGCTCTGCTCCTCTTCCTCAGATACGCTGCTGACCCTCGAACTATCATTCTTGCTGTTCTGCCAGCGAATGCCGGTGAGAGGCGCTCTTACAGAAAGATGCAGAGTTAAAATGCATGCATACAGATGGAGATAGCTATATATAGTGTGTACCTCTCTGGCTATGTGCAAACTCGGGGGCATGTGTTTGCTGGAGTCTTCTGATGGTTGAGGCCCCTGAGGGGCGTCTGTTTGTCTCTCTGTCTATGTCTCTTTTTGTCTCTCTTTCTTTCTCTCTTTCTCTTTCTTTCTCGCTTTCTTTCTCTCTCTGTCTGAGTCTCGCATGCGCGCAGTTTTCCTCTTCCTTTTGTACATGTGCTAGTGGTAGCGCGATTGCGTTTGTGAGCGCATGCAGACATGTCCACTTCTGACGCCTTGCAGTTGGCGCGCCGCGTCGACCCCCGCGGTGTACGGACAATCGGAGTCATAACGAAAGTTGATTTAATGGACAAAGGCACAGACGCCTCGAAAATGCTGCTAGGGGAAGAGATTCCGCTTAGACTTGGATATACTGGCAAGTCTTAGGAAGCGGCGCGTTCTACAGTAGCCGCAAGGGCCTCTTCCTCTTGCCTCCTTCCTCCTCTTCTTCCTCCTTTGCTTTCTTCGCGGTTTTTGAGGGAGGAGCGGCAGAGGATTGTTGGGGGAAAGTGGGGGAAATGGCAATTGCTTACTTGGCGTAGATAGCCATCCACACACACACACATGCACACATACACACATGCACACATACATACACACACACACACATACATACATACACACACACACATGTACACATACACACATGCACACGTACATATACACCCACATAAAATATCTATACACGGCTCTGTGGGTGGACATACTTGGGGGCGAGGCGTGTACGAGGGCCATGTGTGGGAACCACCATTTGGTGTACTTGTCAAAAGGCTGCCAGCATGAGTTGTGAAATTATTTCATGCGCGTTCTGACTGCCGCCTCGCTCAGCACATAGTAGTGGATAGTGCCCAGCAGTGCTGTTCTTTGCTGCGTCGAGCTATGCATACGCCAACAGCCACGCAAGACACGCAGGCATGCATGCATGCATGCACATCCTTGTCTGGGGGACTAGCCGCAGACAAGAGTCGAGCAGAGCTTAAGGTGCACTGCGTGCTGTTGGATTCTGGCTGCTGTATTTCTGCAGGCGTGAGAAATCGGTCTCAAGCGGATATCAAGTCTGGCAAAAGCGTTCAGGCTTGCTTGGAGGATGAGCGTCAATACTTCCGCAAGCATCCGGTGTATGGCCACATGCGACCCCAGTATTTTGGCATTCCGTCTCTTGTGGAGAAGCTCACGCGAGTCCTCTTTCTTCACATCAAACATGTGCTCCCCGAAATCCGCAAGGAGATTCAGATAAAGGCACGAGACGTCCACGGCAGGATTCAGGAGCTTGGCGAGGTGCGACGTCTTTTTGCGGTGCTCGCTCTCAGTTGTGGGAAAGGCAGATCGAAGCAAACCAGATAGCAAGCTAGGCATTGCGAGTCTAGCTCGCTGTCCGAGTGTGTGTGTGTGTAGCTAGCTAGCTAGCTAGCTTGCTGTCTGAGTGCGCATGTGTCTAGCTAGCTAGCTGTCTGTGCGTGTCTCCTCCTGCCCCTCCCCTTACCCTCGCGCACATGGTCTTTAGGCCTTAGATCTCACGCGGCGGTAGATGCAGCATGCCTCTCATGATGCTTGCTGCTTCGCTCAGGGGGTTCCCACCGAGTCTAAAGATCGAGCTCAGCTGCTGTGGACGGCGATCACGGATTATGTTGAGGTCATTAAGAGCGCCATTAGGGGCAAGTACGACAAGCGGCTGCAGAAGTATTTCGATCAGGTCTGTTTATGCATGCAATGCAGGCATTCCTCCCTCGCAAAAGAGAGAAATAGAGAGAGAAAGAAAGAGAGAGACAGAGAGATAGAAATAGGGAATTTGGCTTGGCGCTTTGGGGGAGTGGTGGCGAATTCAGGGATGGGGGTGGGGATATCGACCAGGCAGTGTTTGAAGTGGGGGGGGGCCTCTTTGTCACGAGGCTACCACGAGCTGCTGTTAGAGCTGAGAGGGAGTTTTCAAAAAGTGCCTGAACACGCTTTTCCGTGGGCTTTATACAGGAGAGAGAGGGTCGTTTATACAGGAGAGAGAGGGAGAGGGTCGCTTGAGGGGGGTATGCATGCGGTTTCCTCAGGATCAGTGTCTTACGATTGGATCGTGCATCCGCCACGAATACACCACGCTGCTGGAGGATTTCTGCGAGAGGAGCATCTCGGATGATATCACCGACAAGCAAGTCGAGAACGCCATCAGACTGCACGAAGGCGAGTCTCTTCCAGGATTTCCGTCTCCTGATACGTTCGAGCACCTCATTCTGCCTTACCTTAAGAGACTTTCGCCCCCCGTAATGGACTGTCTTGGTAAGAAAATCACAACAACACGGAAACAGCACTCCTCACGGCGGACAGACACACGCACACACACAGACAAACGCATACACACATACATTCATACATAACATACATACATATATATACATACATATACAGCCATACATGCATATACATACATACATACACATACGTAACACGTATATTCATACACAACACATGCATTCATACATAACACACATTCATACATACATACATATACAGCATTACATACATACATGCACAGACACGCACATACATACATATACGTATACATACATACTTACATGCATACATACATGCACAGACACGCACACACATACATTCATACATAACATACATATACATACATGCATACAAATACATACATAACACGCATTCATACATAACACACATTCACACATACATATATATACATACGTATATACATGCATACACAGACACGCACACATATTCATACATACATGTATATACATGCATACATATACATACATGTACCTAAACAACACACATTCATACATAACACACATTCATACATACATATATATACATACATATACAGCCATACATACATGCATACACAGACACGCACACACATTCATACATATACAGCCATACATACATGCATACACAGACACGCACACACATTCATACACATACCCATACACACACACACATACGCATTCATACACTCACGCACATACATATACATACACACACACACACATACATATACATACATACATATACATACATACACACACATACATATATATACATACATACATCTGCGTGCCATGAATGCGTGGCCTCTTGAAGACCCCTGCTGGTGCAATACTTGTTTTTTCGCATTGGGTTGTTTTCTGAGGCAGCTTTGGCGTGTGTTTTGACCATGAGACTTCTCGATATTGCATATTTTGCCTGCTGTCACCTCCTGGTTTGTGCGTTTTTTTGTCTTTTTCTCCTTTAGACCGCGTCGCACAGACATTGGAGAACCTATCTCAACGCGTGGCGGAGAAGGTGTTTTGTCGGTTTCCTGCCTTGTCGGATCGCGTCTTAGAGATTTCTCAAGACATCCTAGCTCGCGAGCGAGAGGCTACCCGCGAAATTTTGCAGCACGATGTTGATGCTGAGATGGGTTACTTATTTACAAACGATGAGCGGTGAGAAAAAGGCGGTTTTTCCCCCTTCTTCCCCCTCCCTTGCACCTTGGGGAACGTGGGCTAAGAGCAAGCAAGCAAGCTAGCGGGCGCTCGCTCGCAGTCTTTCCCGTGCAGCTTTAAGTCTCTTTCTCTCTCTCTTTGTGTCGTGGTACCCACTTTCTGGTGTCTCGTTCGTTCGAAAGCACTTTTCCCCGCAGAAGCGGTAGGGGAGGGGAGGGAAAGCGCTGCGCAAGGAAGGGGCCTCTGTAGGATGATTGCCGGCAGCTGTGCATGCGCCACCGTCGAAAGCAGCCCCTTAGCGTCGCGCTTTGTCTGCGTTTGCATGCGCCATCACCAGCTACCTTCATGAGCACGGGACGATGATTACGCAGCAGCAGCTGACGCTGGAGCAGCTGCAGCAGCAGCAACAGCTGCTGCAGCAGCAGCAGCAGCTGGGTGTTGCGCCGGATGGGAGGCCGATCCAGCAGCCTTCGCATGCAGAGCGAGCTCAGCAGATGCTGCAGCAAGTGCAGAATCAAATGACGAGTCTGTGGACGAGCAAGGAGAAGAAGCGTCCGATCTATAGCGGTAAATTGGCATTGCGGGTGGATCCCACTGCTCCCTCGCTTGTCTTTTTCGGAGGCTGCTGCTTTGGCGCAGTCGCGCTGCTGCTGCTGCCCGCATGCCGACTGCGGAGGAGGCGGAAGGCTTCTTGTTGCGCTTCTCGCAGAGCAGTTCATTGCGGAGATCCGAAGGCGGCTTGACGCTTACTTCAGCCTCGTACTGCACAACGTCCGCGATACCGTAAGGCGAGAAGTTCATGCGATGCTGGCTCGACAGAGCGGGAAGGGGGCACAGAAGCAAGCAAGAGATCGACGCTGCTCCACATGAAGGGTGCAGGAAGATAGAACAGAGGCTGAGGCGGTCCGAGTAATAGCAATATATATATATATATATATATATATATATATATATATATATATATATATATATATTGCTATTGTTTGGTCTGCCGAAGCGAGTGGTGTGCCCTCTCTATCTCGAGGCGGGCAGCGCTTACAGTGTGCGATTCGCCCTTCTGGCGTTTGCGCCGGAAAGCAGAGGCACAAAACAGGAGGAGCCTCTTACTTCGCAGACTTCCTGCAGCTTTTTCCTAACACGGGTGTGTGCTTGTTGCGATGTGCGCAGGTACCCAAGAAAATAGGCTTTTTCCTCGTTCGCCAGTTGCAAGACAAGTTGCAATTCGAGCTTTACAACAAGCTGAATGACGAGCAGCTGTTTTCCTCGCTCCTTGGAGAGGTCGTTTCTCGCATACCTTAGGGGAAGGGGCATGGCACTAGAGCAAGCGCTGTTGGGGCGTTTGCCATCGGCTTTCTTTATATAATTCGCCTTCGTGCAGTGCAGTCTGTTTTCTTATGAGTAGTTGCCGCCGCTCGCTGTCTTTCCTTCGTCTAGGACTTGTTTTCGGGAGGAAAGGGGGAGAGAGACGCTGCTTTTTCTCTCCCTGTCTTGCCTTGCATCTCCTTTTATTTGCGCTGTATGAACTGACTCCTGCGACACTGGTGCCGCCACCGGCACGGAGGTTTTCGAGGGAAGTGCTCTCTGAAGGACTGTTGCTGCTTCTGCTGTGTCTGCCTCCACTGCAGCCATCGCACATCGTGGAAGAGCGCCGAGCTTTGGTGGGGCAGCTGAATACTCTCAAGAAGGCGACTGCAGTCCTGCAGCGCGATCCTCAGATAGCGGGTACGTACAGCACGGCATCCATGCATGCGTGCATGCGTGCACACACCTGAGGGGGGCTCATTGCTGGCTGCTCCATTAGCCGCTGCTGCTGCTGCAAGACATGCACGGAGAGGCTTTCTTCGCGCGAGTTTCGCGTTGAATGGAAATGGGTGGACGTTGTCGCATGCACGCCCGTTTTCGTTCGTGCTCGCTGCCCCCTGCAAGCCCTCGAGAAGCTCAAAGAGCGCTTTTCTCAGCGCTTAACCCCTCAAATGCGCACTTGTTTTTGCTGCCGCTGCACACAGCACTGAACTTTGATACGGTCGACGCCATGTTCGACTCGGATCTTCGCGAATTGCAGCGAGCAGGGCCTCCTCCGCAGCTGGCAGCGAGCAGCTCACCGGGATCTGCGATTGCCTCCCAGAGGCTTCCGCAGCAGCAGCAACAGATGCAGCGGCAGCAGCAACAGATGCAGCAGCAGCAACAGATGCAGCGGCAGCAGCAGCAGCAGCCCTCAGCGATGCGCCTTCCGAACGGGCAGCCTCCTCCGCGTGAGTGTCTCAAGAAAAAGGCTTTTCCAGGTGTAGGGTAGCCTTTCAGGCATCAGCTTCACAGGAGTGCAAGGAGGCAACGCACACCAGAGCCTAGGGGTGTCTTCTTCGTCATGTCTCTGTGCCGATTTCGCAGCTTCTCAGGGTGTAGCAGCATCCTCAGGAGGGCCGTCAGGCAGCAGCGCCTTGTTGGTGACTGCGCAGCAGCCCCCTGCCTCTGCAGCTCCTGTCCAGGGTAAGGAGCTGCGGCTGCATGCGCAGTTCGTTGATCCGCCTAGTAGATTTCATCGCGCATAGCGTCCGTCCTCGCTCAATTATAGAGTCGCAAAATTGACTGCTAGGGTGTTCGGTGGCGGCAGCACGCGCATGCATGCGCTTGGCATCATTGCTTATCAGTTTCCCCTCTCGGCGTGTAACTCAGACGGAAGAGCAGCTCCCAACGCGCGCCATCTCTTCGAGCGTCCAGTCATGTTTCAGGTACAACATCCAAGTTTGGGGCTTTCTCGCCGCAACGCTGTGCCTTTTCCTCTCGTTAGCCCCTCTTGCCATTAACTTTTCTGTTCCTCAGTAACAGGCAAGACACCCTTCATGCCTTGCCTCCAAAGAGCTGCCACGGTCTTATCGGTGCTTTCATGCGATTTAGGCTAGTGCTGTCTTGTACATCTATACATATATATATATATATATACAGATATACACGCAGTTCTCTTGCGTCATCCACCGCAGTGTGAGAGGCAGAGAGGCTTTGTGATGGCCGCCTCCGCGTCTTTTTCTAGCTGATTTCCTGTCTGTCCGTAACTGCCTGGCATTTAGACAGTGTTTGTGGGGTGTATATATATATATGTATATGTATTTGTGTGTATGTGTGTGCCGGGTTTGCAGAGCGCCTCAAATCCCCTCTTTAATGACTAGTCCTCTTTGTCCTCCCTGCGTTTTCTCAAAAAAGGGCTCTGTATATGGGAGAGTCTGTTGTCTGTGTCATAGGGTGTCTTTGCACGTCGTGTTGATTCTCTAGGGGCCAGCAACTTTGTCACTCAGCGACTTCATAGGTGGCTACAGCAGGCTGCTTTAGAAGACCGGGTTCTTCTGCTACTTGTTTCCAAATGGGATACAAACAGTTAGGGCAGCATAACCAAATACTTGTGCACTGTTGCCAAGTGCAGCTGATAGATGTGCGTCCGGCATATATCTCTATCTGTATATTTATATCTGCACTCCATGAATACCAGTCAGTTCTCGCACTTATAAAGTCAGATAGAGAAAGGCGCAAAGGCGGCTACAAAGCTCTCTACTGTCCCCCACAGTGTTGTGGTGGATGCAGTGCAACTGCCTCCTAGTGACGCTGATGGAAGCGATTAGAGGGAGGGAAAAGGCTACAAGAATAGAGAAAGAGAGTGCAAAACAGCCGGCACATGGCATGTATTCCCTACACTTAAAGGGTTCGTCTGCGGGTCCTACAGGTTGTGGTGGGTGAAGGCGAAGCGTGTGCTAGGCTTGCTTTGCTCATAGCAAGGTGGTTTCTGAACTGTACGCAGCGGTGCACCTCCTCGGGTGTTTCGCATGCGGGAGGGGGAGCTCACCCAGTGTAGGAGCAGCTGCAACAAGACACAGCTGATCATTAGACTTTTGGCTGGGCTGGGCAGCTCTTCGTTTTTAAGTTCGTGCCTCAAATAGCAACAACTTGACTTCTCCTCCTCCAGACTCTGGCGGTTGTTGCCTGTGACTGTGCCCCTAAGCGACCTCGGCTTTGAGCTCAGGCTGCCTTGGAAGGGGGGGGGCAGGGGGGCACTTTGGAGAAAAGTCTCTTCTTTGAAAGTGGCGGCTGAGGCAAATCCTGAGCTTTCGCAGCGTTGATGCGGGAAGGGTTATGGCGCACGGCGGTACGCAGATGCCTGGCAGTCCGTAACTCTGACAGGGGAAAGGAACGCACGGGGAGAGACGGTGAAGCAGCCATCCTGCTTCACGCATGTAGACAGTCGACTCTCGGCTGTGGAACCTTCGCGGATAGGTAGGCTATTTGCCAAGTCTTTGCTGCAGCGCTTCTCGACTCCTGCGCTGCAGTCCCTCCGAGACGGACCGCCGGCAACTGGCAGCGAGAGACAGCAGGAGGAGCCACACTGAGAGGCCTCAGGGCACTTCCTTAGTGCCGCATTTATAGGTTGAAGCTTGCACTCCACTGTATCTTACTAGTACAAGCTCTGTTCGTTCCCTACCTACGACGCGACTCTTTCCCTTCTCTTCAGCGCTGGTTAGTGCACAAGTGCCTATTCTGGGATCTTTCGCGCCACCCCCACCCTGACTGCGAAGCGACCCTGCGAATAGGTGTATATGTAAAGCATTTTTATTGTCACTTCTCTCCACCCGCGGCTGCAAGTTGCAACGGAGGATCCCTCGAAACGTAGCCGTGGCACCAGCCGCCTCGGCGTTCTTTTTCCTCTCGCCAAAGCCATGAAGCAAATTCCATAGAAGCAGCCGCCGCAAGTGTCCCTCTATGTATGGTGACTTGTCATGATATACCGCACAGTACAGAAAAAAATGACCTTCACCGCCTTGATAAAAAACCGCTCTACCCTGGTGAAGCCTTCCTTATAGGGGGTGGTTGTCAAAAATGGGCTTCTGCCACCACACCCTTCTCTGTGTAAAGTGGTACTTTCTCCCCACATTTCCAGCGCATCTCTTGACGGCATGTATCCCTTCTGCCTGTGCCTTTATCCGTCTAAAACTGTTTTCGCGGCTGCTGTCGAGAGTTTCTTCCAGGTGATGTGCGTCACCTCACAGATCGACAACGCCGTGGGAGCTCTCCGCGTGGTGAGGAAGTGAGGGGCAGCGCTCGCAGTTCGGTTTTTTTGTAGAGAGACATTAAGCTGAAGTCTCTACACCAACTCGGCAGAAGTTACGGGGTGTTTCTAAAAGAGCTCCCTCCTTCTCCCGCCCGACTCCCTCACAGTTCCCGAAATGAGGGTAAAGGCGACGGTTAGAATTCGTATAGCTCCTTCTTTTTAGCGCTTCGAGATTTCACGGCGAGTTGCACATTGCAGACGCTGCACAGCCTCCCAACACCCCGTTTCTTTGAATTGGGGTAACGTTGCACCTTAGAATACGTTTGCTGTTCGAGTGCAGAAATCAGGTAGTTGGATCTTGACTGGTTTATAGTTCAATAAAACCAGTGTAACGGAAGACGCGATTTTGAACGTAGCTGAGTGGTCAACAATATGAGTGTGGGTTTCGCTTTCTCTCGCGTGCGCGCTCGATCTCTCTATCTTCCTCGCTCGCTCACTCGCTCTCTCTCCCTCTACCAAAGGCTCTCTCCCCTCACTGCCACGTGTCGAGAAATTTTTTTTCTGTGTAAAACAGCTGTTTGTTCCAGCGGGGAGCGAAATGGAGGCCTGGAGGCGTGTGCATCGGTCCCAAGGCGAAACCGTGGACAAAAGCGATATCGTGGGCGGAGCACAGGGGTGAGTTGATTGTAGAGGGAGTTAGTTCATGGGTTGATGATGCAGACTCTTTGGACGGCGACTTTACACAGCCTCTTCTAGGCTATACAGGTGGAGGAGGCGAGGGGACTAGGCAGGGAAAGCGATGCGAGGAGACAGATGCCTCATAGCCCCCATGCAAATGGACAGTCGTGGCATTGCATATGGGTAGCTGGGCAGACGCACAGAGCGGCAACCGGTGCTGTAGGATTTCGGGAGACGCGAAGCGCAACGAGACGGTGGAGGACACCGAAAGAGACAGCTGCGTTCTATTAGGATCTAGCAGGAACCAATAGTAGAACCGCGAGAGCGCGAGGCGTCGTGGTGTGGGCAGGGGCCACAACCTGCGGTTTGGGGTGTAAGTGAGCAAAAGGATTTGGGAGTCAAGGAGACAATTCTTTGGGGAATATAGCGCAATAGAAGGCGCTGGACGTTCTTGGGAGATAGGAGCCCGCAGGAAGCAGCAGCAGCCCCTCTGTCTCCCTCAGCAGCAGGAGTATGCCACTCCCCGCTGGTGCTACTTCAGGTAGGCTTGTGTGCTTCGTGTATGGGCCTTTTAAATCTTTTTCCTCAACACTTTTATTGTTTTAGGTCTTTTAGTTGTGTGTGTGTCTCTTGGGGCTTCCTGGTTCGGCCCTTATCTCGACTGCGGCAGCCGCCATCGACACCAGCACAGCAGCAGCAGCAGCGCCAGCAGCAGCAGCGTGTGTCATACTGCGTGCTGTGCAGCTCAGGATACTGCACCGTAAGTGTGTCCATCGCCTGGCGAAATACAACACCGAATTCCTTTCTGATTTCTGTCTCTTCGTTTATTATCAGGGCAGCCAGCAAAGTCTGCTGAGGCAGCCACCAGACGGGATTGTCTCCTGCCCCCCGCCGCAGCTGCCCGTCCCCCTCCAGCAGCGGCAGCTGTCGCAGCTGCTGCCGGCCCTTAAAAGTAGGTAGCACAGCGTGAAAGCAAAGCTGTAGCAGCTCTTGAAAGAAGGGTTCCTATTTCTGCTGGTGCACCTTCTGTGTCTTCCTTTTATTGAGGACGTAGTTGGCGCGGCAGCGGCAGCGGCAGCGGCGGCACCAGCAGGAAATACTTACAGGCGCAAGTACAACTGCATCCCAGCAGCAGGTGGGGTGTGGTTCTTGTATATATTTAGCGGCAAATACACTGTAACAACGCAAATCTGCGTCGTTGAGCCTATGAGAAGGCCCCTTCAAACAGACGTTCTGACCCTACCCCGCACTCCATCTGCCTTAGAAAAGCCCCCGCCGCGATTCGCCTGACTGCAATTGGTGAAAAAAGCCTGCCTTTGCGCTCTCCCTCTTTCTTTCTCTCTTTCTCCAACGGCAGTTTGTGGTACTGGGGCTGCTGTCACCGCCTTGTTCCCTTCTTCTCGCTCTCCCATTGTAGCTGTAAAAATACGAGATAGTAGGCGCAAACGATCCCTCCGCCTGCATCAGCAACTCGAAAGCGCCAACCCCCTCCCCTCCCCCTTCTCGCTCGCAGCAGAGAAAGGAAGCAAGGACGCAGTCGCAGGAGGACGCCTTTCTCTCGCCTTTGCCTCGCCGCCTCTCGCAGGTGAAGCGCCGCATGCATGCAGCGTTCCTCGTGGAGGGGGGAAACCGTGTGTCGAGATTGAAAATCTCCGCCGCGTTCAAGGGGGATTCGAACGGCAGCAGCTGCAGCAGGCGAGAGAATGCCAAAGCCCGCGCTTTCTCACCTCCCCCTGAAGGAGTTTCGGCACCGCGTTTTGCTGTTGCCTCCTCAGCAGCAGCAGAGGCAGCAGCAGTGTCTGTCCGCTGGTGCTGAGCACCCAACGCAGCAACAGCAGCAGCCGCAGGATCTGGAAAGCATGCAGCGCCAGCTGGAGGCCGTTACTGAAGCCGATTTACTGCGTGCGCTGAAGCAGCTGGCAGGAGGAGCTCCTGGCTTGTTTCCTCCCCAGCAGCAGGATGACCACCAGCAGCAGCAGCAGCAGCAGCAGCAGAGACAGCAGCAGCAGCCTTTACAGGAGGCTGATGTAGCAGGCGGAGGGCCAGGCGGATCGAGAGAGACTCCTGACTACCCTCTGACGTGTCTCTGCCAAGCGCAGGGAGTTGGTGCGAGCCGCGGCTGCACGCGCTGCAGCAACAGCGGCAGGCAGCAGCAGCAGCAAGCGGCACCGGCGGGGAGAACGCAGCCGAAGAGGCATTCACTGCACAGACAACAGCAGGTAGCAGAAAAGCAGCAGCTGCAGCACCAGCAGGCGAGCAGCAGCGGCGCCCAGCAGCAGCAGCAGCTTGGCTTGTCTGGAGGCAGGGGGGGAGGAAACGGCCCTCTCGTTCGTGATTCGCTAGAGCAACAGCAGCAGCACCAACAGCAACAACAATGGATCGATTTTGGAGAGGCGCTCTCCCTTCAGAAGCAGCTAGACGCACTGATGCGCAATGCGCTTGAAGGCTTAGGCTCAGCTTCTGAGGATAACACATCGCAACAGCACCAGCAGGACTGGCAGCAGCAACACCTCAGTGGAGGGGGTCTAAGCAGCAGGTTTACTCACTACACATCTGGAGACGTGACTCCCGCTAGCAGCAGCGACTGCCGCACGCCTCAGGGGCAAGGCTTCTCCCTAGAACCCCCCGTTGTTATCTCTGCAGCACTCCAGCAGCAGCAGCAGCAGCAGCAGGATGCTCATATAGGAGACGCTGCGACAGGGAGTCTCCAGGGAACTGCTGCTGTGATGGTGAGACTACCCCGGAGATAGCACAAAGCCTAGGAGCATGGAAAGAACGGGAGCTCAATGTTGCTAGATGATGCGTATCTACATCTACACATACATATAGATGTATATATATATATATATATGTATGTGCACATATTTGTGTACGTATATAGATATTTATATATATATTTAGGTCCTTGCGCGGCTTCGAGTTGTGTGTCCCCTGCAAGCCAGTGTCTTGTCGGTTCTGCATCCCATGCTGTTCGTTGTTTTGTTGCTTCGGACTGCTCGGATTGCTGCAGCTCGCGCTAAAGGCTCGTGATTTGAGGGACGGCCTCCTAGCGGAATTGCAGCAAGAAGGTCTTTCGGCGGAGGCAGCAGCAGGCAGAGCGGCGGATATCTTGGGGGCTGCACTGGCACTTACCCGGCATGCCCATCCTAGGCCCGATGCATTCGGTAAAAATTTGATATCCTGGATGCAGGGTGAGCCAGATTTATACTCTTTCTCTCGTCATATCTCGGTACAGCTCTCTCGATCTATCTTTATCTCGATGTGTCCTTATCTCGATCTTTATCTCGATGTGTCTTTATCTCGATGTGTCCTTATCTTTATCTCGATGTGTCTTTATCTCGATGTGTCTTTATCTTTATCTCGATGTGTCTTTATCTTGATGTGTCTTTATCTTTATGTCGATGTGTCTTTATCTCGATGTGTCTTTATCTTTATCTTGATGTGTCCTTATCTTGATGTGTCTTTATCTTGATGTGTCTTTATCTCGATGTGTCCTTATCTTTATCTTGATGTGTCCTTATCTCTATATCGATGTGTCTTTATCTTTATGTCGATGTGTCTTTATCTCGATGTGTCCTTATCTTTATCTCGATGTGTCTTTATCTTTATCTCGATGTGTCTTTATCTCGATGTGTCCTTATCTTTATCTCGATGTGTCTTTATCGTTATCTCGATGTGTCTTTATCTCGATGTGTTCTTATCTTCATCTTGATGTGTCTTTATCTTTATATCGATGTGTCCTTATCTTTATCTCGATGTGTCTTTATCTTGATGTGTTCTTATCTTTATCTTGATGTGTCTTTATCTTTATCTTGATGTGTCCTTATCTTTATCTCGATGTGTCTTTGTCTTGATGTGTCTTTATCTTTATATCGATCTATCTCTCTCTCTCGATGTGTTTTTATCTCTATCTTGATATTGCTCTCCCTGAAATATTGGCGTGCGGCTTTCTGTGCACGCGTGCAGCGTGTGGAGCGAGGGAGAGCCGTAGTGTATGCAGCTTGCTTTTATGTATGTCTCTAAATATATGGGCAGAGGATTTGGTATGCCTTTGCGTGGGAGGAGGAGTCCATCGTGGGGTATCATTTTGCAGCGAAGAGGAAGTCGGTTGTGCCGTTGTTGTGTGTTGTTGCGCAGGGGTCGGTGGGCCGAATTTCGCGGCTCCTACGATGTTGGCGCACCCTGACGAATTCAGGAACCCTTCGTCTTTCCTGAAGATATACGGCGATCCGATGTGCTGCCTGGAGCAGCAGGCGCAGCGAGGAGGAGCCCCCCCCTCCTGCGCATTGACTGGGGAAGGCGGTGCAGGTGCAGCCTCAGCGGCAAATCCTGTGCGTGGTCGCAACGGCAACTGGTTATGCCGCAGCTGCAGCAACGTGAACTTCCCGAGGCGCTTCCGATGCAACAAGTGTGGGGCCCCTAGGGGCCCCGAGGGAGATGCCGTCGTGGCAGAGTATGCAAAGCAGGTTTACAGACACCACCTGAACACGTTCCGGCTGCTGGCGGAGAGTCAGGGAACGGACGCGCCGCTCAAGAGGCTCAAAGGCAAGCGGAAGCAGCAGAGCAATCCGCAGCAGCAGCAGCAGCAGCAGCAGCGAGCCGTGGCGGCTGCAGTGCTTGGACTCGCCTCTCTGTCTCGCAACAGTTCCAGCAACAATAGCGCCCCCACGCCGCTCGCCGCGCAACTGCGAACTCCCATCCTCCCAGCCTCGCTGGCGTCGACTGTCTGCGGCTTGACGGGCAGCAGCAGCAGCAGGAACGGCCGCAGCGGCAGCAGCAGCCCCTGTCATTCGTTGTCTATGGGAACCAACGAAACCAGTCCCATGAGCACGAGCTCCTGCAGCAACAAGGCTGGAGCGCAGGGGGGTGGCACTCTGGGACGGCAGCCTCAGGGAACGGCGGATGCTGCTGCCGAGATTGGCATCGGGGAGGCCCCTTGCACCTCCTCCGACACTGCAACTGGGAATGTAAACGCAGCGGACACAAAGCTGCACTTCGCATCGCATGCACTCCTTTGAGTTGCAGCAGCAGGCATTATTTCTACACGCTTCTTAATCAACCAGCAGGTGTACAGTCACCGCGTCACAGCTGCCGCGCAAAAGCAGTAGCAGCAGCAGTAGCAGTAGCAGCGGCAGTAGCAGCAGCAGTAGTAGCAGCAGCACTCATACTGGCGGTTATACCTTTATATATATATATACATATACACATATATATATATATTCATATATATATATGCATAAGCTGGTCTCCAGAGTCTATCTCTCACCCATCGTCTTATTTTGTTTTTGCTTCGGTTTGATCTTCTTTTTGCTGCTTCTTTGGCTGCAGAAATCTGCAGCAGCAACAGCAGCAATAGCAGTAACAGCAGCAGCAAGTTTCAGGTGTATATATATTAATATATATATATACCGCGACTAGCGGCCGCGCATAGATCGTTTTTTGCGCCTCTTCCAGCATCACATGCAGCAGCTCGCTGCTGCTGAGAAGCAGGTTCACACTGGTTCATTTGGCCGATAAATGAGCACTGGGTTGCGTGCGGGGGAGGTAGAAATATATATATATACCTGTTTATACAAATATATATACATTTATTCATGAATCATCGCCACGCGGCAACACAAACTGCTGTTGCAGAAAAGCTGCCGTGGTATGCAGCAGCAGCAGCAGCACACTGGCAACGGCAACTCAAGTCTTGGGGCTTCCAGAAGCAGTCGGACGCGTGCTGCGGCTTATGCAAGGCTCGTCCAACTACAGTGGCGCTGGAATCCTGTTGCGGCGTCATAAAGGCCCTCCGATGGAGCTTTTTGTGGCTTGAGAGAAGGGCTGTGAGTGGTTGCACGAATTGCAGTTACAGCGCAAGACTGTCTATGGCGCTCGGTTTACGCTCCTTCCATTACGGGGCTATTTATGGGGTGGTTAAACCGTCCCTTTGTGGAGGCAAGGATCTCTCTTCACGCAAAGGGCCCTATGGCTACCCGGCTGTCGCCTACACTGCTCTCCTCCTCCGAGGGCAGTGACCAACGAACAACATTCAAGCAACATCCTATTTTGCTGCAGCGAGGTGGGGGCTCCAGGCGGACCTAACTCGTTGTTGGCCTTTAAAACAGCTGAGGTTTTAGCGCCTTCCTTGGCGCAGCATGTGCCCTCTTCTTAGAGCTGGCCCCCTACCTGCCCCTTGCTGCAGCTTCCTGCACCGACGAGGGAGGGCTTTAAGATATAAGTAGGTGTCAGGGAAAACTCGCTGCAGCAGTGCAGCGGTCGTTTCGCGTAATAATTAGGGCACGGGATAGGGCTATACCAGATCGCAGCTGCATAAGGAGTGCGTTGGGGAGAGGATCCGCAGGGAGAAGACTGGCCGTTTAGGCTGCTGCCGCTGTAGGCAGCTGCACCTAGCGCTCCGTATAGGGAGTGGTACGGCAGCAGCCTCCTTTGGAGAAGCAGGTCCGCGCTCCCCAAGGGGAGGCAAAATCGTAGAAACTCGTACCCCAGGGGACGCCGAAGTTGCTGTCGTGTCTTTCTGCTGCACCTTTCGTAGCGGGGGGGGGGGGGGAGGGGGCCTCTAGAGGGAGAGGAGTCTTGTTTCTAGCGAGAGCAGGAGGCGAAAGCTGGGATTAGGGAAGCTGGACTTCTTGAAGAAGCCAGAAGGCGCTCAAGGATATTTGCATTTAGTTGCTTCATGTGTTTCTTTGTGCGTCCCTCCGCTGTCCGTGTTTATTCATTTTTAGCCATAGTGCGACCTCCCCTGCTGTTGCAACTGGTGCTAAATGGCTGGCAAGTAGTCTCGTCGGGACCTAAAGCAGAGGTGTTTTTTCCATCAACAGAAGAAGGGTATGCCTTCAGGAGGAACGGCAGGAAGAAGCGAGAAACGTAGAGCCACCTCGTCTCTGCCAACTCCCGCAGGCTGTTTCAAAAGTGGTGTTTTTCTCCCTGGTCTAGGGTGACCCCCGTCGCTCCTCCGCCTTTGGTGACGTATAAGGGGCAGCGCTATTAGAAAGGGCAGGAGAAAGCTCTTTTCTTTTGAGCCTGGGGTCATACACGAACTGCGGTCCACCTCCCTTGAAATCTGCGCATATGGCACAGAGTAGGCGCATCTCCTCTATGAAGCGAGAAAGGATGCCGAAGTGAGTAGATACGGTAGTCTAGAACTCTATGCCAAGGTCACACGGTAGCTCGACTGCGCACGTAGGAGAGCTTTGGGGAGCCAAAAAAGCGCCCATCGCGGTGCATGCCGTAGCAGCTCTTTCTCTTGTCACTGTACTCTCTAATGAAGTGTGCACATTGCGCCTTCGTGCTGCTACTTGTCTGCGTTGTTTCTGCCTGCGAGGATATGCGTGTATGTGTCAGTGTGTGGATGTCTACATGTGTATGCATGCAGACATTCATGCTCATGTATGTTTCTGGCATGTATGCGTGCGTGTGTGTGTAAATGTTGGTGCGTGTGCTGCCGTTCATGGCGTGATGTTCTAATCTTGTGCTCGCTGATACCGTCTATCTCCTTCGGTGTGGCCTTTAGATGTGTATTAATCCGTGTTGAGTCGGGCTGTAGTGTGGTGTGGGTGCCGAACGCTGCTACCGTCGCCAGTGGTGGCTGCAGCCGTGGCTTCAGGAGTAGCGTCAGTGTGCTGGTGGAAATTGGTGGAAATGTGTTGACCAGCAGAACAGAGAGAATTCATATGCATTAAATAGCCCATTAATTCTACCACTGCGAGCAAATTGAGGGCAGCACAAGGCCCTTCGAGACAGAATCTTGCCAGTGGTTCTTGACACCGAGGGGCCCCCCTCCCCTCTGCCCCGATCGCCCACTGCGCTGATGCTGGTGGAAGGCGTTGCATGCATGCAAGACTGGGCATGCCTTTTTGCCAGCGGCTCCCTTTAGTCGTATTCTACCAGAAGTACACCAACTGCCGCGAATCGAATGCCGCAGACAAGGTGCGCTGGCAGCCTTCTCCGCTTCCGAAGCACCAGGAGCTCCCGCTGTTGTTGCTCTTCCAGTGTTGCCCAAACAGCAGCTGCCAGAATCCTTTCATAGCGCGAGATGCCGCCTGCAGAATCCCCAGGGAACTTAACTGCTGGCTTCAGACTGGAGGACGCTCAAGTGTGACTCGCAGACAGACACTGAGGAGGAAGCGGCGGCTGCGGCTGTGCAGAGAGCAGCAAGGGCAGCAGCAGAACCTCTCGCTCCAAGGGTAGCACTCCCGCTGTCGCAGCTTCCCAAGCAACGGAAATATTAGCGGCTGCAGCAGTGCTGCCGTCTGCCGAGAGAGCCGAACAGCATCCACCCAAGCGATGCGGCTGCGCGGCAGTGTGGCAACTCACTCCCCAGAGGGGAGGAATACCTCGGCACCTGTGCCTCAAAGCGAAAAGAGGAGAACAGCAAGCAGCAAATGCAGCGGCAGTGAAAAGCTTCCTTCTTGGCTCTGCACGACTCTGTCCTACGCGGTAGTGCTCCTCCATTTCGGCAGCAGCTACATGCATATGCAACGAGGCACACCCCACTTTGCAACCCTCCATGGCGTCCTCATAGCAGTCAATGCAGTGTATATCCTCGCATTTCGTTCCTTCGCCCTCCAGGTGAGCTAGCGACCCCCTCGGCTGCGGCAGTCTGTGCTGCACTGCCCCCCCGTTGCTCCTTGACTCGCTTTCTCTCTCTCTTTCTTCCTCGCTACGGAAGAGGCAGTTTCTTGCTGCAGGCTGCATGCATTGGGCGTGCGTGCGCCGCTGTCGCTCCTAGCTGCCGCCTTGTGCGTTGCCTCTGAAGGGATGCCGACACACAATGGGCTCTGCTGACTTGCCTTCTGCGTTCCCCAGCTTTACACAGAGCCAGATCAGACGTCTGTATTGCCATGCTCTTCTATCCAGAAGTAGTGTCGCGTCGGTGCTTCAGGCTGATGGGCTGCTCTCCCCGAGGAAGGGGCTGCTGCCGCTGGATCGACAACTGCAGCAGCTGCAACTCCTGCAGCAACTCCCCGCCTCAGTGCCAGTCAGCATACTGCTCTCAGGAGTTAGCTGGATTGCAAGAAGCGTCTGCAGAAGTACCCAGAGCTTCACTGTCTGTCTTTTCGCACACTCCCGTCGGAAAAGGCTTCTAACAGAGGAGAAGCACGCACCCTGCCGTTTTGCTGCTGCTCTCTTCTTACACACTCACACACACACATACACACACACATCGCGCCCTCTCCAGCTATGCGTCCTATCAGTCTCGTCTCCTGTCTGTTCTCCGTTTTCCCGAAATCTGCATACCTATAGTAGATACTCATATATGTTTGCCTAGCCCTCTACCACTCTTCGCCAAGGCTGCTCTTCTACGCTCTATACATATATATATATATTCGTGTATCTTCCGCTGTTTTTCCTCTCTGTCCCTCCACCTTTCCCAAGAACCCCTTCTTTCCCCCATTTCCCCCTCGTCAATGCGTCTCTCTACTCTTTCTCTCTCTCTGTCTGTATGCGCGCCCTTTTTCGCACACTTCACCCAAACACCCCTAGAAGCACTGCCCATGTCTCTCTATCCACTAATATTACAATATATATGTATATGATCTATGCTTCATTTTTACGCCGTTTCCAATGTGCGCGCACCTCTGCCCTTTACTTCTCCGTCTTTTTGTGCCTTCAGCTCAGTCACTTTGCGTGGTTCGGCTGCATGTCTGCTTGTGCAAACATCTGCCTGTCACTTGTACTTCCCCCTAGCGCCTCCCGCGCCGTCTGGGAGTCGGCGGGGGCACTTTGGCAGTTTCTCCTTTATTTGTCTTTCCGTTATTTTGCGAAGGAGTTCATGGCTTTCCAGTGGTAGGCCTCGTATGCCCCTCTGGCTGCGCACACGTAGACACGTCAGGAGAGGAGACAGTCATAATTCAGGAGTCAAACAGGCAGCTGCGTGGAGAGGGCAGACTACAGGCGGAGCAAAATAGCCTCTTTGTTTCCCTAGCGCGTGTGCCTTCTAGCATTTTATAAGCGGTCTCCCTCGGGGAATGCATTTGACATCTGCTTTCCACAGGGACGTCTTGTTATTAGAAGCTGGATTCATTTGCTGCTTCGCTCCCCTCTCGCTCGCGCTAAGATGCCACTTTGCCGCCACAGCTGTGCTCCTTCTACTGAGACTGCTGCTCTTCAAAGTCATTTTCTCCTCTGCAGTGTCCAAATGCTGTACGCCTAGGTCACCTCTTCCTGCCCTTTCCCCTTTCGAGTCTACCCGTATCTCTTCCCCAAAGCGCCTCTCAACGTCTCCCTCTCTGCGTCTTTCTTTCTCTCTTTGTTTCTCTTTCGCTCTCTATCTCTCTCACTGTGTCTCTGTCGCCCTCTCTCTTTTTCTGTTTCTCCCTCTCTGTCTCTCTCTGTCTCTCTCCCTCTCTCTCTCTCTCCCTATTTCTTTCTCTCTATTTCTTTCTCTCTCTCTCTGTCTCTCTCTCTCCCTATTTCTTTCTCTCTATTTCTTTCTCTCTATTTCTTTCTCTCTCTCCACCCTTCTACGCTGCTGTATGCGCCGTGTGAGTTTTCTCTGTGTATGGCCTGCACTTGGCACGCGTGGAAGAAGATCCTTTTTATGTTCTTTCGCAACATCGCATTCTTCTGTTTCTCTCTCCCGCGCTGTTGTCTTTGTGCAGCCGCAGCCGCTCCCCAGTGGAGGGAACTCACTGCCCTCCATTACCACTACTGGACCCAGCCTCTTCCTTCTCCAGGCTCTTGTACGCGCAGAGCTCCCTCCAGTCGCATAGCAGCTGCAGCTGCTGTCTCTGTTGCAAAGAGTAGCAGCTGCTGTCTCTGTTGCAAAGGCTGCAGCTGCGGTTGGAATCCCACAGCGTCCTTCAGGGGCTGCCAGAGTGCTACTTGCAAGCAGGCTCTGAATCAGGAGACGCATGATCTTCCATTTTTGCTCTTGCGTTTAGGGTATGGGTATTGGTCAAGTGCAAAGAAGCTGCAGGCAGCGACAGTTCTCCTGATCGAGGTGCGTGATGAAGTGGGCAACGTGAATCCCTCGCGTTTTTCTCCTTTGAAAATGCAGGTGTAACCTCTCCCCGCGGCAGTAGGCAGAAGTGTTTTTCGTGCAAGGCAGGCGTTGCAAATTCTTCCGCGCATAGCCTTCTTAGACCTTGGGCTGTGCGTGTGCAGGGAGTGGTATCGTTTGCGATCTTTGGATCGTCAAGCCTCCGTGTTGCCGCGTCCTTTTTGATTGCCGGTGAGTCTCAGGCTGTTTGTCGCTTTAGCGCCTTTTCCGCAAGTGTATACACACCGACTGCCGCTGTTGAGGAGTTTGACGTGTCTCACACCGCTTGGACTGTCTCGAACGACTGACCTGTCCCTGCTTTGCTCCCTCCTGTGCAATGCAGCTCTTGCTCTCAGTGTCATGCTTACCGGCAATGTCGGCTTTCTCCCCCACCTCACAGTAGCGCTCTGCTTTTCGCTCATGGATGATAAGATCCTTGGTGTCTCAGCACCGCAGCCGCTGGCTCAGGTGAGGCAACTAAGGCACGAGCAGCTAGCGGTGGCTTCAGGAACGTTGCTACGAGGCAGAGAGAGAGAGACGGACCAGAAAAGGCACACCTCGCCTTTGCGTGTGGCGCGGTAAAGAGGCCTCTTTCTTGCAGTTCGCACAGCCCCTTTAAGGGGGCTACACTACACGCGGTGAAGTGTAGCGGCTTGTATTTCCACCTTGATGCCTCTGCTATTCCGCTTTTCTCCCTGCCACACACACGCATGCGCATTTTTGAATATACCGCCTTTCCGCCTCGCGAGATACGCAGAAAATGCTTTCCCTGTACCGTGTGCTGCTGCAGACGTTCTTTCAGCGCTGTGCATTGGTGGGAGGCACTGTCCTCCTTGGCGCCATCGTGGGGGCTTATTTCTTGGTGAGCTGCTGACTGTGTGCAGCAAAACTTTCAGGAGCAGCGGGAGCGACTTCAGTAGTAGTACTAGCTGCAGCAGTAATAGTAGTAGTAGTACTAGCTGCAGCAGTAATAGTAGTAGTAGTAGCAGCAGCAGCAGTAGTAATACTAGCAGCAGCAGCAGCAGTAGTAGTAATACTAGCAGCAGCAGCAGCAGTAGTAGTAGTATTAGCAGCAATAGTAGCAGCAGCAGTAGTAGTAGTAGTATTAGCAGCAATAGTAGCAGCAGCCAAGCGTGCAGGTTGCATGTGTGTGATGAGACTCTGCAGATATACAGTGCCGGCTGTCTTAGCTATTTCTGCAGGTGAGGCGGCAGTTGAGACGACCTCCTGGCACGCTCTCTGTGGCGTGTGTTTCCACCCACCCTTGTCTCCCCCACGGTGTCTACGCTAGCCAGCACGCTGCAGAAGTCGTGGTCTGCCTGAGTCAGCTCGCCTTTAGGATGGCGAACAAAGCAGCTTGTCGTTGCTGTTGTTGCTGCCACCCTTAGGATTTGGATGAGGCCAGGCGTAGCCGCTCCCGCATGGGCCCTGCAGCTCTGCAAAGAGCTGTCTCTTCTTTGCGCATGCAATGGATATGGTGAGGAGCTGCAAAGGCACCGGGGAGAACTGTCTAGCGTGTAGACATGGGGAGTGGTGGCGATGGGGGGTAAGGAGGGCAAGAGGGACAGGCGGCGAGAGGCGTGAATGACAGATGCAGAAGCCTCACGGTTTAAGGCGGAGTCACAGCGGCACACGGGTGAAAACGCTTGTGGAGGGTCCCTTCAGAAAGGCGTGTAGATATATATCGCCATCATCCAGCGAGGAGACGCAGAAGCGCCACTCTTCCGCCTCCCCCCGACATGACTGTGGGGTTGCTTTTGCTTCAGGCCTATTCTCTGTGGTCACGACAAGCCGGCTGGAGTTGGTGATTGAAGAATTACATCAGACGGCGGACGAGAAGCCTCAGTGGCTGGAAATTACCTTCCCGTACAAACCAGGCAAGGCTTGACTACAGGAAACTTTTTTTCTTGCAATCTCGAGCAGTCTGTATCCTTCGTCCGGGTGTCACGTCGGCATGAAGGGGAGAACACGGCTCACTGAGTAATAGGGGAGCGATATCTAAATCTCTTTCGCCGCTCTGTCCTCAAGCTGCTCCTCTGCCGTTCCTTTCTTTCTCTGATGAGAGGAACTCCACTGCTGCCTCTCCCCAAGAGGGCTTTGCTAGAATCACCGTTCCCCACTCCCGCTTCCAGATGCTGATGGCTTGGCGCGCAGCCGTCCGTGCGCAGCGCAGCGTCCACGCATGCGCACGCGTCTGCAGGCATCTGCCTGCGCTTTTCTCCCATAGAAAAACACCGGGCAGCTCACGGGCTTGCCGCACCACAGCGCCCGTGCTGGCTGCTCTGGGGGTCGCCTCTGCACACGCAAACATTGCACTATCCTGTGCTGTTAAGGAGAGCACGCTGCTGCTTGTGCAGGGAACATTGACAGCCCTCCCCCTTGGCTCTGGTCTGGCCACTTCCCTCGTTTAGACTGGCGGCTTTGGTTTGTGCCCCTTCGTCTTCGCTGCACTCTAAGGGGTGCAGTTACAGGTAAACTCCTGCAGCAGCAACAACAGCAGCAACAACAGCAACAACAACAGCTGCAGCTGCAGCACGTGCAGTCGCTCTGTCCCCCATGCGTTGCGGCGTTTTCAGGGGCGCCTTCAAGCCTCTCGCACGCGGCTTCGCAGGTGTATCCTGCTTTCTGGCAGTCTTTCATTCAGCAACTTTGCGCGCGGGAGCCGGCAGTCCTCCAACTTCTAGGACCTCAAGGCGTAAGCGGTGTGACACGGACAGGCTGCACTCCCTGCCCGCGGAAAAGCAGATTGCTTGCTGAGCAACCCCCTCCCTACAGCGCCTCTCGATCGCCCGCAATCGAAAATGCTAGCCAGCTAGCCAGCTAGCTAGCTAGCTAGCTAGTTGTTTTACTGGCTAGCCGACATACTAGCTAGCTAGCTAGCTAGTTGGCTTACTGGCTAGCTGACTTACTAGCTGGCTAGCTAGTTGGCTGGCTGACTAGCTGGCTAGCTGACTTGCTAGCTGTCTAGCTAGTTGGCTTGCTGACTAGCTGGCTAGCTGACTTACTAGCTGGCTAGCTAGTTGGCTTACTGACTAGCTGGCTAGCTGACTTACTAGCTGGCTAGCTAGTTGCCCTCCTGAACAGGCAGCCTCTTAGAGGCCTGGCTGGCATTCTAGTGTCGCCGCTCGGAAGCAGACCATGCACCTGTTTGCTGCTTGCCCCGGCACCGTAGGGGTTTGGTGCAACGGAGGCATCCCCCCAAAAGAGCAGCTTCGAGGGATAGAGGGGGGGTCAAGTGTGTTTGTGTGTTTGTGTGTTTGTGTGTGTGTGTGTACCTCTACCAGGAAGCCCTGAAGGGTCTTCCCCCGCCTATGGCTCTAAAGATCTCGCTGTACGACTATCGCATGGTGCCGCCGGAAGGGGTGCCTCTGTATGCAACGTTTTTCCCGGAGGGTGAGTGGGAAGTTTCCGGAATGTAGGTAGGGTGCAGCGTGTATGGCCGAAAGGCTTGCCTTAGCTGCGCCTGTGTGTGCTATATCATGTGGCAATGTCGCTAGAAGTTCCCAATGCTAGGCGTCAGAACTTGCATCTCCGAGACCTCTTCTATGAAAGGGATAATATATGCACTGCCCCTCTGGACGCTCTACGTGTGCCGCAGGCTTTTCCCACCTGACCACTCAGGAAATCGTCAAGCTCGAGGTGAGTTTTTAAAGCCCCTCCTGACCAGCCAAGCAGCTAGCTAAGCAGCTAGCCAGGAGGCACCGACTGAGCACACAGCTGCAATCGCCGCACGTCTAATTCCTCAGGGATAGAGAGCCGTATGTATGTGTCTAGATACATGTATTTGTATATATCTGTAGATGTAGACATAGATGCAACGGCTCTATGTAGCTAGCTGAGTATCCTGTCTGCTCCGTTTTAACGTAAAAAAGTAGCGCTGGCTTGGGAGTAGCTGGGTAGCGCGGCGAGCGTGCCTGCCTGCCTCATTGCCCATTGTTGCGTTCTAGAGGTGGTGGCTAGCGAGTTTTGTTGTTGTTGCTGAGCTAGCTCTGCATCCAGGTTAATAGTGGGGGCGAAGACTGGGGCACAGGGAGCACTATGCGTGCAAGACAAGTGCTTTTTTTGAATCGGCGGCAAGGGTGTTCAGGGGGAATGGGGAATTTGGGAGGGGGAAGGGAGGGAGAGGGGGGGCTGCAGTGATGCTGCCGCAGTCTGGAGTCTTGTGCACGTAGTCGTGTGCTTGGCTAAGTGAGTTTGTCTAAATCTTCTTCGCTGCCGATGCCTTGGTGCAGAAAGACTTAGCACAGTGGACGATTGGCCGTTGGTGGATGCGTCGGCGACACCAGGAAATAGAGGCGCACGTCGTCTCGGAGGGCTGCCCGCCTCTAGACGAGCTTGTCCAATAGTGATTCTGAGCTTGTGCAGTAGAGAGAGTAGGGTTTGCCCTCTCAATTTTGCGTATTTCGTGGAGGGTTCACATAGCAATGAGCGAAAATTAGAACCAGCGCCAGCTCGGGAAGATCGCCCATCAGGAAAGGGCTTCGAGGAACCCGTGGGCTTCTCGGATTTTAGAAAAAAACAAATCGACGAGGCGCTTTGCCTTTTCGACCGCGCTGGTGTCGAAACTTTGGGCTGCTGCCCTGTAGAGTGCCTTCCGGATCGCGTGCCTTCAGTGTAAACGTGCACTAAAATGCGTATTTCGGAGGCGCATCTGTTTCTGAGGGCGACTCCTTCACAGCACCGATTAGTCCTGCTGGAGCGTATGCCGTTCTTTTTTAGCTGGTGTCAGCGGTCCTCGCTAGCGAAGCAGACCTTTTTCGTTGCTGGTGGTGGTGTAGGCAGGCAGGCAGGCAAGTAACTGCCGCAGCTTTTTTGGGGCAGCAGTGTTTTTCCCTCTACCCGTGCCTTGTTCACCCTGGCGTGTTGACTAAGTGCTGTGGCTTCTGGGGAAGCTTTTGCAGTGCGTTTGGAAAATCAGGAGTAGTTGGGGAATTCGCTGTCTAGCTGCATGGCGAAAAGAATGCAGGCCTGGCTAGCTGGCTTCAGACTGCAATAATAGGGCGCAATGAGAGCCACGAGTCATTGGCATGCGGTACGGGCAGTTGTGGCGAAGGTTCAGCTCCTGTGGAGGGGGGAGGAAGGTGGGGGTGGCCTTACAGGCCTTAATTAGAAAGAGAATTGCCCACTAGCAAGTGGTTCCGCGCAGTCGTGTTTGCCACGAATATCCGATCCTTTGCTAGTTCACGCACACAGGGCTTATGTTTGAGGAATCGGGAAAGGGGGCCTCAGGTGGTAACTCGCCCTAGGCGTGTATCTGTCAGCCTGCGCGAATGCGGCAGGGTGGCAGTTACCGAGGCAGCGGATTCGCGGCTCATCTAAATAAAGCTTTGCTGGGCAGAGAGAGCTATACGAGTCTGGGAAAGCTGCAAATTGGTGCTCTCTCAAGGGGCGTTTTGCCTTAAAAGCACAGGGGTATGGAAGGGAGGAGGCCCCACCGCGCCAGGTGACCTTGGCAAGGGGTCCTCGCCAATCGATGCTCCCACGTATTCTCGCCGTTTTAGACGATGCGGAAACGAGTGAAAGAGCCTTCATCATCTACGAGAGACAAATAAAGAAGGTTCGGCAAGGCTTTTAACCTGGAAGGTGGGGTGAATTTCTTTGTAGGGTTCTCCCTCCCCAGGGGGATATTATGACACAGGAGGGATAAGGGGGAAGGGAGGGCTCTAGGGCTGTGTGCAGGACAGCCTATCAGGCCGGCGCTAGAGATGGGAAATCGATTATTATTTGCACGCGAACGCATGCGAGACTCTTCTCCTGGTGTCTAACGGGAGAGAGGCCTGTGCTGTTCTATAATATATGCAAGGCGGGTAGACAGCTCATCACCCCAAGAAGGCGCGCACAGGCGCATGGTGCTTGTGCGACCTAGCGGATGAAAGCGCTCGATTGCGTGGGCGTCTTCGTGTGTTGCTGCTGGAGGGCAGAGGCAAATTCAGCGGCCGCTTGAAGAAAGAGCAATCCACAGGTTCTAAGGGAGAGGCTTTACCTACTGGCAGGGAGGCTTCAGAGAGGTCAAGGCAGTGCGCTTTCGTGGCTACAGAGAGAGACCTTGAATCCGGTGTACAGCGCAGAGGAATCCGATAGAGGCCACTAGCCGGCCAGGGGGCCCCTCCTCCTGAAACACAGGGGCCCTTTGGGGCCCCCTGGTGGTCCTCCCCATGAAGGGCCCCCCAGGGATGCCCCGCGCACCTGCGCTACCTGAGGGAGATAAGCAGCGGTCACCGCACAGAGTCTCTTTAGAGCGTCTCTTCGGCTCTCCAGCGTTGCTCTACCCTTTGGGCCGTTTCCTGTCTCCCAGAGACTTGGTGCATTTGTGCAGTTGTTGCCGCTGGCTGCATCAGCAACAGCGGCAGCCGGGGGGCCTCCTGCAGGAGACTCTTGAAGAGGCGTTGCGTCGACACCTTCCCTCTCTCGCAGACAGACGGTTCCTCCTTGCTGATGCTACAGACGCACACTTCGCTTCGAGACACGCCTCCCTCCCCCGGAGCTCCACTACCAGCACCGACGGTATGGCGACGATACACTGCATCCAGCTGTAAAAAGCAACTCCTTCTCTGAGGGGGGCCTCTGCGCGGTGCGGGGGCACGCGTCTGCTGTGTCTGCTGCCGCTGCCCCTGCAGCGGCTTTAGGGTGTCTTTGCCGCCTGTTGCAGTCGCTGGTGCAGTGGTGGCACTTCTTTGTTGTTGCATTCTGTGCCCGAAATTCCTGTGCTGCTTGCGCTGCGTTTGTCGCTTTTGCCGCTGCTGCTGCACTGCACACAGTCTCAGGGATGCAGCGGAGCGGTGCTCTGGGGCCTCCCCGTTCTGCCGGTTTAGGAGCTACCGCTGGCTGTGTGTGTGGCCGTTCAGGAGCAGGAGAGGCTGCAGCAGAACCAGCATGCTCAAGCGCCGCTGCAGCAGCTGAGAGAAAGCGGATCCGTCTGGATGTTTCGTTATGTCGGTGCCCTCATTGCCTCCCGACAGCTGCCCTTCCGGATATAAGCCCCCCTCCTCAAGAGATTGGAATCTACTGCGGGGATGCAGATCTAGTGCTAAGGCTTCCAGACCTTACTCTCCAGCAGTTTGCTGCTTTCTTTCTTCGACTTCGGCATATTTGGAGGCGCATGGCTAGCTGCTCTTACCGGCCTGCGGAGACGCTTACCAGGGCAACAGCACGAGTGCCAGACGCTCCAGGAGCCTCGGTACACCCCCTGGAAACAGCAGCAGCTGACACAGTGGCAGCAAGCACAGCAGCAGAAACATACAGTACTGCAGCCTCTGCTAACAGGTGTTTGCTTCTGGCCTCAGAAACTGTAGGCCATTCGACGGCTGCAACACCAAAGGCAGCAGCGCCTCCGGTTACTGCCGTATGCCTGGGTGCCATGACGTGGGACTACAATGCCGCCTTTGATTGGCTGACGATCTCTCGAGGAGGTCAAATCGCACGCCGTTTCCTTATTTTCTGGTAGTAGCTGACGGAGCCAGGGATGCAATTCTAGACGCTCTCAAAAGCCTCACCGTGGGCGTGCGCTTGCGTGTGTGCGTTTTCAGGGAGCTGGTGCTTCATCGTACGCCGACAAGAAAATAGCGTCTTCATTTTACAGCTTGCCTTTGCACAGTGTGCTGATGCTGCTCTCGCTGCTGCCGCACGAAACAGCGCAAATGCAGCTACAATTGACACCGTGGGCGCTCCTACACCAGCAGCAGAGGTAGCTTCTGCTGGACGGGCACCTGCTGGCACGGCCATGCAGGAGCAGCAACTGCTTACGTCGTACGGCATTTCGCCTGGTGGGGGCGGCCTTCTCGCCAGTGTCGGGGGCAGCTGCAGCGCCTTGCCTTTAGGTGAAAGAGCATATGTATCGCTGCGGCTCACGCGTTTGCTGTCGCAAAGCTCAGTCGAGCGGCAGGAACGGCTAGCACAGCAGCAAGTACAACGCATGGTGCTGGAGTCAGACTACGAAGAGAGACTGTGGGTAAGGGCTCAGCCGCAGCTGTGCGAAGAGGCTGGGCGGATCATCCTGCCGTTTGGAGATGTTGGGAAGCCTCATAGAGTGAGCATCCATCGTACACGAGAACAGCGCCTACAGCTCTAGCGGCACACCCTGTCAGAGGCAGGACTGGCCGACAAAGCAATGGGGGATCGTCAGCAGCACTGACAAACAACAACACAAGGAGGAGAGTGTGGCTGCTTGCTTGCAGCGGCTCTGCTTCCGGTCGAGCAAAGTTTATCTCTGCATCCTTCGTCGGTTTTCTGTGCGCCGTGCTGTTGCAGCTTCTGGGCTGGAATCCTGTTAGGCCTGGCACTCTCCTCTGCCCGTCCCTTCGTTGCCTTCACAGCCTCACCGTTGCGGCCATACCGGTCCACACGCATGGCGGCAGCAACAGCTGCTGCCGGAAGCTCGTGAAGGAGATCCTTGTGGTTGGATACGATTCACGGCTTTGTTTCATGAGGCCTGAGGACCTTGTTGCCCTCCCTGTGGCCGTTTGTAGGGGGACAGCCCAAGGAGTGCAGCAGCAGCGCCGCAACCAGCAACAGCACCACACCCAACGACACAACAGCTGCCGGCAAAAACGGTTCGGGAAAAGCGTATTTCTGCGCTCTGCGTACAATGGCTATATTCTCCTCGTCTCGCAGTCTTACATCGTGGCTCTCCCTCGCTTTTCTATGGGGACAGAGCAGAGTGCCAGTGGTGCCACACACAATGATCAGCACCCAGGCCCTTTAGACAGTACGTCCTCAGCCAGAAGCAGAAGCAGCAGTGGCCGCAGCAGCGACGGCCTTAGCACCGCCAGCATGGGCTCAACAAGGAGAGCTCCTCGTGGAGGTAGCGATGGCGAAAACAGCAGAAATGGCAGCGGCAGCGAGGGCACCAGGAGCAGTCGAAACAGCGAAGACGACGACACATTCTCAGATCTCTCTGGAGAAGAGGACTCGGGCTCTCAGCCTCAGGGACGTGTGTGGCCCCTCAATCCGCCTCGCGGCTGCAGAGTCTGCACCAGCCGTAAAGAGGCACACGGCAGCTGCAGCCGCAGCTGCCGTGAGCCTCATCAGGGAGGCGTTCCTAAGAGCGAATGCTTGGCTTGGAGCGAACAGCCGCATCTCCTTCTGGGCTGCTCGTTCAGTCTGCTGACTGGAGACTTTGGAGTCACTACTGCCTCGCTTTCTGTAGGTCCTCGGCCTATACTTACCCTTCTTTTCGGTGTCTCTCTTCACTACAGTGAGGCCTTATCTGCCTCCCGATGCCTAAGCCTACCCCCGTATGGGGTCTTATCCTGGGCGCCTTTTCTCTTGTTCTGCGCCTCTCCTTGGTTGTTCACGTCGCCTTTTCTGCTGTCTTAAGCGAGTTTTAAGACGCTCTGGCCGTGATTTTGTCTCTTGAATACTCCATCTGTGTAACGGCGCTTGCAGGGCCCATGGGTGTCTCTTGCCTTGCTTGTTTTGTGCCTCTCCCGGGGTCTACCGCTCCACGTGTTGCCGCCAGTGCAGTTGCTCCTTTTGTCTATATGTATATACATATAGGCATCCACAGACTTGCTGGACATTTTCCATGCGTGGTGTCGTTGCAGAATCAGTGGCTCTGCTATGGCCTTGAGGGGTCTCTAACAATCCGGTGTGTGCCGCTCCACGCATGGCCGCGAACGGGAAGGCCTAGAGTCTCCTGGTTGCAGCGAATGTGGGGTAGACGAAATCCGAAGCTGCGGTTGAATCTCGCAGCCTTCCATGCCGTCTCCCAGACGCGTGAAGGGTAAGCCTTAGTACGCAGCACCCTGCAGCGGCAACAAGTCTTGCAGGCACGCTGTGGGCCTCCAGCCCACCATTCCGCCGCGTGTGTGTGTGTTGCTGCTTCGACGCATGCTGCACGGGCAGGCTTTGCGGCGCTGGCGTGTCGTGTGTAGACTGCCGCGAAGTGTCGCTAGCCACGTGCCGCCGCCTCTTTCGACTGCACGCCTCGCAGCAGCCGCAGCAAAGCCCGAGGAAGGAGCCACAGCAGCCAAAGCCTGAGCACAAGGCTACGGATGCAGACGCACTCCACGGCGAGCCTCCCGTGCTGTTGATTGCAGTGTCCCTTTCCCTCGGCAGCCTCCTCTTTGGAGTGCTTGCACCTGCAGGAACCCTACCCGCGCTGCAGCAGCAACAGCCACCTACCCTGCCGATGTCTCTTCGAAAAAGGCCGTCGCGAGGCTTTACAACAGCCCAGGATACCGTCAATGTTCACTCGGGTCGCGGCATGCGCTGGCAATTCACGCTGCTCTGGCTGCGCGAGGCTCCAGAAAGAGACGCCCTGAGAAGCTGGGAACGGCTGCAGCTCCTCGTCGCCTCAGGGACCTTGTTATACAACAGGTGAGTGGCCACGTGTCTCTCCGTGTTCTCTGCACTTCAACGCCCTGCAACTTGTCCCTCCTCGAAAGGCGACGGGTTTTTGTCTCCCCTCCCAAAGTCTTTGCGGCAACTCGCTGTGCCAGTCTGCCTGCCCCTAAGGGGCTACGGCAAGCTGAGAAAGAGAGAGAAAGAGGAAGACAGAGCCGCAGGTGGAGTGGCTGCTGCGGCTGCAGCGACCAGGGGGCCGGGCTTTACGGCCTTGAGACGGGAGAGCAGCTCCTCGGCAGTAGTACAGGCTTTCACGCTCTCGGTGAGTCAAGGATGCATCGCAAACGGCGTGCACGGCTTCTTCCGGCAGCCAGAGTTGCTGTTTCCAGAAGTCACTCGAATTTGCGCGTATCTTTATATATCCCATGTGTGTGCGTGCTCACTCTGTTGCTGATGCTGCTGTTGCCGCTGCCGCTGCCTGGATACGCACCGCTGCTACAGCGGCAGATGGCAGCGGCTCTCGCCTAATAGGCCTCACAGCTGGACCGCGCCCGCACGTGCATGTGAGCTATAACTTCGATGAGACCTTCTTTCCAGCTTCGCATACTCCCAGCGGAGTGCCGCCTAGCTCCACCATGCTGTAGGCTTCGCTGCCGCTACTCTGCATTGCGATCCTGATACTCCCACTTGAGCCGTACCGACTTCTGTCGCACCCCTGCTGCTGCTGCTGTTGCTGCTGGCGACATCGATGCATTTGCAGGTCTTTGACGCCTCCCTTCGCCGGCCGCCGCAGGTGACAGCGGCAGCAGCGAGCTCCGCGCAGCAGCTGAAGCCGCAGAGCCACCAGAGTCTACCCTGGTGGATGTCATGTATGGGTTGTAAGGACGCATGCGGCGTCTGGCGCCCCCTTTTCTGCGCCTGCTGCGGCAGCACTAATAGCAGCAGCCGCACGGTTGGTGATAGTCGTAGCGGTGCGAGCAGTTGCAGGCCCCTCAAGGATGGCAGCTGCGGCTGCAGCATTCGCACACTTCCTGATTCGACGTGGTGGTGAGTGCCTTTCGTGCTGTTTTCGTATCTGGGGTGTCAGATGTTTTACGGTGTGCATTCGTGGCTTTGGCTCCTGCTGCCTCTGTGTCTTGCTTCGTTTGACGCCATGCTGCAGCTCACGCTTTTGTATGGAAAGCTACAGAGCCTCCATGGTGCCACCCAGAGATGACTCCCCCTGCGAGGAGGTCCTTTAGGCTTTGCAGGATCACAAGAGCAACCTAGGGGGTGGATTTCCAGATAAGAACCATGGGAGCAACAGCCTCGCATGCGCGTTATCACCAGGAACCGCATTGAGCACGGCTTCTAAGAGCTTTTCCTGCAGAGATGGCGGCAGCCTTAGTGCTGCTTCGCCTGCTACCATGCAGGGTTCGCGCCTGATGATCGAACCTAGCAGTGAATGGAGGGCCGCTATCTACCACAGCAAATTCCGCATGCATGACAGGATGGTGATGCTTCGCCGTTTTTGCGGCCACGGGGTGCTCAATTCAACCTCCGGAAAGCGACAGCATTGTCTGCGTTGTTTACAGCTTTCTAGCTCGGGAGAGGACCATAGGCTGGAGCGCAGTCGTGGTATCTCATCAGTGTCTGCTTCTAGTACAGCTACCAACATTCCTGATGGATACACTGGTTGCGGAAATAGCCGTTGCCCTTCCGTCGCCTCTGCGTCGTGGAGATTTTCGTAAGCTGTTGGGTGAAGGTGGCTGCTCTCCTCGCTGTCAGTCAGTTTCGCCGCTCGCTGCCATTCAGAGGGGCCAGGATTCTTGTGTTCGAAGGCAGGAGAGAGACGACAAAAGCCGCAAACGTGAAAGCCACGGCTGGTCATAGAAGCTGGCGAGACGTCACGGCAGTGGAGAAGTCGTGTGGTCCGCGCTAGTGCAGTGTGCCCTTGCCACCATTCCCTCAAGCAAACGTTAACTGCTGCAGGCCCTCCTTGTGCAGCAGGATACGCTTGGGAAAAGGGCAAGCTTTCTGAATCCCACCCACGCTTGCTGCTACCCTCTCTCCCGTACAGGGAGAGAAATATGGCATCTTAAGTCTACACGATGGCTGAACGCCGTTGTTCTCCGTTTTTTTGTTGAGGTGACATGCCGGCTTTTGCCTAAGTAACGCCTAGTTCGGCGGCTGGCCCGTATTCTACCGGCAGCCACTGCACTACAGGCCGAAGCCCTTTCATCAAGAAAACTAGTAGCGGGAGCCGCAGAGCGGTCTGCTGTGATCGTGTGGGTGAGAATTCTCGTGAGTACCCAGCTCTAAAGAATCGCAGCTCAAGAGTACTCTCTGGCCTTGAACATTCCTAAGATAATGCTCGGTGCAACAAAGACACCGCGTCGAATGCGGCAGAGGCGGCGAACTAGCGCTTGGCCAGTCGGTGAAAGCTGCATTAATTGACCACTGTACGCAGCTGCAGCAGCTATACCCTGACTGCGCATCCCCCGCGAAAGTGTGGCTATAGAGCGTCAGAGCTCGTCGTGAAACGCAGACAGCTCCTCAAGCTCGTCGTGCTCAAGCAACTCCTCTGGCGTCATCGGCCTGATGCCCCGGGTGACCTTCCGGCTAAAAATATCGCCAACACCCTTGTGCAGGAGACTATAATCCTCTTCGAGTTCTTGAAGCTCCTCGCGCTCTAGCCAGAGATGCTCTTCAACGTGGTGCCAGTCGTAGTCGATCCAATCCACCTCCACGAGCTCCTCCGCGCTGAGCGCCTTGCCACTGCTGCTGGCCCCCACACTTGCACTGTGGTCGCTAATGTTGACATAGTCCGCAAATAGCTTTTTCGTAGCGTTCACCGACTGCTGCATCCTGTGGAAGGAGACGGGTGTGACTGCTTCGACGAGCAAAGGATGATAGTCCGCAGGCTTCTCCTGGTGCAGGCCCCTAGCATGCACCAGAGGCACCCGGAGCTGCTTTAGCCACATGCCCAGCAGCATGTCATCCGCAGTTCCATCCGGAGGACAAGTGCACTTCCCGCTTTCGATGCAAGCCACCACCAGCCTCACGGCCTCCCTGTCCAGCGCAATCGATCCCCCCATCGTGCCGTATTCGTATCCCTGAGTCTCGTTCGCCCCAGTGATGCCATATGCATACCGTTCTCCGAGATACAGCGGAGACAGCGCCTCCAACGGCCTGGATCCCCCCCAGCCATACACAGACGAGGCCCCTGTGAGCTGCTCGGGCGAGTACCGGCTGTCACTTGCAGGCGTTGCCTTCTGCATTCCTTCCGCCGTCTGCCCCGTGGCGGCAGCAGCGGCGGCGCGAGCACGCAAGTAGGCCCTTATATCCTGCGCAAGCTTCAAATACGCAGGACTGTACGCCCTGTACCCTTGCTGATCTGCAAGGAGGTTCGCCATGAAGCCCCTTGCCGGAATTGGAGGCTGCAGCGTGAGCGACAACAGATCCATTGCGTGCCTGAAGTTTAAAAGCGTGTCGTCGTCCGTCACGACAAGGAAGCGGCGAGTCTCAGGGGTTCCCAAGAATTCTCTCAAAATGTGCTGCAGCCGCAAACACAAGCCGGCTTTGCCTGCGGGAGCGCCCGCAATCTCTGGGGCCTCTATCCCCCGTTTTGCATCTGCCGTGTCTGAAAAAAAGCGGAGTAACAGGGCCCCATAGACCTCCTCTAGCTGCTTCTGTTCCTCCTTCACCATGTGAGCATGGGCATGGTGGTCTTCCCCCAAGTGCTGTTGTGCTTGCTTCAGCAGCGCCTCTTTAGAAGCCCACAGCCGCCGCAGCAGGGGCAGCCGCGTAGCGTGATTGCCCCCATGTGTCTTGACGGCAACCATAAGGTCCTGACGCAAAGAAGCCAGCTCCCACAGAAAAAGACACCCATCCCTACTCATGCCCATTGCATGCAGAACAGCATACACGTGCACACACATATAGGCATTTCAACAGCGAGGGTTTCAAAGCCCTCTGTAGGGCTGCCACAAGAGGTTGAGCGACCTTCCAACACGAGGCAAAGAGGCGGAACCACACTGGCAACTCGACCCGAAGAGGGCCTTTTAACTACAGCTTAACGGAGGAAGGGGGGAAGCGTAGGAAGAAGACGCAAATCTTCCCCTCCATACTGCGCTTATTAAGACGACAAGGTGCGAGAAGACGTGCCTGAGGGTCCACAATAAAGGCCGGGCGAGTCTTCTCTAACTCTTCCAAAGCTTTCTGGTAGGGTCCCCCCTCAATATCCCTCTCATCGGGAGGAAAGCGGTCGGCAAGCTTTTCCCGCTGTACCTGCGTGCAGTCACGGCACACCCCAGGGGAGAAAAAGCAAATCCCACTACGTAGCAGAGACACGCACAAAGCTTGCTGCACAGCCACGCGAATGTATACAGCGGCCTTTATGCCGCTAGAGTGCCCCTCCCCGCTTACTACAACCGTTCGTTCGCGCTCCGCTGTCTTTGCACCCCTGGCTCCCTGCCTCTTTCTCTCATGCAGTCCTGTGCTAGGCAGCGCCCTAGTACCCAGTGGCCGTTAGTTTGCTCGCTTCAAAGTTGAAGTTAGGGGCATAGTGTGCGGCGTTTACAATGAGTTCTTCATCGAAGTCTATAAGGCCATCAAACATTTGGTGAGAGAGGACCGGGGCATGGCGGGTTCCGCTCGAGTAGGCGGCGCAGCTTTGTTGCAAATCGGCGACAGCCCTTCCTGCCGCTGCCGCTGTTGACTCTGCAGAAGATAGCTCTCGATTGTTGGCGGCAGCAGAGGCCTCGAAGCCTGCGAGCTTCTTGGGCAGCGTGTGAGGCGGGGGATAGACGTTTTGAGCCCTTTCATAGTCCTCCACGAGGGGGGCGGCCGGGCAGAAGAGCTCCGAGTGAAGCAGCTGTAGCTGCTGCGTCTTTTTCAAGTGTACAAACAGCTCATAGACGAAATCTTTCTCGATGCTAACTGCAGGGGGCGTCTCGAGGACGGCAATTTTAAGGGCATCCAATGCCGCTCGAGACCAGAGGGTCCCTGCATCCAGGTGAGGATACACTAGAGAATTTGGGGCCTCAAAATGATGAAGGATGGTGCTTTTCTGATCAGTGAGACCCCAGCCGAGGATAAATGGACCGAGAGACTCTCCCCGCGCCTTGTGCAGTATCTCTCTGAGAAGGGCCTCCAGAACGCCTGGGGTGATTCGGGTGTACGCGGAGCAAACAAAAATAAATTCAACTTGCTGCGGTAGCGTAGCAGCCTCTGCTACGAGCCAGCGGCCCAAAGAGGCAGCCTGCCGACGGTTGGAAGGCGAGGACAGCATGAAGGCCTCATCCCTTAGCTTCACGCGGTCCTGGGGGATACGCAAGGAGAAAAGCAGCTGGTGCAACAGGTTGCTGACTATGTGGGATTCAATAACAGGCTCAAGGTCTATCAGAAAGGCGGTCTTTGTCTGCAGCAGCGGCAAGGAGGCATCGCTGGGTATCATTGTCTGCGGAGGTGGACCTCGTGGGATATCTGATGCAACGCCATTTGCAGCGCTATCATCTGCCCGGGCCGTGCTCCGCTGACGCTGAGATGATGCTATCAGTAGCAACACCACCACCATCAGCAAGGGCTGCGGCAGAAGCCGGCGGAACCAGCACGCCATGTTCGCCAGAAGCGTCCTCGCCTTCGGCCTCAGAGAAAGGGAGGAGCCGCAAAACTAGCACAAGCAGCTTGTCGCAATGAGCTTTTTGCTCTGCTGTAGTGTCTCCAGAGTTGCGTTTTGGCCTGGAGTGCTGTATTTCTGTGACGCTGCTAAGGGTGGTGGTAAACGGGGCCCCGCCAGCTGTCTGCGCTCATGTCTCAATGGCCGGAGTTTGGGCTCCTCTGTAGAAATAGGCGGAAGTTAAGAGTTGTGTTGAGTCTTTTAAATAAAAATACTGGTGATCGTGGTAGAAAAGAAAGCACTGAAATCGACGGACACCTGGAGCCATTTTGTACGCCCACGGGGGCTGTCCGATCAAGTGCCTTAGGAGGGATTTCCCTCGTGCAAAGCGGCTGTCGCCAACGACGAAAGGCCACCAATCCTCAAGGTACGACCTGCAAGCTTTCTGACAGATTCCTTCCTTGTTCTACTGTTCGAAGGGCCAGGGAGGCGAATGCAACGTACCCTGTATTCAGTGGATTGGACGCGCGGATGTTGCGAACACCTTGACTCGAAGACCCCAGAGCCTGAAGGGGATCGTCTGCACATTCACATGTAGAGTTTGCTCAGAAAGCGTTCGTTCAGGGAGCTGTTCATTGTTTTTTGGCCCCCACTCGTTTGGAAACCCATAACGTCAGCCTCTTCATGCAGGTCCGAACACAGTGATGGTCTCCTACTGGTGTGGATTGATGTTTGTATGTGTTTATGTATAGAGCTAGGGGCTCTGGAGAAGGCCGAAAGGGGGAGAGAGGCGCGAAATCAGGGAGTATCTCAAGTATAAGGAATAGGGGGAGAGCCACAGCACGGTGGGTCAGGTCATACCGCAGCGTGCAATGTGCATGAAGCAGAAAGGAGATAGAACCAAGGCTTAGGAACAGAGAGTAACAGGAATAGAGGGCGAGCTGTGGGTAGAAAACCTGGTGCAGTTATTGCTCCCCAGCCAAGGATATTGACTGGTCACTCGGTTGAACTTTTGCCTACAGGTTGTTATGGTGGCTTTCAATCGACAGGGTAGTTTGGGTTTTAAGCTGAACCAAGATGGTTAATTCCTCAATGTGGGAGTTCCAGTGCCCCATGATAATTAGAATATACTTTGAATCATCGCTGCGGCTGGCCAAAGTACCGTTCAAAGCTTCTGCTGCAATTGTCATGGAATACTGAAAATTACAAACAACTGACTAATTGGATTGTCTGTTCGTACATCTTACTTATTGCGGTGTACTTCTAGCTCGATATAAAAAGGCACAATCTTGTGTAAGCGCGTGCTGGGTACTGCATGCAACTAGCTGTTAATATCCCGAGTAAATACAGGGTGAAGCTACGCGCACCGTAGTTGTCCCTCTGCCGCATGCCGGAAACTCTGAGGCACTCAGGCGGAGGAAGATGCAAGCTCTTTTGAAGGACACTAAATGGTTTTCGATTAGGTTTGTATTGAGTTGGGGGTAAATTCCTTCCTAATGAAAAAATTAGATGCATGGTTTTTGGCGTGGTGACCTGCATACTAAACCCCTCTTGGGTGCCAAGCTCCAATAGAGGCAAAGGCAAGAATGTAGAGACAGCATCATTGAAACTGCCTGAGCATAGATCTGAGCTTATAAAGCACCTCGACAATACGAACTGGCAGCTTTAAATAAAATACTGAGATGAAGAAATGTATTTCAGGCAGACCGTGCTTGATGGAAGGATAATTGCCAATAAACGCGAGGACTACCGTCCATGGCAACTACTGTCGTAAAGCGAGCAAGGCTCTAAATTATCCTGCAGGCAGCAAAGCCAAGTCCTGCTTTTCCCTCAACCATGGAGGTTGGCGTATTCTAACAACTTCACTATAAATCTCCATCTGGTGCCTGCTCGCAGCTCAAAAGTCCTATAATCCTGCAATCCTGCTGCTTCCTGACTCTCTACACCGGCCATTCGTGTGCCCACGAAAGTCCGCGAACAATGCAAGGGGTCCTGGTTCTTCTATGGGCGACCAATTACTACAGTTTTGTGACACATCCACCATTTATTGGAAACGATGTAGTAGAAAAGAGTTTTTATTTGTGAGAAAATTGCAAGGGATGGTCTAAGCTATCTGGCTGCGAACGCCTTTTTCTAATTACTCTCTGGTGCATGTTGTACAGCCTGCCAATCTAACAGGGCCTAGTCTCTGGGCACGAAGCATACAGCAAACTGCCGTCTATCGTGATTCTGCGCTTGTCCCTTCGAGCTTTTCGCATGCATCGCGTGCACTAGCAAGTATTTTCCTTGAACCCTTTGGTCCTAAGGGTGGTTGCTTAGTCCGCCGGTCCGGCAGATTCAGGCCCTAATAAGAAAGGATTTCCCCTGGTAGAACAGGCTTGCAGGAGACTCATGGCTTACCGACGTACTGACGTATAATACGACCACTCAGCACAAGGAAATAGGGTGAGTCAATCTATTATTTTTAAGTAGATAGACTGCGGAATAGTGCGGTTTTTGCCCTCTCTCTGCCCCAGTGCCTCAGAATGATAAGCACTGGTCAAGTTTCGGTCAATACGTGGTCGGGCAAATAAGGCAGTTCACACCGCACTACCGAAATTCGGATCCCTATCCGTGATAATAGTTTCCCAGAGTCCATCTGGATGCCGTTCATGAGCTAAGAATTGCTGGGCGACTTTCTTTGCCGTAATGGAGCTGGCGCAAGGGATGTAATGGGCATTTGTTGCTGAGTCCGCCGCTAATGATGTAAATGCTATGCTAACTCTTGATCTCCTACAGCTCAACAATAAGATCCACAGTCGGACTAATTCAGAGGTATTAGAGTAACCGACGGGCCTTGCAAAGGGCGGACTGCAGAAAAATTTTGAGGCTTCAACTGCTGGCTATCTAGGCACGACACAGCAATCACCTCTGCAGCGGTATGCATCGGAAGGCACCAAGACGACTGTGAGAATCCTTTTCCTGAAGTGTGAATCCCAACATGGCCCGAAAGAGCATGATTGAGTGCGTTGCGCAAAGCACCACTGAGGAGCTAAGTCGGAATATGTAAACGACGAAGTTCCCGCATTGTTAAGAACCATAGCATGCCATCCTCAACGTGGTGATGCATCACCCCCTTGTCCTTGTACATTTCCGCAGAAATAAGGAATACATGAACGCCATAAGCATAAAACTTGCCCAATCGCGACACTATCCGTAAATCACCACAGGCAGGAAGGTTTGTGTTCCATAAAGTGAATTGCTGGGGCATCACGAAAGCGCACAGGCGACCAGATTAGTGATGTTCCCAGCGTGCCGCATGAGGTACTCAAACCAGCGAACTGCCCTTAGGCCATCATATCTGGATGCCTCTTCGTAAGGTACATTACATATGGGGGTCAATTTTACAAGAAAAATGAAGTACATAAAAATAGTGCTAAGACTTTCCCACGTCCCATAAACCATGCAGCGTTCTTTTACCCGCACTGGGTACCGCTGCTTCTCGCTAGGTTTACAGAAGTCTCGAATTACATTACGTTGCAGTGCATATGTGGTACTAAAAAGCCTAAATGGCATGTAGATATACTCGATTTTGCAGTGAGGGTGAGAAACAGCATTTTGTGTCTTCCGTCTGTGTGGAATGGGATCAATTAGAAAGCATCGAGGAACTCAAATGTCGAGCTGACTGTTGATCCGCATAGCTTGTCCAGGCAGTTCTCCAGGCATCGCGAATCGTTGCGTTACATTAACTGTGCTCGAAGCCTCTCAGCTAATGCGCATGGGACACCTCTCATCCTTTTTCATCACCAACACCGAGGTACGTTCAAAGTCTGTAGTCGGTTCCTTTACTTAGCCTCTTTTCAGCATCTCCTCCACCCGCGGCTCAGTCTCTCATTCATTTTTGTGATCACTCCGGACACTACAGAGCTAATTACGCGTCTGAACGAAAAATCAGCTTTACGTGGTGCGCTGGAAGACCAGCATACTGGCAATTCGTCATTGTCTTGCACCTCCACTGAGTCCTCTTTGATATTTCGCCTATTTCTGCGGTCCCTCGGCGAAACGCTGGAAATAATCGTAGTCTAAACATTAGCCTGAGAGCCATCAGCACGGGCCACATGCTAAAATGCCTCGTCTACTTGTCTGTTGTGCCGCCAGCTTGAAGACTCTGCCTCACCTTGTTGAGGCACCAACTCTGACACAGTCACCACCGATGAACTGAGCGTTGCTGAGGAGGCCAGAAAGTGTTTACTCCTAACGGTTTCCTGCATGCTCACCTACACACCGCAAAGCTGTGAAAGCATGCATACCTTTTAGTGGGCCACCCTTTGCATACATACGCTTATGCCCTGGTGCAGCTGTCCTGCACAGCTGTTCCGGAATGTTGATGGGACCCAATATAGATATGCAGTCGCAATCAACTGCCGCAGCTTTGGTATTCCTTGCATGCTTCTGCCCATCAGGAAATCTGAGTCTTAGGGAATGTGCCAGCAAGTGAAGGCAGATTGCATTTCTGGGTTGTCCCCCGAAAAGACTGATCCACTGCATATCATTCAATGATACTGACTGCAGTAATTTTTGCCCATGAGTGTGAACTTGTACCAGCGGAAAATCATTCAGCCCATTTGGCGTCCCCAACTGCATTGTTTATCTTGTGCATCCCCTTCACGGCAGCTTAGCCTGAGTAGGGAGGTTTCCGCTTCGCTGATGTCCCTTGTTTGCTTACCGAGCCGTCGGCTTCCGCTGAGCCCACTACCGCTGTTCAACATATTTGGCCTTTTGCATGCGCTTACAGCTTTGATTTATATGGCACAGGTTCCCTCAATGGAAGCACGCGCGTTGCTGGACGGCTGTCTGGAGCTACCTAGGAAGGCAGGTTCCCTGTGGCTGTGTTTTCCTTGTCTACTTTATACTCTCAGCTAGGGCCGGTTGAAATGGTTTCAACACCCGTTAGTTCCAAGCCTCGATTGGTCCTTTTCTTGTCAGCCAAAGACGCAGGAGTTGCCCCCATTTGCTCCTAAAACCTTGAGTCCATCGTTTGTCAAGACCCCAGGGTCGCCTAATAAGTCGCTGCTTCACTACCCATACTGCTGTGGGTTTTTAAAACTATGCCTTCATATTCCTCAAGGTTTTAAATTATTAGGAAATGCCCTGTTAAGCCTTCTTCGTTTTACAAAAGCTTGCTGTTGAGCTGATTTCGGCGAAAAACGATGTCTCAGCGCTTGCATACAAACTTGACATGTGGTACTACCTGCAGGGATCTGACTTTCTTTGCATGAACAGAGTCACTGATAAAGCGCTTTGACTTCACACAGAAATACTGCAAAGAGCGAGCGTTCCTCTTCATAGGGTACAAAGCCAGTTTAATTCTTAACAGGCTGATGTAATGTTGGCGTACTAGCCGATCCTCATGGTTGCCATAGTTTTACGGTCAATTGAAACCTCCTCAACCCATCGATAAGCATTTTATAGGCTGAAAAATCGTGCCTTTCTACTGTCTATGGGGCCACAGCGTTTACATCGGCTTGCAGGCCAGCTTCTGTTGCCCCAGCGCTCGTTGCCCCACTGCCAACTACCATCGCCGAGATATTTTCACCCGGTTATTGCCAACAAAACAATCACGGTACGAAGCCAAAAGTCGGCATGTGAAGACCAGAAAGGTGCTGTTGGGAAGTTCGACATCACACTGCATCCACAGGCAGTGCACGAGCGGGGAGCAGTTACATCGAACCATGTGGTGCTGTCAGCTCTACGTTTCATAAAAGGTTTTTAAATAAAGCAACAGCATTCGAAAAACTTAAAGGGCTACATGGAATGTTCTTCCAGAAGAGAATCTTCCCATACCCGCAGCCCTCGTTTCTGACACATGAGAGAGGGATAGCTAGGGTGCGCGTGTTACACCCTCTCAACACTTCAAGCATTCACAGCTATTGCATATAGTATTTAGCGCAAATAGCATTGGTTCCTATTGTAATGACCTAATAGTATTCTGTAGTTAATACAGATATCCAGATTGCCAGCCAAATATGCGATGCTTCATTAATTGACAGTGAAATTCTAAAAATGTGGCAGCAAGTGTCTACATATAGCCTTTTCCAATAAATTAGGGATAATGCATTGTTTTGGGAAGACAGTATTGTGGCCAAGGAGATTTTTCTGTCTCCGATGCTCGGCTCTCTGCGTCACAATCGCCCCTTCCCTGATCCAGATCGCCTTTCTGTCTCTAGTCAAGGGTCAAAAGAGCTTATAATGCACGCATCACATGAGGAAATCCGTCACTTCCTTCAGAACTGTGAAAGGATGAGCCGTATGTCACTGGTCCATCTGCTGACGTGTTAGGCCTTCTGAACGCTATTTTGGACATGTTAATAATAGAAGGTGCCTAAGATGGTGATTTACGCACTACACATGCATTAATACAGAAGAACTTTGGTGTCAGTGGAACTCCATCTAGAATCTGGACAGTGAGACACTAACCCGCAAATCACCTACAAAATTAATAGAAAGTTATAAAGTGCCCCTCAAATGAAGCTCCCTTCTTTCCGTGCTTCATGAAAGCGGAGAGAGACAGCTACGATGCGCGTTGATGTACCTTTGTCGCACTCTGTGCATTCCTAGCTAGCTGCAAACAGCAACCTACAGCGCACTGGGACAAACATTGAGTATTGTCGTTCTGAAGAAACCCTACGATGTGTCCTGTATGATTTAGGAACAATCAGACCACGCAGTACTCAATTTTACACCAGTTTTGATCAAATATAATTACCGGAATCGTCAGAGATGCTTTATAGCTTTTGGTGTGCTGAACCGTGTCCAGCCACGGGACCTTTCCTGGAGACCCTCTGTTTCCCCAGTTTCGTCCTGCCGAGCTTTGTGCATAATGCTGCCCTACGTCCTTTTAGTTTATAGCGATAAAAGCGTGAGAAAAAACCATAGGCTGGACGCGAAACCTTTTGTTTGGCACAGTGGAATGCACAGCGGGTTGGCTGCCACCGCAACGCCTGTACGGCATCTGCTGTATCATGCAAGGAGCTGCATCACAGGTCAGAGGCGCGAATGTTGGCTGCGGTATTACACAGCCTTCCAGTGGTTCCCTGCCTTTAAGACTTTCTTTGCGTGCCTCTCCTCTGTGTTGTCCCACAAGTCATTGGCTGCCCTCGGTTGCGGCGATCAGTATATAGTGAAACCTAGGCGTACGCGAATGCTACACAGCTTTGGACGCCCTTCGTTGCAGTGTAGGTGCAGCCTTAGTTGCTCAGAGAGTGGGATGCGCTAAGGAACATTTGGTCAGCAATTTAGGTAGGCTAGTAGTTTCATGTGTATGTGCACTGCAGAATCAGAGGTAATGCCAAGTGTCGACCACGCCCTTAAAGCTCGAACGAACATGTCACCTAATGTATAGAGGCAGTTTTCCCAGTCGGAGGTAGCTTTCCCGTCCTTTGCCCTTTGCTCTCTGTATGTATGCTCGCTCTCTCCCTGCTTACCGCACAGCCGCTAAGCAGCTGCTCCTCCAGTAAATAATCTGTAAGCAGAGCAAAATAAATGGCTACGATTTAAGCGCAAAAACTTTACATTTTAACCCTTTCAAAAATCCTCAATCCAGTTTCCCCACAGACGACCCCGGGCCAGGGGGCCCCCCTCTACAGGGCCCCCGAGCAGCGCGTGATTCGCGTTTTCCTCTTCCGGCTAGAAAGGGCATATAATTCGGCGAATTCGTAAATTAAGCAGTTTTGTATGAGCGAAAAGGCTCCGTGTTTTCTAGTGTGCTGCTTGCGAGACTTTCGCGCACGTTTACACTCATGAGACGCGTAAGCAGCACACAAGGAGTCGATTTCCCTCGTAAGATGTGCACGTTTGCTGCAACTCAGGTCTGCATGTAGCTGCATGTGATACTCTCAACGAGCAAGGCGTGCCCCCAGAAGAAGCCTTTGTTCGTGTGCAGCTTGCCAGTCGGTTGCACCGCTCGGGTCTTTCTCACACCATCCTTCTCGCCTTTGAGGAAGCAGCTGCACACTTGCAGCTGCACAAGGCGTCCAGACACCCGGGATGGCTACAGAATCTGCATGGGCCCCCTGCTGACCTGCAGAGGAGACGACCAGCAATTCCTTTCGCCCTAGAGCCAAGCGCAGCGTCAGCACCTACCGCCTCAGCGGTAGTCGCGTTCGGCGTTCTCCCTCCACGCTACAGCAGTTTCTCTAGCCGTATGGTCTCTCTTGGCAGCTGAAAATGAAGTTTGGTGCAAAGTTCCAGAGTTACACCGTGCCTGAGTGGCAAGAGCACTACGTAGATTACCAGTGTTTGAAAGCGCTTCTCAAGCAGCAGAAGAGGCGACTGGCTGCAGTAGATGCTCCCGGATATCTTGCAAAGTTTTTTCCGACTAGATGGCAGTAAGAAGCGGGAAACGAGGGGGGTTACTCGTCCCCCGCAGCGCTTGCCCCTGGTGTGATGGGTTCCGTGGTCTGTGCGCAGATTTTATTATCGCAAGCGGGGAGGGAAGGAGTGGGGAGATGGGATTGGGCTGTTGCCGCTGCATTTTCTACGTCTGCTGGACTGAAGTGCAGCTACTAGCACGTAACGGCAGAACGCATTCCTGGCTTGGTGTTCGTGCGTATTGCAGCCCAAATGCTGACAAGGCGCCTGACAGTGTCGGGATCGCGAGCGGTAAGCCCCTGCCTCGAGGCATGCGCAGCAGCGCCTGCCACTGTGGGGGTTGCTGGGTGTGTTTCTGGTTGTTGCTGCTGCAACCCCCCTGCTCAGGGAGAGCCCGCTAAGCCTCGTTGGTTCCTTAGAACATCGGTATCGTGCCTTCCCATGAAATGTCGTGAACCGCGTTCGAGCAAAAAAGCTGGACGGTTCCACGTTGCGATGCGCGTCTTCCCAACTGTGCGCAGGCCTCCCTTTGCAAGCCGCTGCGAGTGCCTTTGGCAGTGGGGTTGCCGAGGAAAAAACACAACACTCATCGAACGGCAGCGCGCAGAGGCTTGAGATCCTCAAGAATGTCGCCACGACGAATTCGATCCCACTTGCCGGAAGCTACCAAGAGTCCCCTGATGCTGTAAAACAACCGCTCCTGCAGTCTCCGCAGTGGCAGCGAGAGGGCTGTCAGATCGGCGTCACTTCGCCTGCGGAGGGGCAGCAAGGCGGCTCTTCTGCACGCAAGCTTGAGGCGTTGAGAGTCGAGTGCGTAGAGGCCTTTCGCGCTGCTGTGGAGAAAGAAAAGACGAAAGTGGCTGCCTTCTTCAGTAGGACGCGCCATACGCAGAAATCATTTTCCTCCTTTCGCAGACAGCATCCCTCCGCACTCCCTCCCTACCCCCGCTCACACCACACAGCCGCAGCAGAATAGTCTGACTCGAAAAGACGCGAAAGCTGCGTGGTTTTTGCACGTCTGGCAGCTCAGCACAACAGGCAATATGCGCGGGAAGTGTGCACGGTGCGGCCACCTCCTGTTCATTCGCTTCCCTCGCATGCGCATGTAACATACCTGTGTGTGGCCAGAGGACGAGTTAGGCTTCTTGGAAGACAAGCTGCACGCTGTTTCGACGGAACTGAAGGCATTTTCGGCTGCACGGAGGCGGCGAGCTCTCACCAAGAACGCAGAGGGGTCTGCGAGGACTCGCGCCACTTGCCTCGAGAAAACAGCGTCTACGACGCACTCAAAAAGCGGGCTCTCTTCTTCTGCACTGGCGGGGGTGGGAGAGGCGGAAGAAACTGCTCTGAGTAGCCAAGTGAGACTTCGGCCTGAACGTGCTCTCTCGGCGTTAGGGAGGGGAGAAAGGGGGTGGGAAAGAGGGGAAGAAGGGGGGAGGCGGAGGAGAGTCTTCCGCTCTGTTACTTGCCGCACAAGTCTTCCTGTCGCGCATTCAGTCCATGGCGAAGGCAGTGTGCTGCGCAGCACCCCCGCATGCAAAAACTGCCTAATGAGTACTCCGCCTGCCTTTAATGGCCTTCATGACTCACAAGGACCTCTACGGCTCTGCCGTGCATTATAATTACTCGCATTCCCCCCCGTGATAAACATCTCCTAAAACGTCGTCATGCGCTTCGCTTTTCCCGCACGCGCCTCGTTCGCTCTCTATCTCTCTCTCTATATATCTCTCTCTATCTCTATATATCGCTATCTCTATCTATCTCTATCTCTCTCTATCTCTATCTCTCTCTCTCTATATATATCTCTATCTCTATCTCTCAATATATCTCTCTATCTCATTCTCTCTCTCTCTGTACTCTCTCTATCTTTCTTTCTGTCTCTATATCTCTCTCGATCTCTATCTCTATGTCTCTCTATCTCTATCTCTATGTCTCTCTATCTCTATGTCTCTCTATCTCTATGTCTCTCTATCTCTATATATTTCTATATCTCCATCTATTCATCTTTTCTCCATATTGCAGCCGTTGCGTGCTGCCTCAGTGATGCCTGCTTTGCTACCGCCCCCCCCGTAGCACCACTCAAACCACTCAGCATGCGCAGTCTGCCTGCTGCAATCCATGTTTCTGCCTCAAGCCTTCCTACTGCCTGTGCTCGCTGCTGCTGGGAAGAATTCAAATCACCCCAAGGTCAAAAGGCAGTTTCAAAACTGCGGTATGTTTTGGTCTTAGGATGCTGCTTACCTGCGCCGCCTTGAACGCATTCTGCTCCTTTTGCTAGACACGCTGGACAAACTCGAGGTGTACAGACGCTTGAACCTCCTTGCTTTCTGGAAGGCGCTCAAGAAGAGAGACAAGCAGCTGCAACTCAGCAACGGCCAGGCGGCTAAAGACTTCGAGACGATTACAGCCTTCTTTAGCGAACAACTCCGAATCCCCCCCAAGACAAGAGTGAGGCAGCTTCCATTCGAGTTCAACATGGCCCCCTTCTGCTCCTCCTCCTCCATTTTTGTCGAAGGAGCCTTTTCCCAAGTGCACTTGTCTCGTTTCTCACTGTATCCAAAACTTTCTCCGTCTGTCTTCAGCTTCCCCATTGTGCGATGCTCTCTGCTGCTTTTGTGTTTGCCTCTTGCGCGCCTGCTCTCTGTGACTGCCGGATGCGCGTAGACTTTCGTTCTTCTGGTTTCAAGACATCCAGCAGAGTGTCTGGGGCTTGAGCATGTATAATTCGTATGTATTTATGTACGATTGTATGTAGTATGTGCGTGTGTGTGTTGTATTTGTGTATGTATCAGTGTATCTGTGTTTTGTATTTGTGTATGCATTAGTGTATATGTGCGTACATGTGTATGTGTATGTATTTGTGTGTATATGTGTGTACGCATCTGTGTATGTGTATATATGTGTTAGTGTAGATGTGTGTATATTTGTGTATGTATATGTACTTGTGCATGTGTATGAGTATCTATTTGTGTATATATGTGTATACCTGTGTATGTAGAAGTGCATGTGCGTACATTTGAGCATATATGTGTATACCTATGTATATGTGTACATTTGTGTTGATGTGTGTATTGGTGTGCTTTCTTTGCTTTGGCGCAGCGCTCTGCAAGAGCACTGTACCGCCAAGTCGCTGGAGAGGATTCTGAGCTTTCTTTGGATGTGCTGCCTCTGCGGACTGCAGAGGGGCTGTCTGTAGCAGTAAGTTGCACTTCTCTTCGAGGGTCGGGGGCAGTGGTGTTCTTGCCTCTTTTATTGCCTCGCGTTGCGGCTTGTTTTCTTGCAATCGCTCTTAGAGGAGGCAAGAGGAGGGAGGGAGGCTGCTGCTGCTGCCTGAAGGGTTGATTGCTCGCTGAAAGGCCAGTCATCGCAGCCGCATGGGTAGGCGCCGCGCACATGTGGGTGCTGTGTTATCGGTGCAGAACAGCTACTTCCTGCAAGCAGCAAGGGTGTGGTTTCTGGCAGGCTGCCTTGCGGTGCTGCTACTTGTGGCCATTGCGTTGCTGCTCGTTCCAGCATCCCACACAGAAGCCTTCGACTATGACGGCCTAATGACGGTGTTCCCTCTCTTCAGGTATGCGCTGGCTGCGGACCGAGCTTTCTTTGCCTCGTTTTTCTGCCGTCTCTTCTACTTTTGCCGCCTCTCTGCCTCGTTAGCTCTCACCCTTCGTGGGGAGAGTCGGACCAAGAGGCTGCCGCTGTGCGGTGCTTGCGTGGGAATTTAAATGCTCTTTTGCGGTGCTGCGTCTGAGGTCATGCACGACTCCGTCAGGGCTTGAATCGCAGTCCGCCTGTGTCTCGGCAGTGCACTGCTGCGCTCGCAGCGACGGGGAAGCTATCTCTTCTCTGCCTTCCTAGCGGCGGCACTGGTTCTCTTGTTTTTGCAGGCTTGCCTTTGCCTTGTCTTTCCTGTGGTTTGCTACGGCATCCGCGATGGCAGTCATGGAGCGCTACGGCGTCAACTACCGGTCCGTGTTTGGGTGATGTCTCTCTGTCGCACTGGGCAGACGCTAGAAAGTGCATGCCTGTATGCCTGCCTGCATTTGCATGCACATTTACGTGAGCTCTTTGTAAAACGTCGGCTGGCATGCCTTCCTTGTCAGATGCGCAGAGACAGCGGCTTCAGGGGAAACGCAGCAGGGGGGCTTTCGTATGCCGCCTCGTGTTACCGGAAGCGCTTCATGAGCTGGATTTGCAGCAGCTGCGTGCTCTGTGATCGAGGCATCTGAAAGCTGTTTTACGGCCTTCGCAACACGGGGTTTGCTGTGCCTGCACCCCACATACACGCAAAGCCGATGCTCCGTGTGGTCGGGTGTCTTCGCAGCTTCCTCCTGGATCTTGCCCCGAGAGGCAAGGCGTCCAGTATATCTTTTTTCGCAACTGCGGCATTACACTTCGTTGTCACAACTGCAACCTGCGTCCTGTATCTCGCGGATGCCAGACTGCGTCTTATGGGAGGCAGCCAAATGTAAGGCTCGGGGGAAGGGCGTTGCGGAGGTTGCTTTGCCGTCCTTCTTCCCTTGTTGCTGTCTCTACACCTCCCAGCGCAGGTTCCCCCGCAGCAGGCGCCGCTGCAGTCTCCACTAAATCGGCAGCGCGTAAATCCCGCAGCTTGCGTTCAGAGGCGCTGCAACAGCCTCGCACTCTGCCCTTCTGAGGTGGGGGTTCGCGGTTGTGCGATGACTGCATGTAGGCCAGAAGGGCCGCTGCTGCTGTCTCATTTTCCCTCACCCTGCTGTTGCTGTTGCTACTGCTGCAGGTATCACATATATCCACTTGGTTTGCTGCTCCTGCAGCTGCTCCTGCTGCTTATTCCCTCTCGTTCACTTACTTACAGGGCACGGCGGCAAGTCTTGGCGGAGCTCTACACGGTGCTGAAGGCTGGGTAAGCTTCTGCGCGGGAAGCTGCGCTCAAAGATGGCAGTCTTGACTAGGTGTTTCCGCACCCCCTTCTTTGGCTAGGCAAAGCCTCCAAGCTGCCTGGCAGCTGCAGCTGACGGACAGCTGAATTTCTGCTGCTCCTGCTGCCACATGCTCCCGCGTTTTCCCGGATGCTTCGGCTGCTGCTGCGAAAAAAACGGGCTTCCAGTGCTGTTGCTGCTGCTGCAGTGTCTTCGCCGTGAGAGACGTCAAACTTGTAGCCAACATCATCGGGGATGTTCTAACCTCCCTGGCAAAACCCCTAGGAGACCTTCACTACCTCGTCTGCTACTTGAGGCGAGCTGCGCTTGCCGCACCACATATATGCAGATATATATCCATATATGTGTATTCATATATATATAGATACTGCACAGGTTGATTCCAGATGCCTATGCCCTGTATGCAGTCCAGAGCTGCTGCCCTCTCCCTCTCTCCCTCTTCCTCCTTGCGGGAAGGCCACAGTCGTGAGTTTGTCTGCTGCTGGGAGCGTAGCAGCTTAGGGGAGGTAATGCATGCAGCACACTGGTGCACACTGTGTTGCTGCTTCTTCAGCACTGGAATGGATACGAAAAACCCCGCTCAGTGCTACGGTACGCCTCTCTGCCTTCGCCGTAGAGTCTCTTGCAAGGCAAATCACGAAGCAGTCGGCTGTCGCTGCATCTGCCAAGGAACAGCCTGGTTTTTTTTCCTGCATCAGCTTCCTTAGGACGACCTGCGTCGTTTCGCCACGAGATGCAACCGCATCTCATGAAAGATAGCACCCATGGGCTTCCTTCCTTTCATTATCTGCTGCAGGAGACCCCCTAGTACACCCCCTGCTTCTAGGTCTGCCCTTTTATCTGCGTCTCTGCCAGTGCTTCATAAGGTAGGCGGAGGCTCTGCCGATAGCAGGCAACTTCAAACAACTGCAAGCAATTGCATCTCTCTGCGGCTACCGGCAGTGCTGCCACCTATCCAAAAGCCTGCATAGGTTTTCTGCGCGAGTGCAAAAGCTTCCTCCGGTTGCTTTTAAGGCGACAGTGGACAGAGTCTGTTTTTTCTTGTGTTGTCTTTTTCTTCTCTCTCTCTCTCTGAATATATATACATCTCTTTCTCGCGCGCGAGCTGTCTTTCTGAGGTATATTGCAGCTTACATGATCTGCCACAAAAGACTGCGTCTGTGTGGATTTTGTATGTATGTATGTAAAAATGCAGGTTTCGATGCGCAGAGGCGGGCTGTGGATGTATACACTTGATGAACATGGCGAAATACGCTTGCGGCATCCTGGTGTTGATTACTACAAATGCTCCATGGTGCGCGGTGGTTCCTGCATTAAGAAAGCTCTGTACGACGTGCTTTTAGACATGTGCCGATATTTGGTGGTAAAACAAGGTTCTCACATTATCGAAAAGAATCCTGCGCATCCCATACCTGAATAGCGTGACCTCGGCAGCTTCTTCACTTTCCCACCCCTTTCGTGTACTTTTTCTGAATCGTGCTGGCTAAAGGGTGGCCTGCTGCGCTGGCATTCGCGTTCTACTTATTAAGAAAGCACTCGAGTAGGGCACTGCTGGGATAGAGGTGTGAGGCCGAGTAGGTAGACAGGAGCCGTTGTATCGCGAGTCACTGCACGTTTCAGAAGCAGACGAAAGAGCAGCGTGAAAGTGAAGAGGCTGCTGAGGCTGCGCTATTCAGGCGTAGGGCGTGCAGTATGTTTCCGCGTGAATGTGTGCGGCTACGGGTGCGTTGACTGGATAGAAGGAGTCCGCATGCAGGTGCACGGGCGGGATAGTGTTTTTGTACCTACGTCCATGTGACAACTTGTGTTTGCTTGTCTGCAGGCTGGATTGGGGTGTCAGTGTATACGCCATGTGTCTCTTGTGGGTTTTCTCGTACTGCCTCGGGTCCCTCTTCATGCTGTACTGGGATGTGCGGGTGGATTGGGGTCTTTTGCCGACTCCAGATCGCTTTATTCGGTGCGTTCACTCGGCAGACACGAAAGTCTTGTGCAGACGGTGTCGTGTAGTGTATGGCCAGGCCTGCAGAGTCGTCACGAGCTCTTAGAAGGCTGCATGCCGCGAGCATCCCTCTGCGTTGTCTGCTTCTTTCTTGAATGGGGGGTCCAGGAGCAGAGTCCGCGAGACTTGCCTGCAGCCTGAAGACTTCTCTTTGCGGTTCTGTCATCATGAAGCAGAGACTGCAGCAGTGGCTTTCAGGCCGTAGACGTAGAGCGCCGCGCGAGCGAGAAGAGGCAGGGGTGCTCACACTGTTGCTGTCTTGTTGCCTCCTAGAAAACATGCCGCTCTGTGGGATCCTTGTTTTGCTTGCAGCATGCAAGGCCGACTCATGTATCCAGCGTGGATGTACGGTGCAATTGCGGTCACCAACGCGGTAAGGCACTGACTGTCGAGTCTTTCCACCCTCCCCCTTTCCCTCCCGTAGGTGCAGCTGCCAAATGGCGTGCTTCTACAGATGGCAACCAGCAGCACTGCAGCACTGCACAAGGCGGTGCGTCTAGCGAGCGTGGAGAAACTTTGAGGCTCTTCAGCCTTCCAGACGGGGTGTGAGTGTTGGGCACCTCGGTGCTAGGGGCGAACTGGGGGTTGCGCGAGCAGACTGCAGCCCTCTGCGTTGTCTGCTTCTTGCTCGGATGCCATCTGGAGGGGCCTTTGGCGTTGACTTGCCTGCTGCGAGAGTTCGAGAGGCCACTGTTTAGGGATGCATGCACAGCTACCCCTGTGCCTTTGGTCTTTCGTGCAGATGGGGCGCCTCACGTGGGCTATGACCCTAATGCCAATCTCCTTTGTCGGCAACAAAGTGAGGATTGATAAGGGCACTTTACTGACAAAAACGTTCCGCAGCCTTTCTGTCTGTACAATAATCCAGAAAGGAAGGGCGTACTAAGAGAGGAAGGGCCATAGGGGGGGCCCACTACATGTAGGAGGCTTTGCTGCTACCCGGTGAAGCATTCTTCTGGTATCTCTGCTTCTTCGCAGTCCTTAAGCGGCAATTTGGTGTTGTTGTTTATCTCGGTTGTGGAAATCCTGAGGCGCGGAGCGGTGAGGTTGCCTGTCTCTTTGATTAGCGTCGCCGGCTGTATCCTTTTTCTGCGTGGCGTGCCCTTGTTTTACATGCTACGTCCGTGGCCTTTGCTGCAGAAAGAAAAGTTGGCGAATACGGGGGGCTAACATGGGGTGCTATGTATATATATATTATATGTACACATGCTGCAAGGGTTTTGAGTGGGAAGAGCATCTCTCAGATCGAGCTCCTGAGGTGCTGGTTCGCTGTACTGTGCTGTGCTTCAGTGGGTTGTCCTTCGCTTGGAAAATGAGCATGTTAACAATTCCTCCCGCTTCAGGGCCATATTATGGGTGCGTATTACGTACCTGTGTTAGCCTTTTTATCACCTTCTGACCAGCGCATGCAGCTACTTCCGTTCGCCATCGCGAAGAAGGCTAGGATTTAGGACTTTTTTCGCAGCGTCTACCCCGGTAGGGACTGCTGTCTGTTTTCTTTGCTCGCTCCAGGTTCCTCCGCTCCACCAAACACGACTCGAGATGTTGGAGGGAGATCCGCTGATCCAAGCCAACAGCCCGTCATCCTTCGCCCAGACCAAAGGCGCCTCCGCTCGTGGTGGGCAGCAGCATGAGCTCAGCGGCTTTAGTTCAAACGTGTAAGCGCGAGCTTTCTTTGGAGGGAGGAAAAGGCGCAAGATTGCACAGGTAATTGCACGGTGGAAGAAGTTGAAAAGCGCTGTATCTAGACTTTCTAGTTTCGAAGTTAAAACGCCGTGCGCACCAAAACTTCTACAGCACCCAAAGCTGACGACAACACTAGGTTGCTCAAAGCCATCGACAACTGTAGTCAGGAGGCGCAAGGCAACCTCCTTTGGCATACGCGTGTCAAGCCATAGCACTCCTTCATCGGTTGTTCTTAAAGTCCCTTAGTCGTCAAGGGATAGCTGCCTGCCCCTTTTCCAAGTTATTTCTTTCGTTCCCTCTCTTATGTTTGCGCACGATTTATTCCTCCGAGAGCTAGCGCCCCTTCTCCGTGGAGTGGAGCGGCACGTTTTCGAGGATAGCTCCCTCTGAGTTTTACAGGCTCATGGAGGCACCCAGGCGGGTGGATCCTCAGCACCGCTGACAGTCAGCTCATACATGCTTTTTCGTATAAATATAATTCCATAATGACGAGCGCCACACAGCACACACTGGACGCCTTCGGTTGGTCCCTTAGAACCTCAAGCAGCAGCCTTTTTGTGGCAAAACACTTAGGAGCACAGCGAAACGCATTTCCCTGCAGTCACCCCGAGACCCATTTCAGCAAAGTGAGCAATGCAAAAGCTTTTGATCCATGCAAAGCCGTGATTTGAGTACTGGGGAATTTCACCGAATTGTAAAAGGATGAAGATTTAGGGAGCTTAGTGGCATTTGCGGATGCATCATAGCTGCAAACGTGCATGGCTACAGCTGCTAAAAGGAGAGCTTTTCGCACACACACTTCTCGCCGTGTACTTGTTTAGCCAGTCTACAGTGCTTGGAGTCCTTCGCCCCCACGAATGGAAAGCGCGGTGGCAGCGGATGGGCGGACTGCTTAAGGCAACATACTCCAAAATTTTGCTGGTGCGTGGACCAAAATGCCTTTGGAAGTCCTGCAGCGTTTGCCGGAGCTAAATTTCGAAGGAGCAAGAATAACTGAGAGCAGCGGCAAGGCAAACCTAGAGAGAAGGTCAGTTTGCTGGAGTTTCCTGTGCAGTTAGGACTGGAAGGAATGCATGCTGATTTTCTAACGCGACCGTTAGCCAGCTGGGTTTCCAAGTCATAGAGTTGGGAGGCTCTTTCTGTTGCTCTCGAACTTGAAACCACTTTAGTGGTCCAGTTCAATATACCGATCGAGGAATTCCAGCACGGGGAGAAGTGTGCGGCCACTAGATTAATGCGGAATCATTTGGTTGCTTGGCTTGCAAAGCTACGGAAGGAACAATTACTGGGAGATTCACTACCCAAATCCATCGGAGTGCAAATAAGTGCTCAATTAGAGTTGATGTAAGGTCAACACGAAGGTTGGATATTGTAATTCTTGCCCTCAAGGTGCTTTGCATGATACACTGCAGGCTGAAGTTTCGTAGGTTTTATGGATCGCATGAATGGCGCTGGTTGACTCAGGAACACGTTACTGCCATTGCCCTTGCAGAGCCCTAATCCAAAGCTAACGCAAAGACCACGCCCAGTGAATTAAGGTAAATCTGAAATCCATGAGCTGAATTTGAGGGCCAATTTGGAGCCCTAACACAGGGACCACTTGTGTGCAAAGCGAGCTACCTCAAGAAGAGGCAGCCCCCTTTTGTACGTTCTATATTTGGAAGTGGTAAGACGTACGAGGGGGCAGACCGTAAACCATCGTATACACTGGGTCGGAATGAGCAAAGCTACCATCAGCGGCCCCTTGCTATACAAGAGTCACTACCTACTACATTTACGTGTAAGCAGTGCCTCGGAGTGTGGATCCCTCCCTTTTAGAAAGAATTCTAGGGAAATATTGGCGCGATTGCGCTTTAATAATACCCCACCGCCATCGCCGCTTCAGACTATGCGGCACCTCCGAGTGAACGGTCTCAGGGTCATCCGTTCCTCACGAGTCGTATGGGCACGAAAGCCCGAAAGACGGCGGAACAATGAATTGAACAAGCCTAAAAATACTTTCCAGAAGCTTCTACGGCAACACGTAGTTAAAAGGCGTTTTTACTCAGTATGTTTCAAACCGGGAAGGCGTACTCTGCGTGCACCTCCACACACTGGTCTACCCATCGGTACAAAAGGGATGCTGGGGTTGAGGAGTGCAAATAGTGCACATTACTGGCGCTTTAGCCTTCTCGATTTAGGCACAATCTATTCATGCACTGTTCTCATGATATTTCATGCGGCCTGCCACCAAAACGTAGTACTGCTCCTTTCTTTCTAATGTGTAATTACCAATCGCAGCGGCGGCAACGGTAACCGTGCACCCTGAACTGCTCATCTTCGGCTAAATTTGGCAAAATATGCGATTATAGCTGAGCGTCTAGGCCCTTAAAGTGACAACAACGCTTCACATTCAGGGGTCCTTTTTCGCAGTTCCGAATTCTTTGGGCAGTAACGCACACGGTCACTTCCTTTCCCATAGTTGCCTACTGCCCTTCTCCAAAAAGTGCCGCTGTGCTTAAAAGGGCATTTTCATGACGGAAAGGAGCATGGATTCCGATGAGGGATGCATTTGTGTGGGTACGAGCTCGGCGTGTGAGCCCTCTCCCCCGTTGCCTCTTCAACAATGCGTAACTTCAGCAGTATGTTTGTACTCCAGGGAACCTGTGACCCCTCTGCCGTACCTGCACAACGGTTCAGACCATTCGGGGGTGTTGATGGAGGTGACACCATTGTCTCATGCAGAAGAAGTCGTCATCGTCGACGAACAGGAGACACCGGCAGCGCTCTGCGGTTCTCCCGCAGCTGCTGCAAAGCGCCGTGCCCTTGAAAATGCAGGGAAATCCCGCCTCCAGCACCCCTTGGACAGGTCGGGCTCAGTGCGGCAGCCTAAACTCTCGACAGCTTCCAAGTAGGCTGCTCCGTGTAAAGGCTGAAAAGGCCTTGGCGTGCATTCACAGCCCCCGTTTCTTCATGGCCCCAACGTGCACCACGCCTTTCTTCCTGAATACAAGTCTAGAAAATATCCTGCATAGCTGCTGCTGCAACCTAGAGTGCTTATCAAGAAAGTGCGCTACGAATGGCTTCTGTGACTGAAGTTGTAATGCTCCTTTGCACTGGTGCCACCCGACGGTGCGACTGGCCTTGGGCAAGCAACTGGGTATATTTGACTCTCAGTAGGATAGCTAACGCGCAAAGAGACTTGGGTAGGAGCCGCACATAAGTACACATACTGCAGATCGGGCAAGCTGTTCGCGTGTCTGAATAAATGCTTCTTGGGTCGCCTCTGCAGGCCGTCGGAATCAAGAAACACACAAAAAACCTCCATACTGAGGCCTGAAGATCGGGTGCTTGATGTTCGCCGTCTAGACTTTGGGCAGATTTCGACGCGCTCTCGAGGAAAGCTAATGTCGGAAACGGAGGCAGAGCACGCAAGCTACCTCCCCGCCGTCGTCGGCTGCCAAGCGCTGTGGGGAGGTACCTTCAAGGAATCACCAGACTGGCTGCCTCTTCCAGGTAGGCTTACGCCTCCTTGATGCCTTTTGAATGCCTTCCTGCTGCATTCCTAATGCCTTCCTGATGCGTTCGTAATTCATCCTTTATGTTATTCTACAAGGAAGAGCGCCCGCCTGCGCCATCGTGCCTCAACACTGTTTTCTCGCGCGTTCAACTGTGTAGACACCGGAGTCAACGCCAAGGGGGAGAAGGTGGAGTGGCTTCGGCATGCGCTTTACGGCGTTGGGACTTACTTGGATGTTGAGAGGTGCGTAAAGGCCTTTTACGTGCTGCCGTTGCAACCCTAGCGTATGTACACTGTCCTTCGCATTGCATGTGATGATGCCTCCTGAAGGGCTGCGTGGTAGCGTCTGTGGGGGTGGTGCTTTGGTGTGCGTACCGTAAATAAATGCAGAACAGATGAATACGTGGAGTGTATCAAGGCGCTTAGCCGCTTGCGGCGTGAACGCACCTACGGGAAAGATGAAAACACGAGAGAAAAATTTTTGAAGAGACAAGGTTTGCGAGCAGCAGCCATAAAACACTCTTTATTGTGGAGGCACTGTGGCCAGTTCCCCTAAGATGACGTGCATGCCAAGTCGTCCTCTCCTCTTGCCCTTTTGTCGCGTCTAATAAGCCCCCTTGCGTGGATTTTTAGATCCCCTCTCAGGGACTGCTTACAGCGGCGAGTCACACTGAGAGCGCTGGACAAATCAAGGGGGAAATGTTTGCATCGTGTGCCTTTGCTCTATTTGCTCAGAGTGGCGGTTCTGGTCGAAGGGTGTTGGCGGCTCGCGGTTCTTCACCAAGCGAGTTGTTCTTCCGAAATTCAGCAGACAGTCCGAATTTATCGGCCTTGTCTACCCCTATCCCCGTGGAAAGGCAAGTGCTGTTGTTTCCGTTTTCTGCGCCTCCCCTCTCTTTACCCCCATATCGCTTCGTTCGTCGTGCCGCCTCGGAGTATAAACTGTATGTGCAGACACACAGACATATGGACATATAGACAGACACACAGACATATAGACAGCCAGACAGACATATAGACATTTAGACAGACACACAGACATGTAGACAGACATAAAGACAGACATATAAAGAGACAGCCAGGCAGACATGTAGACAGACATATAGACAGACAGACACCCAGACATATAGACATTTAGACAGACACACAGACATATAGAAAGACAGACACACATACATATAGACAGACAGACACACAGACACACATCCAGACAGACATATAGAACGACATACAGACAGACACGCAGACACACAGACATGTAGACAGACATACAGACAGACATATAGACAAGTATACAGACAGACACGCAGACATATAGAACGACATACAGACAGACACGCAGACATATAGACAGACACGCAGACATATAGAAAGACAGACACACAGGCACACATGCACACAGACATATTGAACGACATACACACAGACACACAGACATACAAACATACACATACATACAGACAGACACGCAGACATACATACACATACATACAAGTACACACATACTAAGAAACACGCATACACTTAAGCATATATATATATGTACGCACACGCATATATATATATATATATATGTATATACATTCGTAGCAGAGTCTTCCTTTTCAGACATCATTGTCCTTTGCGCTGACCACCTTTTAGCTGCACTGCGTAGAATATGCTTTAGAGGGCATATATGTGTATACACCTTTTGAGCATTTGGAGGAAGAGGGCTGCGAGGCGTGAAGCTTTGTCCACGCACGTGTGTGTATGCCATGCCCTCTATGAAGCTGAAGGTTGACGATATTCTTCTGCCTCGTGACTCGCTCAGAGCAGTGTTTGGATCGATCAGGGAAATGCGGGGGATGCTTGCTCAAGAAGGCAGCAACCCCCCAAACCAGTGCACCTCCAAAGTCGTTCAATCGCTGAGAGAACAGGTGAGATCGAGCTGGCATGCATGCATGCCCCTAAGTGTGCAGTGAGGCTTTCGGAGAGCCGTGAGGCCTAGGCCTCCTAGCGTCTTCATGGCGACTCGTCCATGTCGCGCGCGTACTTATTTCAAGCCTTTTTAGGGATATATGCTTTTTCTCAGTCTCCTCTGGGGATTTCCGCGTCCCCCCACAGCTCTGAAACACCCCTATCAGTAGATGACTGTGAGAGCAGAGGCAGGCACGGGAGTTGCTGCGAATCTATCTAGGCGCATGCGTGCCTTCTTCAAGGCACGCATGCACAACAAGCCCCCAGGGGCGTTGCACGAGACTTCTTGGAGAGCTTCGCTGGCCGTTTTCCGCCGTTGCGTCCTCCTGCAGATCATCCAATGCATGGAGGGTCGGCAAAACTTTATTGCCATCGAGAAGTGCGATGCCACGCACACCGTGCAGCTCGCCGAAGAGGAGCATCGCCTGTGTCAAGGACTCGAGGCACAAGAAACGTCTCAACACTTCAGAGCCGTTGCGCGCCTTGGAAACTATGATGCCTTGCCAACAGCAACTATCCTTGGTCCGCCTTATGGGGGTGTGCTGCGTCCTGCTGGGGAGCTCGCCATGATGCAGGTATTTCGATTCTGAGGCAGCTGTCTAGGAGGGAGCGTAATAGAAGGGGGATTCGCGACACGCTTCCCTGCCGAAATTTCGCTCGGTGGCAGTGCAGACTGGCTAGCGCAGGACAGTCGAGAGGAGACAGCAGCACGCTAGAGCGCCTAGGGAGTCTCTCTCGCAGTGCTGCACACAGCCCTTCGCAATGCACAGAAAAAGACGCTTGTGTCTCGAGATGAACTGCCACTTTCGAGGCAGCCGTAGGGGAAGGGTTTGCTGCAAGCGTGGCTTTTACCCGCCTCAAGGCCCTCTGCTTCCTGCGTTTGCATGCATGCACGAGTGCACGCATGCCCGCACGTGTGGTGCAGATGATACACGACCGTCTGCGAGATCTAAAGGGGCCCCCACGGCAGTCGTATGCCTTTCGCATCGAAAATCTGGGGTACATAGGAGAGTGGGAAGCGCGGCAGGACAAGGCGGAGGGTAGGCTGCTCTCCTGTCGCCTCCTCCCTCCTTCCTTCGTTCCCCTCTCCACTCCCCTGTGCTGCGGCTGGAGCGATGAGAGCCGTGTGAAAATGCGTTCAGCCCCTGCAGAAAACTATGCCTCTGCTGCGCTTTCTTTGGGGACTGCATGCGTGACAGGAGGGCGGGGGGATCAGCCGTAGGGGAGGAGTGAGGGTGGCTTTACAGGCATTCAGGCTGTTGAGATGCACATGTTCTTACACCGACTGTCACGTTTTTGCCCCATAGCCGTCCTCTGCAAGGCGGAGCGAGAGAAGCGGGGAGGAAAGGGGGGAGAAAATAGCGTCTCCTCAGAGTCCACGGCTCTGCTGTTGTTTTACACACAACAGGGCAAGCGGGTTGTAGGGGGCTTGGTAGAGATAGATAGAATTGCTTGCCATGGCTAAGGAACTGAGCAACTGATGACACGGAAAGCCTTTTAAAATGCACGGAACGCATGTGTGGTGGTGCGTTGTATATTTCTTTGCGGAAAAAATCCTAGAGGCCTCCTCTTTCGTGAATTTGCATCCTCGACGCTACCCACCCACTAGCGCGTTGTTCGGAGTGCTGCTGGCGATTCGATGCAGCAGCTGCGGTGAAGGGGAGTACAGAACGAGACACTGGACCTGAATTAGAAGAATACCAAGACTGCATAGCTGGGGAGGGCCGCGAAATTTCCTGGCAGGTGAGAACGTGACGGAGTCATTTCAACATACACCTTGAGGCTGGCTTGAGTATGCGGGTATGTGTGCCTCTGAAGCACTATTTTTCTGGAAGCTTCTGGTGAAGCACTTTGCTTGAGGTTTCGGCGCTGTTTCGAATGAGAATGGCACGCTGTGGACCACGAATTGAGCATCGCTACAGCGGGATGGAGAGTAGCTGCTGCATCTGCATCGATACGACCTTTCCATGTGGAGATGCGCAAATGAAGCACTAAGAACCCCATAGGCAAAAGGCCGTTGTGCCTGTTTAAGGCTTTTTGTCGAGCTGTTCCTTCGTGCTGACTGCTGCTGCTGCTGTTTCTGGGTACGCTAGCAGCCTAGGAGTCGGCCTCTTACGAGCTTAGACGAAATACACAACTACGTGCAGAAGACAATGAATAAGCTGGCATCCTGCAGCACTATCAGAGAAGCCGAGCAGATAGGTAAGTGCCTGTGCTCTTGCTTGCTTTCTCTTCTGTCTTTGGATGTGCTTGGAAGCGCCGTAGCACACGGTTCGCGAGGCCTACATAGCCACATATATATATATATATATATATATATATATATGGACATGTATGCACAACCAGCTCCTGGAGAGGAGGAAATAGGGGGGTTGATATTATTTGCCTACATGGACCGCTGTTGCCACCATCGCGGGCAGTTTTCGCTCTGGAGGTCAGTTGCTGCTTTTTCTTGGATGGCTTGCTGTTGCCTGCCCTCAGAACGAGAGTTTCGCATGAATGATCCTGACATCCGTATGGACAGCTGCAGCACAATCGAGCCAGATTCCCCCGAGTTAGATGCCATGGATTACAGAAGCGAGTATTCCATGATGAACGACGCAAATGGCTCTGCCAGCGTGAGTCTCACGTGCTCCTCTAATTTGAGTCTTTTTTGTGACGCTGTGGCGGGGAGGCCTCTATTGCGAGGACAGAGAAAGAGGCAGAAAGAGACACAGAGAGAGACAGACAGAGAGGGACAGAGAGAGACAGACAGAGAGAGAGACAGAGAGACAGACAGAGAGAGAGACAGAGAGAGAGAGAGCGACAGAGAGAGAGACAGAGAGAAACAGAGAGAAACAACGAGAAAAAGCGAAATCGAAAGCCCTGCTTTGCAGATGCTCGGTGTCTGGTGTAAAGCTGCGGCCCTTGAGTAACGTCGACAAGGCGCATAGAAATGGCTGGCTATTCATTAGAAAATTTCCTTAGACGCATTATGTAGTGTGATGCTGCTGTGTGCTTGCTGACGCTGCTTTTGTGGGTGCTTTGGACTGCGGGGTGTCGGCTTTAGATAAGCAACGGAAACAACTGCCACAGCTTGCTGGTGATTATCGGCGGTCTGCCCTTCTTCTTCCCTATAACGAATCGTCCTATTAGAAATGGCGAAGAGCTTCTGCTGTCCTATGGACCGCATTACTGGACGGTAAGCCTCCTGATATCCGTGTGTGTGTTTGTGTATTTGTATTTGTGTGTGTGTGTGGGGGGGGGGGGGGGTTGTGTGTGTGTGTGTGTGTGATCTTCTCGACAGTAGGGTTGTCATGGCGTGTATGTCTCTTCTCGGCTGTCATGTCCAGCTCTCCGTGCGGGCACCTTGAGTGCTACTAGACACACAGGAGGGAGGCAGACATGCACATGCACACACACATACACACACTTATACATACACATACAAACGCATACACATACGCATACACACCCATATACATACAAACGCATACAAACACATACACATACATACACATACACATACACATACACATACACATACATACACATGCATACACATAAATACACAGACATACGCATGCACATACAAACACATACACAAAATACACACACATACACATACATACACATATACATACACATACGCATACACATACATATACATACATATTCATACACATACATGCACATATACATACACTTACACATGCACAAACAAACACGCCCGTTGAGTTTGTGCCTTCTAACGTACCGCGATACGCTTGCGCTTGGGCAATGTGCATTCCTGTCATTGTATTTGAGACGCTTGATCTCGTCCATAGTTATGGAGGGGACAGATCCCTGCATGGTATCTGGAGAGTAAGCGGTGTTTTATGCTGAAGGACCTCAATAGCCCTCGAGAGTGGCATAATCCGCTCTTGAGGATGCTGGGGGGGGCAATACGCAGGGGTATTTTGGTGAATGAGAGGGCTAAGGGGAGCATCGCATGCATCGCTTCTTTCTGCTATCTGGCAGCAGCTGGTACGCAGAAGAATGTGATGAGGCCTTGCGGCCTCACCTGGCCAGGATTTCAGACTGTGAGACCACTGGGAATTCGCGTTTGGGGCTGTCTGTACACTGCAGGAGGCGCAGTCTACTGAGGCTCTGCTATCTTCGACATACCAGCTCATGACTGGCCTGTTGACCATGGCTTTTGAGAACAAGAGAAATGTGTTTGATAGAAATGCACACCTGGAAGAAAGCAACTGCCGGCTGGTTCAGTCTCGGGTAAAGTCGTCCCCCCCACTAAAGACACGTATTCCTGCTGCTGCGGCCTTAAAGAGCGATCCGTCGTGCGCTGACACTTTGCAGTGTAGCATTGCCTTCTGCGGCTTGACTGGAAGCGAGAGGGAAGGGAGGTGAAAGGAAATCGAGGGGGGTTTGTGGGGGAAGATGCTCGTCTCCCTCGCTAGCGAAACGGCCCTGTGCCGCCAATTTACGATTCTACACACACATATATATATATGCATACTCATACATGCATACTCATACATACATGCTCATTTATACACTAATGTATGCATACACATACAGACATCCACACATATACATACTCATTTATGCATACTCATTTATACATACACATATATACATACACATATATACATGCTCATACATACATACATGTATACATACACATATGTACATGCACATATATACATGCTCATATATACATACTCATTTATACATGCACATATATAGATACACATACATACATGCACGTATATACATGCACATATGTACATCCACACATATACATACTCATACATACATACATGTATGCATACCCATATAGACATCCACACATATACATGCTCATACATACATACATGTATACATACACATATATACATGCACATATATACATACACATATATACATGCACATATATACATACGCATCTATACGTGCACTTATATACATATACATACATACATATATGTACATAAATACATATATACATACATACACGTATACATATACATATATACATGCACATATATACATGCACATATATACATGCACATATATACATGCAAATATATACATAGATACATATATTGACTCGGAGAACTGTGCATGCATCCCCATTGGAAACAAGATAGGAGGGTGTTCTAGCGCTACCCTCTTTGCATGTGTGCCTGCATATCGCCATGTGCACAGGCCGACGAGAGAGCAGCCGAAGACGTTGCGGAGTTGCTGGCAAGGCTGCATGTCTGCAACGATCAGGGAGAGCAGCGCAAGCAGGCTGCAGCGTGGCTGGAAGAGCTAAAGAAGACGCTGCAAAGGGAAGGCAGGGGCTATGCAGTTCTTGAGGCGTTGGATCGAGCTGCAACATCTCTTGCAAGCGGGTGCGTGACCGTGGCAATGGAAGATTTTGTTTTTTTCTTTGGCGGCCGCATAAAATCTATAAGACATTTTTAAAAAGTCTATAAACAAGAAGACCACTGCTCCTTTGCTCCTCCTCCTCACGCACTAGCGGGAAAGCTGCAAGCGCAGTGAACCCTTCCTCTCCAAGGAACTCCTTGCTTCCCTTCAGCGCGTATAGACAAAAAGTAATACCCAAAGCAAGAGAGAAGTACCCGTAGACAGCGAAGGCTTTGTTTCAATGCCATTAGGAGAGCGGTGACAAAAGTCTCTTCATGCCCCTTCCTATCCGCTGTGGATAGGAGTAACGGCCGCCTTGCTCGGCTGTGGGTGAGCGCGAATCGTTTTTTTTTAATTTTGCTGGATCGTGGGAGCTTATGCCTTGGGGTTTTTCCACCACCCCTGGCTGTGCATGCAAGCTGTATCTGTACACTGTGCAACAGCGCGGATGTGGCCGTCACTTTCGCTGACTTGAAGGCTGCAACGGATACCCTAACCAGAGAATATCATCAGCGCACTGTCGAGCTGCAACAGCAGGTCAGTCGTTTCTGCCTGTGCGTCTTTCTTTCTTTCTTTCTCTCTTTCTCTCTTTTTTTCTTTCTTTCTCTCTCGTTTTTTTCTCTCTTTTTCCCTTCTTTTTTTTCTCTCTCTCTCTCCGTCTCTTTCTTTCTTTCTTTCTTTCTTTTCGCTTTCATTGTTGTTTTGCCATCATGACGTCTTTTCAGGGCTGTAGCCGCAGCAGACGCGCCAGATGCTTTACTTGCTACCTAACAGCGGCGCGTGCGGGCTTAATCGCAGCTGAGACAGGCAGGCATCTTCAGACTTCCTTCTCTGAGGGCCTCTTGATGCCGCCTTTACGAACGCTGCCTCTTCAATGCGACACCTGTGGCGTGCTGTCTCAGGTCGAGAAGGCAGAAGAGGCCAGAAAAAGCGCGGAAAAAGAAAGCGCAAGGCTGCAACTCCATCTTAACGCCGTAAATGACAGCTCTCAGGTCCAAGCGTCCCGCCTGGCAAAGCTGAAACTCGAACTGCAACGGATGCATGCCATTTCCCAACGTCACTTCGTGGAAAGGGAGAGAATCACTTCTTCAAGGAGCATTCAGTAAGGGACAGAGCAATGTGCACAGCTTGGCAAGGCGTCGAAATCTTGAGATGACATCGCCCTAGAAGGCATTCGACTGAGAGCAAGCAAGCGCTCAGAGCCGTCCTTTGCTGGCGTCATGTTTTTCATGGGATAAGACAAAGGGCAGATGCCCCTTATTTTCGTAGTCTGCTGCTGCGTTGCCGCCAAATGCGCATACACATACACACACACATATACATACATACAATGATACATACATACATAAAATGATACATACATACGATGATACATACATACGATGATACATACATACCATCATACATATATACATATATACATGTACGCATACACGTATACTTCCTCTTTCCCCGGTTGCCCAACACGTGTATATATATGTGTGTGTATATGTCTATGCATGTATGTATGTCGATATGTATGTGTGGCTATATATGTGTGTGTTGGTTTCTGTCCGTATGTGTACACATGTCTATGTACATAGATATGCCCGTAGGTATGTATGTACATATGTATGTATCTATACCTACATGTGCACACACATATATGCATAAATATACATATATACCTACATGTGCATATATATATATATGCATAAATATACATATATATATATGTATACTTATGCATATATATATATGCACATGCAGGTATATATATATATGTATATTTATGCATACATGTATGCACATGTGTCTTCGGTCTGTCAATGACTGTCCTGCCCTTTGATTTTTCAGCAGTGACGACTGCCCGTATGCGAAAATTACAGAGCTGCTCGGTGTTCAAGGGTTGCCCATTCATGCCACAGGTGTGATAAGATAAGCCACGCTTTTGCATGCGTGGCTGCCCTCCGTGCACTCCATTTTCTGCAGCATGCAGAAGGCCTTCGGCTGCTGCTGCTGAGGATGTGATGCAGCGCATCACAGCCGCTCTTGCCCTTTTCTGATCGATTTCGCGGCAGTTGACACTCAACACTTGCCCAATTGTGGGGTCGCCGCTTGTCACGTATGGCCTGGCTTTCCACAGGCGCCGCAGCTTCTGAGGGAAGAAGAGTTCTCACTTTCCTGGCAGCCTTGGGAACGGCGTGTTTGTGCTTTCGCAGGGTCTGATGTTCAGCGCCATGAAGATGTGTGCAAAGCAAGGGGTTATCTGCTAAGCATGGGTTTCCTGGACATACACACGAGCAAGTGTCGGTACGCTGCCTGCCTGCTGTCGGAAACAGACGCCAGAAAAGTTCAGCCTCTACGTACTGGCCTGCTGCAGCTAGCACAGAGTGGCGAGGGGAGAAGAAGGAGGGGAGTGACGGCTGCAAGTATCGCCTTTGCACTGAGACATGTGGGTGTGGATGTGTGCAATGCTTTCTTGAACGGAAGTCAGGCAATGCGGCTGGCCTTTTGTGAAAGGTCCCCTAGCGCCTCATGGGGAAGAGCAGCATCTGTGGCATTGCCGCGGAGAGAACAACGACATAGCCGAACTTGTGGAGGAGGTACGCGCGCACATGAGCCTCAAAGGACTGTCTTATAAGGTTCATTGTGGCTAGACGCATCTCGGCAGCTGATTTGACTGCGCTTTCGTGGCTTGTTCTTCGAGTGCGTCCACGTCGGGAAATTTGAGGCCCTTGCGCGTGTGTCGCATGCATGTGAAGACAGCGCTGCTCCTTCTTCTCTGTCTGCATCTGCTGCATGGCAGTAAAGGTCCTGCCTGTGATACGCAAGGTGGAAGGAGGTAGCCGCGCGCGTCTATCCTTGGGGAGCGCCTTCCGCGACTGCTGCAGAGAGTATATATACGTGTATGAATGCATGCATGCGCGCTTTGCCACGAGCGGAGAGTGGTGGGAGCGGGGTGCATGCGTGCCTGCGCTGCAGGGAGAAGAGCTGGCCAAAGGGCAGGGCTTTTTGCTGCAAAGATGCCTCAACATCTTGTCGCGCGACTCTGAGATCTGCTGGTTTCTGTTCGAGCTGCTGTGCTGTCTCGCCAAGACCTTTGCACGGCTTGTGCCTAAGCACAAGGCACGCAATCAGCAGTGGCAGCAGCTTTGTCTTCAGGAAGCGCATTGCAGCAGTCAAAAGCAGCACCGCTTGCTACACGGCAGGCCAGGGGGGCAAGAACGTCAGAGGGAGGCATGCAAGCCACCGCTGCAGCAGCAAGAAGCACACGGACCCTCGCAAGAGTCTGAAGTCGAGGACGGCGAGCTAGAACCGGATGCATGCCATGAGGGGGTGCACATGGCAGACAATCAGTCCACCAGGATGGTCAAAGAGCTTGCAACAACAACGCATTGCACAGATCCGCATGCCCGCGACACTACTCCAGACAGCGCCTGCGTTGCAAGCACAAAGCAACGAAGCTGCAGCGCTTGTATTTGCGCGGGTAGAAACAATTGGGAAAGAACTACAAAGCGATTTCGATGTGGAGAAGGCACAACGGACAGCAGCAGCAACACACAGCGTTTGCCACGTTTTTCTCAGCATGCAGACGCGTTCGCAGGATACGGGCAAGTCAGATCGGAGGCATCCTTCGATTTCGATGCCATGGTGCTCGAGGCTTTCGAGGAAGACCCCGTATCTCGCGATACAGAGTAAGGCATGCATGCACGGCACAAGGGGATTGGATGCAAAGACTTGTTATCGGCAGAACGAAAGAGGCTTGCTCTAAACCCCCTCTTACAAGTGTTTTTTCTTTAAAACGTACTGTCACGCAAGAACGCTTTTAGGCTCAATTGTCACGTGCTTCAAAGGATCAACCAGCCAAAAAGTACAGGCCCTTTTCTTGTATATATTATATGTAAATATATGGCTATAAATCTATATAGGTAAATATATATCTGTAAATATATATCTGTAAATATATATATGTAGATATATATACATACATATATATGTAAATATATATACATATATATATATATATGTATGTATATGCATGTGTATGTAAATGTATATGTATGTAAATATATATGCATGTATATGTATATATATCAATACATGCAGGTGCCCTCCATTGCATATGCTTGGGAACGTTTTTGTAGAGGTTTGGGGCCCTCAGGCTATGCGCTTTTGCTGTGCTGCTTTTTGCGTTCTTTTCTGCCTGCTGCTGCAGTTGGGTTGGATGGCTGCTGGAGCTGCCGGTGCTTCGATGGACTCTAACAGCAGACACAGAAGCCGAAAGGCGGCGGCAAGTTCACTTACTGATGTGCAATTTCCCCCTATTGCTGCACGCTGTCTTCTCTGTTTGCTGCAACAACTGTCTGGGGTTTAGCCTCATTCCTGCGTCTCTCAATAGAGACAACTGGCTGGGCGAGTTCCTCGAGGCGGTCCATCAATGTCTTGAAGAAGTTGAAAGCGAGTGCGATGCACAGAGAGCGACGTTAATATCCTTCCTCCTCCTTTTAGCACAAACAGCCAGACACACAAATATATATATACATATATATATATAGATATACATATATAGACACATAGAATGCCGATATACGCATGCATATATCGGCAGATATATATATATATACGTATATACAGGCACATAGAGGTATATGATCAATACATTCCGATAATTATGTACATAAATACGACCAAAGGCACACTTACGGTGCCGAAAAGCATATGCGCGTAGATAAGTTGCGCTCACGGGCGAGCCAAGCTGCAGGCTGGCCCTTACTAAAAGTTTGGTTGGTTTGCTGTGAAAGGCACGAAAGAAGAGGGGCACGCTGGTTTGTGGTCTAGAAGGCACTGTAGTACAAATGAAAGCAGCTCGTGCAACGCCTCTAGCTGCAGATATCAGCGGCATTGTTCGTTAGTTATCGCTCCAATTGAAACGCTGTCTTCTGCAGATCTGAGACGACTCCCACCATGTGGATATCACGTTTTTTTCGTGCGGTTGAGGGTGCGCACGTGGCCTTATCGGCTATTGAAGCCGAAAGGAAGGCTGTTGACGTGCAGGCTTTAGAGCGTCATCTTGCGAAGCGGCGATGCCTCCTCCGCAAGATTGAGGATCTGCGCGATCGTCGGGCTGCGGCAAGTATGAGGGCAGCTCAGTGCGGTGACTCAGGGATCGACGATCCCATGCAAAATGAGGTGCGTGTCTGTCTGCGTGTGTGTCTGTGCGTGTGCATGCGTCTTGGGGCGGCTGTTGCGTGTAAGCAGCCGTGCTTTCGCGCTCGTTTTCCTGTACGTGAAACTGCGTGTGTTGTGTATTTTGCTGCATTCCGTGGGCTGTCGCAAGTCCTAGGCACACTCAACGCTGTTCAGACCACCTGCATTTTCCATGGGGGTGTCGTGTCGAGGATGACACATCTTTTGCATGCTACAGCGTCTTTGCACGCCACTCAGACACTGCGATGTTGGTGAGGGCTGCGTTGCGGGGTGGCTTGTCTTTCCGCATGTTTGGTGCGCATGCAGACAGCCGAGGAGTGCGAGCTGTGGAAGGCGATCTACAAGTTGTCGGAGGCGGTCAAGACCCGGGTGTCGGTACACCTGAATGCGTGGGGGCAGCAGCTGGCCTACTTCATAGACACCCGCTATTTGCGATTGGAGCAGTACGAGCGTCATGAAATGTGGCGGGAGGAACGGCTTCGAGCCAGCCGACGCAAATTGCAAGGCTTTTCTGAGGCCGAGAGATACATGACGAGCGAACAAAAAGCCTTGTGCTTCAGAAACAAACGCAGGGAAACCGGAGGAAAATATTTGCGGTACTTTGCATTCCGCACGAGGGTGCGTTCTTTGGCGTTATAAGAACCTGCTCGCAGAGATGGGGTCGCTGCTACAAGCGAAAGACGTAATCCACTTTTTGTTCGACACCGTCTCCCGGCAGCATGAGGAAGGTGGGGCTGCTGTTGGGTGTACTGCGCATGCACATGCTGTCTGGGATTCTGTCGCTTTCGCAGATGGGAGAATTCGACGACTGCGTTGATCGCGTCAAGTACTTTGCTGGTGAGTGCCGAAGGTGATCGCTCTGCCGTGATGGCTGCGCGGCAAAAGAAGCGTATTTTCGCACGTACATGTACATATATATATATATATATAATGCATACAAGCAGATATATGCATATGTATTCACCTTGTAGGTATATGTACATATACGTATATACACACGTATGTATGTATATGTATACATAGGTATATATACATACATACATGTGCGAATATATAAAAGAAGAAACGGTCTAGTTTTTACAGCTGTGTGGGGAACTGGAGAGAGAGCTGAGACACTTCCAAAGGTGCCTCTGCGACGCTATATATATATAGTTGAATATATACATCTGAGTGGGCAAAAGAACGTCTGCACGTGAGTGGTTTTGTGTGCCTTCTGTGAGCTTGAGTTTCTGTTGGCAGGCTGCCGTCGTGCAGCTCTGTCTTTTAGGTGTTGGCGTGCTTTGAACGTTCAGGCCTTGAGGGGGGCAATGTATCGACGGCGATCAACAAGACTTTGTCTTTGATTGCTGATTACGCCGGGGTTCGACCAGGAACGTGGGATAGGGATGTTAAGAGGCGACTTCAACCGGAGCTGAACAGTCAGTTGCGAGAGATTTCCAGTGCTGAGGAGGCGGACCGCCTTCTTGGGAAGCCTCTCTTTGAGCGAGCCTTAGAGCATTGGCCTCAACTCCGGCGGCTTGTCGACATTGGTGCAACGCGGTGCGTAAGGAAAGCGGTGTTTCGCGGGGGGGACGGGGGTAGGGTTGAGCGCATCTGTGCCTTAAAGGGTGTCTTTCGTATGAGCCGTTGCAAACATGCCAAACCCATGCTCCTACTAAAAGCAAAGTGCTGCAAAGGGTGCTCAAGGGCAGGTCTTTCTACATAGTATATATATATATATCTACATAGTTTCATGGTACCAGCATGCCCCTTTCCTCCCCCTCCCCTCGTTCTCCAGCGAGAATCTGTGCTGCCGGTGTTGACGGGGCTTCGTTTTCACCCCATGCGCGCGAGCCGCTGCTCAACAAGCTCAACTGGCTTGTTCTGCTGTCTGTGTGTGGCTGCGTGTTTGTGTGTGTTTCTGTCTCGTGTGTGTGCATGTGTCTGTATGTATGTTTGTGCGTATCTGGGTGTCTTTGCTCGCGCGGCTTGCCCCCTCCTTGTCTCATGGGCCCAGAGCCGTGCATGCAGTCCAGCTGCAGCTCTCCGACACAAGAAAGCAGCTGGAGCAGAGCCGCCAGCAAGCAAGGCGTCTTCAGCAGCAAATCAAGGAGCTGCACGCTTGCATGCAGCGCTTGCAGCAAACCGGTCCAACCGAAATGACGTCTGGGGCTTCCCAGGTGCGCACGCGCTGTTCTCTCTTGGCGGAGCGGGGGGGGCCTTTGCGTCCATGGCGACAGGCTATGCATGCTTCATGCATGCTTCTTTTGCCGTAGACAGATGCCAACGCTGCCACCCTCGCATGTGTGCCGCAGCTGGTAAGCGGCGAGGAAGCGTGTCTGCAGCATCCCGAGCATGCGGTGCTGCTGCAAGACAAACGGCTTTTGCACCAGGAGTATATCGCCACCTCGCAAGACGGCGAAGGAGCAACACAGCGCCACATGCGTGTCAAGCAGGAAGCAGGGCCTGCAACTGCTGCCCATGAAGTATGCGCGGATGGCAATGCTGAGGGAGCGCACACACTTTCGAAAGAGAGTCTTGTCGTGACAGTATTGTTCACCACGCATTCCTTGTGTTTGCGTCTGTCTTGCTCTCTCTCAGCGCATTATTGCGACGCAAAATCCCGGCACTAACCCCTGTGTAAGGCTCCGTCATGCAGACGCCGTGCCAGCACATTTGTCGTATGCAGCTGCCCTTACAGCTGCTAGCCTGGCTCAGCACTAAGTGCCTTTTGTTAGAGTGTGTGGGGTGGGTGATTTGCTCGCTCTGCAGACGCTGCTGCAGCTGTACTGCGAGGATAGATCCGCGCACACGGTGATCAGGCGTGGCGACTTCCCCCGAGTTTCCAAGGAAATAAAAGACGGTGCGTGCAACCTGGTAACGATGCGAAGGGGCTAGAAGGGGGGGCACGGCATGCGAGGGCTTGCATGCGAGGAATCAGCAATGGACTGCTGTCTTGAGACCAGAGCAGATCCTGTATGCGCGCAGACGTACAAGACGGAAGTGGCGACTCTCGCCATGCAGTCTTTCGCTACCTGTTGCCTCCAACGCCTTTCGTGTTCGAGCCACCTATCGATGTCAACAAAAGCGGCTGTACGTACAGGCCCAAAGACGAGGCAGTCCGAAGCAACCCTTGCTATGTGTTGCTGCTGCCCAAAGCGTCTAAAGTCTCCGTGTGTCGTCTGTATGTACAAGTTCTGCAAAGCCTCCCCAGGTGCACATTGCATCATAAAGGTAGCAGTGACATTGTCTATCTCTTTCTCTCTTTCTTTCTCTCATTCTTTCTCTCTCTTTCCCTCGCTCGCTCTGTGTGTGTGTGTCTGTCTGTCTGTCAATTTGGCTCGGTTCCATTGCCAGGATAGCTGTCCAGCTCAGACAGTAGCGTCGAGCTGACCACATGTCTTCGAGGTTCGTGTGCACCTGCGCAAGGGTATAGACAAACCTTCTGTGTGGTTCAGGTCTGCACGGCTACCTGCCTGCCGGACGGAACGATCATTTCACGCTCGACGTCGTGCTTCGACTGCCTGCACTTACTAGCACTGGATCGCGAATAATAGCCCTCAACAGTCGTGAAGGCAGGGGCAGGAGGTTCTATCACCCACAAGATTCCAATCAGCAGCTGACTTCCATTTACGATCCATTGGTCTGCACGCGAGCGATGCCTGAAGACGAAGGGGCCTGCAGTCAGAACAGGAGCTTCAGACACAACCCCGTATGCCGCCTTGTTGTTTTTTCTCCCCAGAACCCACAGCACCGTTATTTCAAGGAACTGCCTTTTTGTGGAGATGGTCTTTCCATTCGCGTCGAGGCCGTTGTATCCTGTATCCTTTTTGGTGCTCCATTGTGTATGTGTGTGTGTGCGCATGTATGTTTATGTATGGGTATAGGGGTATGGGGATACGGGTATGTATGTGTCTATCTGTATCTGTATGTGTGTGTGTGGAAGCAGCACCGGCCGTTCGACAGCCACAGGGTAGGCGAGGGCCAAGTATTTGCAATTCTTGCATACTACTTTGTGCTCTCGAAAGATAATTCGCCAAGAACACACAGCCAACTCCACTTAGCTTGGAGGCGCTAGAGGCCTCCAGGCTAGACATGGGAGGCTGCTGCTGCGAGAAAGGCCTCCTAAGGGGCAGTCTTTTCCGCCTGCTCCCTTGTGAGATCAGCGCATGCGGTTTCTCTTTCTCGCTGGCGAATGGTTCTGTGGCTTCGTCCCCTGTGTTCTTCGCTGCGTCTTCCACGGCTCTTTGCAGGAAAGCCCCCCCGAATACGCAATGTTGCTGAGCGCCCGCTACTGGATCGTGCCTCGAGGCAAATATGATCGAATACAACGAGTGGATCTGGGCATGGGGATGCGGATCCCCAGCCATGCGCCATCGGCTGCAACCTCTGCTGGCTTTTCTTGCAATCATTTTGTCTCGTTCTTTAAGAGGGATAGCCTCGAGTCGGCCAGCGCCGAACCCATGTAGGGCCGCCTGCTGAATAGATGCTGAAACATGACAGTCTCCCGCACGCCTTCCTGCCTGCATGCGTGTCTTTTGGCATCTCTGCTTAGTCGCTATCGTCGACGGCGAATTAACTGCTGCAGCCGCCTCTGTGCGTGTGTTTGCGCTCTTCAGGGACCCCCCTTTCTTCAGGTGAGGCTGAAAGGCTGCAATGCTCGAGTGTATTGACAGATCCCGGCTTTCACCCCTGAAGGCACACAAGACGGACGAGCCGTCCCGAGTCTGTGTGACTGCCACAGAGTTACGTTGAAGTGCACGAGCGAGAGCGCTGGGGGTTGCGCAGAGGCCTCATCGATGCCTGCCATGCGTGTAGTCCCCTTCGTGAATGGGGTATTACAAGAGCCTTTGATGGTTCCTCGCATGCCCGACTTTTACAAGATCTGTAGCATCCGTAAGCGCGGCAGCTTTATGCAAGAAGGGTTCGATGCAGTTGGCCTTTCAGCCTCCCACGTAGGATCTAATGGCTGTGGACTCCTTGAGGCGATGCCGCTGCGTCGTACCCCTAGATGCGTGTGCAGGAGGCCTTCCCCCCACCGCCAGGAGCTGCCGCCAAATTCAAGTAGTGGATTCTGCTCTCGAGCTGCTCTACATGCGCGGTGCGCCTCCCCCTATGCCACGCACGGCAGCCCTTGCGTCCCTTTTCTTACGGCGTGCTGAGGCTGCTTGTGACCTGAAGGCCCTATCTACCTACATACAAGCATTCAAATACTGCTCGCCCTCATGTCTGTTCATGTCGCCATATCTACAGTCTTCAGCTGCGACTTCAACCCCGATCAACTGCCGGCACCGCCGGGGATTCGACTGCTGCTGCCCACGCAGCGATACAGGGCTGCAGCACTTGATGATGGGCGGCTTGAAGCCGAAGAACTTTCTATTCAACAGACCGCTCTCAGCACTGCGACTCGTTTTAGCACACCCGAGAGAGATGCCAATCAGAGAAATGCGGAACCGCACGAGACAGCAGCAGCCAATCGGCCTTTCAACGGAATCGGGAAAGCGGCGGACATGTATGGAAACGCGCGAGGTGGCAGTCCAGGCACCATGAGGAATAGCATCAGCGCTGCATGCGATGCATCAGCGCATGACCCTTTCGAAGAGTCTCCTGCACAGCAGCGGCGGCAGCAGCTGATGTTAGAACGGCGGTTACGTACTCCCAGTTCGCCGGATGACCCCGTACAGACAGGTGAGCCGCAACCACATCCGCCTACAGCAGACGCAGAAGGCGCTAAGGGCATCACCAACGGCTCTGGGTGGGAGCAGCAGGACGATCCTGAGCAGACACTAGACCCAAAACAGCTTACCCAAGCTTACCACCGGATGCGACACCGCAATAATCCCGTCCCCCCCTTCATTCTCAGAAAGAAATCAAGTGCACTCTCCTCATTCTCAGTGACCACGGAGCAGCACCAGCAAAATACGTATGCGCAGCTAGCGCACTCGCAATGCGGCTACCCCATGGTTCCCACATCACCCAATACGCAGGCAGAGGGCCCGTCGGGCACAAACCGCAATCTTTACGTTGCAATGAAAGGCGAGCATACAAGTTAAGACTCGCGTTTATCTTCTAGCTGTGCAACATAATAGCAAAAAGATAAACGGTTTTTAGAGGCCGTTTTTTGGGAGCACCGGTGCATGGTGCTTGGTTTCCTCTGCGGGTGCCCGTTTCTGGCTGCTTCAATTAAGCCAATGACTGCCTCCTAAAGCTGTCGCCGTACAGAGTGATGGATAGGATCAATAAACATTTCGCTGTGTGAAGGGGCCGAATACGCTAGGAAAGTAGACTCGGAGGGTTGCAATAACTCCTCGCCAGTGGAAGCATATCAGCCCCAACCAAGAAATCGCAAGTACATGTAGAAGAGGATGGCTTTCATTGCTCTGCTGCAGCTTGCTCAAAAGCTGTTGCAGGATTCGAAAGGAAGGGGACGATGCACGAAGGCGTTCACTGTCACGCAGTATCCTGAGTAAAAAAAAATGTAGAAATGGACCAGCGTGACCGCACATACAGCATACCGCTTGTGGAGAGGGTCCAAGTATAGACCCATACGGATCCTCGTACCACTGCCCACAACTCCAAGCGGTGATCACCTTGCCGTTTCATGGTGGTTTCTGAGTAAGGCAAGGTCCTTAGGCGTTAGCTTGCGCTTCATCGTACGAAGGCTTGCATCAGCTCCAAGTTCCAGCAACACCTGCAAACCGGAGGCCGAGGCGCACTGCACTACCGAAAAATAAGACCCACTTGCAATTGGAACAAAGTAACCCTGTGGGGACTTTACTGTTAAGAGTCTGGAATATCCGAAAAAGGCTTGTTGGGGAGTCCGGCTGCCCGAATCAAATGAGATTTCATTTTTTGTCGAGATAGAGGATATCGCATGTGGTACGCAGAAGAACCAATACTCCGGGGTTGCTAAAAGATGCAAAGGGGCTGCGCACTGCTCGCTGCGTGACTATGATTACAGAATGGACCCCTTTCAACAACTATTTTGAGCGAGAATACGCTTTCAAGCACAATCGTTTCTCACTCTACAGACGTCTGAATATCCTCTTGCTGCCGCGATGTGAAGTGCTGTCCAGCCTGCTTTGTTATGCCTATTTACGAAGGCTTGGACCTCGGTCGAATTCTTGAGCACGGTATCACCGTTGTTAGATGCGCGCAGCTGAATGCGTTCAAGAAGTAGTCCAATGCGGCACAGGGCAGCCGCACTGGAGCCGCGAATTCCACTGCATTCTGTGCAGTTGCATGTGATAGGTGCTGCATATCGTGGCTCCTCCAGCTTCTTGGAAGCATCCCACAAGCTTGTTGCAGGTGGATCTACATTGCGGAAAGCGTTGTAAACAAGAGCGTGAAGAAGAGTGTCGCCCGAGCGGCAACGCGCATCAAGGTTAGTGCCACTGTCTAGCAGCAGCCTGAGCATACGGCGGCTCCCACTGTAGAACGCTGAGGTGCAGCCATGAGCGTCTCGTGCGTTGACCAGGCAGTTCCGGCAGAGGGGCAGCTGGACTCGAACTGCGCGCTCTGGAAGTAGTCCGCTGGGGGCCTCGGGCAGATACGTGAAGGCGACTGCAGTAGAGCTGCATTTTCGACAACGAGCGTTTATTGTTGATAGACCATCGGGTTGCCCATTTAAGAGCAAACTGGCTAGGCTAAGATCATTATCTGCTGAGGCAAGATGCAGTGGCGTTAGCTCGTGGGGCAGTGGAAACAACCACTGGTGGTCATTGGTGTAGCATTGTGATGCAGATAACAATAGAGTGGTCGCCTGCAGACAGTGTATCAACGAACACTCATTGGAATGATAAGCTCATTTCCAAGATAAGTGTGTTAAAATAAATTTCCTCACCCTTCGTTTTCATTGAGCAAAGACTCGTGCAATAAGCTAGGGGTCGTCGATGCAGCGTCAACCGCAGGATCCACTGCAGGCCTTATGAAACACTAGATCCATCAGCACTACACGGCTGTACACGAGCATTTTTCCATAACCATATATATGAGTGCAAACTGAGGGTCTGGTGGGTGGAAGGTGCCTTTGCAAATATTCATCTGAAAGTCACTTGTAGTGCCTGGGCACTTGCAAAACGGCTTGAGCAATGCAGACCTGTCGGTAGATCGGCGTGCAGGAATATTGATTTGTGCGTGTAAATATCTGGGTGGTTAGGCCTTCTTGTCGCCTACTCTACTTTTGCGCACCTGCATGCTGTGCTTCTTTATGGAATACTCAAGGGGGAAAACCCCGGCCTCGGATGGCTTGTCTAAAGATGCCCCGTGAGCCAACAGCAACCGGACCATATCAAAGTTCTTTTTCCACTTTTGGTGGATTATCGTTTTAGATAACAGCAGTGGGTCATCCACCTCTTGTTGCTGCTCTCTCGCCTCATTTCGAAGTTTCGCCTCGTGCTGTATCGCTTCTGCAAGTGCTACTAAGATTAGCGGCCTTCTTTCCCCCTCTGGTTCTTCTGTCCATATATCAGGTGACATTGATGGTAGACCGAACACAGCATCTGCTGCCTGCAGCAGCCACTGTTTGTCAGTGGAATTATACCTCCATGAGCTCTTTTCTACACATTCATCCCCTGAAGGCGCCCTATCATCAGCCATCCGACTAGTTACCGGAACAGATACAGGAGCAGTCGTAGTTGCCCCTTGCATAACCTCTGGTTTAGCATAAGAACTGGGATTTGCAGCTTCACTGGGAGTGCTGTCTGATTGGGAAGCCGCAAATGACAGTCACACAGTCCGTAGATCTTGAAGGCTCTAGATACGCAGAATCGTAGCAGGTGTGACGTCAAGTAATGGATAGAACGCCTTCAATCAGATTAGGGAAGAAAAGTGTTCCAACAAGCGACAGTCAATGTGCAGACATGCGCTTTCAACAAAGCCACTAGTAGCACTATAAATGATATGCATGCGTAGTTGTGTGTGTGTGTCGAAATCATCTCATAATGGAGGGAGAGTCAGACCCTCATTGTCCTGGACTGTGGCTAGCATCATATCTGAAGGAACCAAACAAGATGAAGCAAACCAAGTTTTGTTTAAATGCACTAGCTCACACCACATAGGTAGCTGCAGACTGTACATGTAAATAATCGTTTGTTAGCAGGAAATGTTCAACTTTTTGAATTGCTGACTTTTTGCTTATTGAACGGTTGGTTGTTGTTCTTATCATTCTCGTGCAGTGCTCTCTAACCTTCAACTTCTTGTTGAGTTAGAGAACGCTCTTGTTGACAATTTGTTGTTTGTGCTTCGCGGGCCGCTCGCGGATGCCGTATTTAGCAAGAGAGTCGATAATGCCAACATGAATGTTCCCAGCTTGAAGTGTACAAGTTCAGTAGCCCACTGCGCTGCAAATAAATATGCATACACAGGCTAGCTATAACGGGTTAACAAAGCAGAATCTGAGGTGTGTGAGGGCTTCACAAGGCTGGAGTGAAAATCTATCGGTGTGCGTGTGTGTGAAAGATCCATCTAGGAACTTTGAGGGCAATTGGTTCGCTGAGGCTCACTTCTCTCTACAGTAAGCCACCCTAAATAGCTCTGAGCAGTCAGTAAGAAATGAATAATGCTGTGGTTATATTGTAAAAACTAGTCGTGGATGAAGCGGGAAGCCCTAAAGCCGGTTTACGGGGTTGTGTGCAGTAGGTTCTGAAGCTCCTCATGGAGTTGCCGTGGGGATTGCTCAAGTGTATATCAGTAACTAATTGGAAAAGACCTCTTAAGTCGTGATAAAAAGAATTTGACCTGTTGACAGGCTGTTTATGCCTGGGAACGGTGTGTTGCATTCGGTCAATGCTTAGTGGAAATTCGTGCAGGAACCAAATTTCCGAGATGCAGATCTTTCAGGTGGTAAATCTGTAGAGTTGAGCGAAGAGTGCAGTCAAGGCGTTATTTCAATAAATACAACGTCCATGGACACTCCTCTATCCAGGTGACCTCTGGTGCGCAAACGAAGGTATTAGGTGTACTCCGACACCACGGAATCATTAAAACCTGGCTACTACCTGAAGTATGAATGGCACAAAAATTAAGAAAATAAAATACATTAAGTGGCTCACTACTATTTCTAAGATGCTGGCTGGATCAACGACCGCGGCGAAACGGCCCTTGCCTGTCAGGCAGAGTTCGCGAAGGCGTACATTCGATCACGAGTTGCTCCAGAGAACTCTAAGGAAGCGTGTTCCTACTTTTTGTGTGACAAAATCTTTGGACTACTGTGAAGCTCACAGGGGTTCTTTGTATTAATAAAGAAAGTCTTTAGACCACGGCGGACCACCAAAGCCTTGTAATAATCTTCGCGTCTAAGGTGCAGAAATCCCCCACCATCCCCGTTGTTACTTATTATTCCGGCCTCAGCAGCACTCTTGTGTAAATGAGGCACGCTGTATCTTGCTTTGTAGTCTTGCTCTGTGCCGTTTGTGCGGTGCAAGCAAACGCTGCAGTTCACACTCCGATCGGCACTTACGAATCAGAAACTGCGAGAGATAACTGCTCAGGAAGTACGGGAGACTATGCCATCCATGCAGATGGGTCAACCCTGCAAGACTCTGCCACTGGCGCGGAACCAAGGCATCTACAGGCTTGGCGCACCAGAGGCAGCGGTCGCAACTTCTCCAGCGGCTATACCACCGGCTACAGCGGTTTGAGCGGATCACCTGTAAGCACCTCAACATATATGTCGAGTACGGTGCCCTACAGCAACACGTATAGCGGCTCCTCTTCATTTTCCGGAAGATCTATTCCTACGTATTCTAGTAGTGGAGATACCTACGCGGCTTATCCTTCAAGCAGCACTAGTGGAACAACGTTCTACAGCAGTGGAAGCGGGGGCACCACCTACACAGGTGGCAGCCTCTCCATGCCGACGTACTCGACCTCCTCGCTGGCTTCGGGAAGTGGCAGCAGCATGCCATATGTCAGTTCTAGCAGCACCACGTACGGGGGCAGCAGCAGCAGCAGCGGCAGTCACCTCTCCTCCGGAACAAGCTACACCAGCCCCAACAATGCTTACGGCGGATCAAACGGAACGGCGTTCGGCAGCAGTATGGGCAGCTCTGGAATGACAGGGGACAGAGCATTCATGAGCAGCTCCGCCTCGTCAGGTCGAGTTGTCTACACTAGTGGAGGCCCTACCGGTGTGGGGAGGCCTATGAGTACCACTGCAGCAACAAGTAGTGGTGGTATCGGGGCAACAGCAAGCAGCAGCAGCGGCATCGGGGTGTCTCCGTACGGCGGCACCTTCAGCAGAACTCCCTCTCAGACCACGGTGCGCACCAGCGGTTCAACGACACAGTCAACCCCCTCTAGCCCCTCTTTTAGCGGCAGCGGGAGCAGCGGGATGCCGAGCACCACTGGAACCGCTGAAAGGACAGCAGGGCAGACTTCGGGGGGGAGTAGCAGCTCTCGAGCCCAGAACAGCAGCAGCACAACCAGTCCATCAGAAGGGCCCTTCCGTGATTCAAATACAGGTAGAGGAAGCAGCAGCTTCCGCTCATCCGGGGGTGGAGCTGCGACGTCCCCACTGGAACAGGGAGGATCAGACAACACAACGTATTATCTTAGAGAGGCTGATGGATCTCTTACGCCAATCGAGCCTCCCCCTTACGACCAGATGAAGCCTGACTCCTACTACACTGATCTCTATCTCACCGACCAGCCGATCAGGTTTGAGAACCATGTAAGGCACCCATGTACAATTGCTTCAGCAGTTGGTACAGTTCGTGCAGTGGCGTGGTTAAGTGGTTTGGTTGGGGTACTGCGGGCAATGCGTCGTATAACGGAGCGGTGTTTGCCGTTTTAAAATAGTTTACTGGTACTTCTGGCGCATGCTTCATGTTTTGCTACTCGGCTTGTGTGCGCTGCTTTCGTTCCTCAGCACACTAAAACGCAACAATTCAAATTCGAGCTTGAAAAGGCACACGAAACCAACATTCAAAAGGAGCAGGAACAGCCAACGCAAGGGGTAATCAAACTCCCAATTGCAGAGGAGAAAAAGGGAGTGATGTGAGACGTCTGCCCCTTTAGGAATAACAGGGGTACTAGGGCTGGGGATATGCCTGCCAACAAGCGATGTGGGGATGTTTCATACTCAGGGGATTTTCGATGTAAAAAATATTCTGCAGTTCTCTTCTTAGTGTTATGTGCGCTGAATTTCACGCTGGCCAACTCTATAGCCAAAAGGCTATCTGGGGATGCCCCTTTTAATAATCTTGGGCTCAAATAGCATAGCAACCCATGCCAAATACGAAATATCGCTGCTCACCTAGTGGCCTCCAGACTTACTTAATTTATTTCTAGTACATGCGTTCACTGCCTACGTAATTGCGAGGCTTCCAAATACAAGTATATGCGAAGAACCCACTGGCCGTACGAAGTACTAAAAAGATCAATTAAAAGTAAAACCATGGAAAGTTAGCTTCCGTAATGTAATGACTCAGTTTTGAGCAAAGCCCGGAGTACCGGAACAAACAATGCTCTAATTAATAGATGACCATGTGTTTTAAGTGGGCCATCATGTCAACTCCCGGTAACAAATAAGCTTTTTGCTGCTCATAGAACAATCTTGACTTGTTCAATGCGCAGGTGACCTCATTCGCAACTTTAAAAGTGCATTGGTCTGAATTCTCGGATACAGGAGCACAGACTGGACGTAAAAAATGGCGCATGCTATAGCTTCCAGTAGCCGGACTTTGTACATTGCTGGAACCAAGCTGCCTTTAGGCGTCAAGGTGGAAGCTCCGGGAAGGCTTACAGCATATATGGATTGTACTGATGGAGGGTAGTTTCGGTAAGGTGTTTAATGTACGTTGTAGATAGATCTGAAAAGGTCTGCTTTTCGGTTTGCTTTCAAGATCTTACTGGTGTAGGGACTGTGAACCCCATTTGGGATCATCATAGTCTTCTATATCAGAATGTATTCATCTTCCGTAGTCTGTGATATAGGTACTATACTTTTTAATAGAAGTTCTTAAACAAAGCAGAGGCATGATAAAGGTCTCTGGGCTTCTACGACCAGACCACCTCCTCGTGCACAGCGGCTTACTAGCCTCAGCTGTACACGGTGATGCTTCTCTTGTAGAGATGCTGGCATTCTTTTTCGAATGTCTCCTCGCAGTCAGGGAAGTGCAGTAATCAAGCGCGCAAACGAACACCCCCGCCATAGCCGCCCAGGTGCCCCATGATTGTATCGGCTCCTTGGATCGTGTTTCTCCTTGCTTAGCCTATCGAGTCCTGCTTATACTACTAAATCAGAAAGACAGAGTACGAAGGAATGCCCTAGTTCTGAAGAATGCCAATCGCACCACCTTTCACAACTTCGCGATGCTTAGGGGGACACCACTAGAGTTAGATTGAGGCACGTCTGACAAACAAGCGAATTAGAGGTAAGACAGAAAGAAGCGAGCTTATTGTGTTTGTCCTCTAAAACAGAATACCTTTGAACTTCCAATGTGTTTACTGACGCGGATAGAAGTGTTTCGCGTAAAGGCATCATGGAATCTGCATGTGCTATCTGCCCCCCTAAGGCAACACCCCAAAGCAAAGAAAGGCGTCTGCCCTATGCATATATCCTATATGCAGCGCCTTAATAATGTTTTTGGTGGTTATTTAGCCGGCATTTATGTTCTCTGCGCTCACATACTTCTGTTCAGCCTCACACCCGTCGGTGCCTAGGACATCCACTTCCTCAACAGTTGATTTCCGCCTACCACTTCATTTTTGAACTGCAGGCTTAGAGGCGCTGGCTTTGGGGACGCTTATATAAGAGCCTCGCGGTGGGTTGCCCGGTATCGTGACATCGTCTGCTACCAACAGCCCGTATTCTTCGCGCAATAAAGTTAGGAAACCTTCCTCGGCGGAGAGAATGGCAAGCCGCGGTTGGTCAAATTTCGTCACATATCTTCGCACCTACGGCTGCACCACGCATTTCTGGGGCCCGGTTGCAAACTGGGGTTTCGTAGTTGCTGGCCTATCTGACATGCGTAAGAGCCCTGAAGTCATCAGCGAGAGGATGACGGGGGTGTTATGCGTTTACAGTTTGCTTTTCATGCGCTTCGCCTACATGGTTCAACCCCGAAACGCTCTCCTATTTGCCTGCCACGCGTGCAACGAGGCCGTCCAGTTGACGCAGCTTGGCAGGAAGCTTCGATACAACGCCACAAAGGGCTCGGCAACAACCCCAGCCGGGCGGCCCTGAAGGTTCTGCAACCGACAAAATCTGACTGCAGCTTAGCCTCCTCACCGACTATGTGTGCTATTCTAAAGCGTAAGTGTGAGATGCGGCAGTGCTGCAATCATCAGCAGCAACCCCAGAACGCCACCCGGGTCCATCCCCGCGCCTTCTACCCCACGTTCCGGCACAAAGTGCAAACACTGCCGTAGCCAGTACGGCAGAAACAATGCCCATACATACAGCGCCAGCACTGCCAGCCACGGCAGTGGAGCGATTGACGCCTGCTTTTTGCTTTTTCCCTTTTTCTTGCGAGATGAGTACCGGGAGGTTTCCTATACGTCCCTCTTTCTTTCTGCGTCAAGAGAAAGGGGGAGTAGGCATTGGACTGGGGTCGGAGCCCAGCATGCATATGTGTAGAGCGGTAATAGACGTATTCAATTTCTCATTTGCTCAGCAGGAACCGTCGCATGCCAGTACGCGGGGTCTGTTCCTGCTGCCTGGCGCCCTAATCGGAACTTGCGTTTCTGCACGGCACCGCGCAGTGTGTTTCCTCATGAAACACACGTCTAGTAATGGGGTCGCACCCGCCTCCGAACATCCGGCGCTGTCAAAAATTGACTGCGTACATCATGAGGCTAGTTTTTTCTGAGTAATATGCCCCACGAGCCATCGCCTAGTGGCTTTGTTTCTAGCACATCCACAAATGCTGAAGCGGCGAGAACAATCTTAGGCGCCTTACTACTGGCATTCGATAAACGCGTTACTAAAGCAGAGATCGCAAGTAAGCGTGGCATAGATGAAGGGAGGCCCTCTATACAGGCGCTATAAAATGATCGAGCACTGCATAACGCTGCCCTGGGCGGCAGCCCTTCATGAGCCAGGAGCCTATCCATAGCAGCAACGCGTGGCGAAACAGTTCAGGGGTGCAGAGGCTTTCCAAGCATTTGACTCGCTGCCGTGCGCGCTGCCTCATGTGCCCCCCAGACTTCGAAGCTTCTTCGCCGACTTGCTGGCACGCAGCCGCCGTACAGCTCCCCTCAGATGGGCAGTGTCCGACGCACACCGTTGCACCATCGTTGTCTTTGCAGATTCTTTCATCGCCGCACGCCGCTCCAACCCCAGAATCACACACACCTGCTTGGAAAGTGTGGGATTCTACATTGGGGGTGTCGGTGCCAGCGGGGCCTATAGAGGCGCCCATCACCTGCGTTGCAGCCTTTAGCAGCGCGTTCAGGGCTGAAACCAGAGAAATGAAGGCGTTGCGCTGCAACAGGAAGAACAGAACCGATCGGTCTTAATTTGCTGACACATGCGCCAATATCGAAGTCGTGTCTCGGCTACCCTCAGGTTTGCCAGCGCCTTAGCCACACTATGCAGCAAGCCTACGTCGACAGCAAGCTGGACGGGGCCTCAAGAGAACGACTATGGGGCATGCCCGTGGCTTGCCGCGCTGCTTACATGTACAGAAGGCAGCGACAGAAGAATGGCACGGCACAAAAGGTGCAGGTTGTCGGTTTGTACGTCTTGCACTGCGAACTCGCTGGGAAAAAAGCAGCACGTAGCGCCCCATTGCTCCAGAAGCTGCGAACACAGCAGAGAAACAGTGCTTCATAAACGGCTCGCGCTGGCAGCTGCACGTCTGTGAAGCGGAGCCCTTAAAAACCCCCTCTATCCACGCAGCGCTCTTCATCGAGAGACAGCCTCAACCCCTCCCTGGCCACGAGGCGTCCCCAAAGGGAACATCTGCGAACCATGACACAGGCATCCCCTGCTTGCAGCGACAAGGCCAGGGAGACAGGCAACAGCCTCGAAGAAACGGATTTCTCAGCAGAGACTCACCGCCAGCGCGGCACACAGACCGACGCCCTCAGGGATCGCAACGCCTCGTTCTAAACAGGCCCTTAAGAAGGCGACATCACGCTCCAGGAGGCCATCTTGGTCGCACTCCGCATTGGGGGGCATCATTCTCACGTGACGCTCTGGCATCTCGTGCCGACATCTGTGACTGCCACTGCCGTGAACGGCGCGGCAGTCGCAGTTCTCGCCAACAGTCTCTGCAGTGCAGGAGAAGTCGTGCGGATCCCGCTGCGGCTGCATGTACGTGTCTGCGCCAGACAGAAATGACGGCCAAGAAAGGGAGTTGCCTCCAAAGGCCCTCAAGAATTCGGCGATGTCTGCCCCAAGGCAGCCAGATTCTCGGAAGTGCAGCCGCCTACACATACAAGTGCTGCAGCTGCAGAAGTCGCTGCTCTCGCTGGAAGAATTTTCGCTGCTGCTAGGCCTGTTGCTGCAAGCACTATCCTCGTCCGTGCACCTGTTTTGGAAGCTGCTTTTAGCGCGCTGTAGAGATTCCTGAGAAGACGCTTCCCTTCCCTTTCTTGTCATGCTGTCTTGGGGGTGATGCTTGCGCTTGAGCTCGCCCTTCCAGCCACCACAGTTCCGAGGACGTCGCCTCTCAGCGGATGAGGCTGCTGCTTGTGTTTTGCTGTATAGATGCATCAGCAACCACCACAGCTCCTTGGGTAGCGGAAGCTGGGGTTTAGATTCGCTGGAGTCCTCTGCCTTGCCTCGGCTGCACGCTGAAGACTTTAGCTCCCTCCCTTCTTCCTCTTGCGTCACCTCCAAAGCTGGTGCACACTTTAGCGCCGCGGCAGCGCCCTCCTCTGTGGACGACTCGCCGCTGCCTTTGGAGAGGTCACTGGCTTCCGGAAGAAGGGCCTTCTGCCCAAGCATTGCCAGAGGGTGCAGCTCAGCTCCCAGCAGGGAAGGCATGAGAGAAGCCGCCAGGCAACAGAAGAAATCCTGCCGAGAATCAACCAATCTAATCACCAGAACACCACATGCAAGCTCGTGAGCAGTGTAAATGCCCTCCTGAATGTTTAGCGTGATGGAAACCACCCGCGTCTCGCCGCCTCTTAAAAATCCTTGCAGCGAGTCCATCAATAGCCACCTGCCACGAAGCACGCACAAGAAAGCAAAATGCGCTCCTACAGCCCCTCGAAAGGTGCCATTCGCTCGCGGAGTCATCGTAGGAAACGCACAGTAGCTCTACCGACACATACACGCGTGACAGCATGTCCAACGCCCTCCCCCGCAAGCAGCTCGGACCGACTCCTGTGTCTGAACGCAAGCCGTGGAGAGGGAAAGCGGCTCTCGCGATTACCTCTCCAGGCGGACTCGCCTCCGCAGCACCGCCCCCAAGTCTTTTTCGCTTGTGACTGCATACGGTCCGCTTTCCAAACGTGGCGTAGCCTGCATTGAGTCGATGTCATGGCGTCTTGCACTGCTGCGGGCCTCATCCTGTAAGCGCTGCTGCTCGTGGAGCAACATGTCGTGCTGCTGCTCTCGTTGCTGCTCTTGCATGTCGCCTCTGGATTGCACCATCTGCCGAGCAGAGCCTAGGGGCTGCTCGTCAGCGCCTCTGCCTTCCCAGCGACGCCAGACAGCTCCATGCCAGTACGATACATGCGACAGGGGCACGATGGACCTGCCTGCAAGGCAAACACACCCCCAGAAGACAGCCACACACTGGTCGGTAGCTGCGGAAAAAAACCCTCACGAGGCGCAGAGAGAGACGGCGGCAAGCTCAGCTGCAGGGGAGCAACAGGCACCGCTCTCGCGAAAAGCCTCGATCTTCAGCCTCTTTCTTACGTCCACACGCGAAGCGCTCGACGTAGATACATATTTTGCTCCCCACCCCTGCCGCGCGTACACCCCTCTGAAACCCCTCGCACTCTCCGTGCAAGGAGGCTGCCGAGTCGCAGCCCTACCTGAGTCTGAGAGGCAGTACACCGCGTAAGCAGTCGGCAACGAGGCGTGGGGATTCGAGAGACAAATCTTGAGCTGCATCGGCTCGAACGCACGCACAGGTGGGAGTTGCAGCAAAGGGGGGTCTACTAGCAGCTTGCTGAGGGAGCGGCCCTCCTGCTGCAGCAAAAACACACACGAAACACACACGCCGCAAGGGCTAAGCGAGGCACGAATTCCGTGGCGTTGTTGTGAGAGGCACCGCAGCCAGCCACCCTCTTGCCACGAGCGCGAGTTCGAGGGTCCCCTCCGGCTCGACAGCGGAGAGCCGCTGCGCTGGCGAGCTCCGCAGCTGGTGGCCTCCTTTTTTCGCCGTTAAGGGCATGTGCAGATATATATATATATATATACATATATGTATTATATCGGAAAACAAGCTAGCTACCCGCAGGATCTGCCGCAGCTCGTGACACTGCTTCTTAACGCGCTCCATATCGACAGCCTCGACGAGCAAGCGGAAAGACATCCATCTGAGCCAGAAGCGAGTAATGACGCCTTCGCGCTGGTAATAAGGAGCATCGGTGAACGCGCTCCCCCTATTCCAGGCTGGTCTACAAAAAGACAAGACACACGCCATTTTAGACACACGCCATGCCAGCACAGCGCCGGCACAGTCGCCTGCCCTGCCCTGCACTGTCCTGCCCGCTGGCTAGCTAGCTAGCTAGCTAGCTAGCCAGAGCCCGTAAGGACCCCCAGAAGGCACTACACATGCGTCTTGCCGGCACCGCGTAGCAGCACGGCAAGCTAGCTAGCTACGGCTGCAGCGGCATACACGGCACAGCATCAGCGGATGCCTCCACCGACTCGTGCAAGACTCCCCTTACCGCCTCCACTCCGCAGCGTGGCCCCCCTCAACGATGCTCAGAAGGGGATTTCCTGCCCTTGCCGGAGTGCGATAGAAGAAAAAATGCCTGTCTTCGCACGTGCGGACGCCCAAGTCTTCCAGCTCTACGAGGCGACGCCGCCGTCCTGCCGCTGCGGAATTTGGACGAACTTCACTTGCAGCGAGAGCTCCTGCTGCGGCAACGTCTCGCGCACTCTGCCGTACCGCCCCAGCGTAGACATCTCGATGGCATGCACCTAGAACAAGCAGCGGTTTCAGCTCCAAAGCGGAAGTCCAGCCACACTCCGTTTCAAAGCGGAGGCTGCACACGCAGAAGGCAGCGCTGACGCATTCCACGAAACATGAGAGACGTGCAGGGTCTGAGGCTCGCCAGACGACACCACACACAGAGACGCAAACATACATACATACATACATACATATACATCCATATACGTATACATGCATATACATATACATATGCATGTACATATGCATGTACATATGCATGTACATATACACAGAGAGAAACAGACACGCCTCACGAAACCTTTCCCTACTAAATCTACATGATTGTTTGGAAGAACGGCAAAGAAATCGGCAAAATCATGCAGAGGTACAGAAGGCGAGGCGGCGCAGCTGTGCGCCAGCCCTTACTCGGACAAGATTGTTAGCAGCTGCTGCCGCTGCACAGCCAGGGTCACCTGCCGCCTCCAGGCTGATGCTGCGTTTCTCCGCTGCTCTGCAAGAACCCCCTTCTCCGAGGAATGCAGCTCGCTGCTGCCTTCTGCGCCTGCCGCTAAGGCACCCGAACTCTCCTCCTGTTGCAGCGTTTGTCGTCCGCAGGTGACACAGACACGCGACTTTCCGCAAACCTCTAAGGGGCTCTCTGACAGCTTCAGGTCGATGCAGGCAACGATCACAGGTGTTGCCCCTATGAGGAGCCGCGCTGCCACCCCCCCATACGCAAACACCTCCCTGTACACCTCGCAGCCGCATCCATAGTCACCAGCGTCGCCGCTGTCGCTGCTGCACACTCTACTGGGCTGGAGTGAGCAGGTGTTGTTGCAACATATGCGGTCCTCCAACCGCTGGCGGTCAAGCCGCTGTTGCCGCCGTGCCTCCCGTTTGGAATGGCTGCTTAGACCCATCAAAGGGGATGTTGGACGTCTTCCCGATGGCGTATTATTCCTTAGGCGCGATGTCTCATCCGCTGACAGCATCACAGCTGGCGCCGAAGCCGTGCTGCCCGCCTCCCCCGCATTGGCGAGCCCGAAGAAATTGCTGAAGTTGAAGAACAAGTCCATCCGCTGCTGCTGTTGCTGCAGCTCCTCCTGCCTCCTCCGCTGCTCCCCCTGCTCACGAAGCCGCTCGAGAGCAGCAGAGCTGACTCCCCACTGCTGCGTGTAATTCTGCTGCAGCTCTCGGCAGCAGTAAGCGCCAAGACGCGATTTTGCAATACTCAGCAAGGTGACCTTGTGCAGATGGCTGGGGTGTACGTACACCAGGAGAAGCTGATTGTTGTGCGGGCAGGCATCAAGCGGGACGATTTGCTCGTATTTGGTGAGACATGCACTTCGCTGCGCGGTAGCAGCATTCGTGCCACTTGCTGCAGAGAATGCCTTGGGACCAAGCAGATGCATCTGGAAAGCAGCCGCCGCTTGCCCCTCCGCAGCGGCAAAGGCAGCAGCAACACATGCAGCCCATGCGTGTCTGTGCCGCGTGTCCACCTGGTGGAGGCTGCAACTCAGGAACGCACCCGCAAAAACACAATCCCCATCCAAAATTCGCGCAATCTTCGAGAGTCTGTCTGCCTCTCTGCCCGCAAAAATCCCCTACCGCTTTGGTAAGGGCTCTGTCGGCGTGCCGCCGAGACAACAACAACAAGCCCCCTTATTGCCACTCTCTCTTGCCTCCAAGTTCGTGCAGGCTGCCGTCTGCCTCACGGGCTGCAAAGGAGCTGCTAGCCTTCTGCCAGGGAATTGCCAGGAGCTTACGCAACAACAACTAGGTCCTGCTCTGCACCTACGGCTGCCTGGAGAAGCGCATGAACTCGCAAAAACTCCACGCCATGCCTCCGAGAGTGCTGAGACTTAGGCGAGGCCTCTTCCGCCTGTATAGGCCCTATAGAAGGTGGCAAGGAGGGCGGAGGCAGCGCGTGGGTATAAATATCCACAGCGCAGACGTCTAGGCCTTCCACTAGCAGCTCGCTCGATGCAAGCTGCCGTGCCGCACTCACGAGGATGCGCTGCCTACCGGGGAGTAGCGCCCCCCCCGGGATATCGCCGTCTGCAACAGCGGTGTCTGAGAAACACAGCAAACGGCAAGCAGCATGCGCAAAAACACGTGCAAGTCCGAGTTCTAGCTGCAGTGTGCACTCTCTCTAGGGGGAAAGAAGCGAGGAAAAGCCTGCAAGATCCCCCCAAGAAAACCTCAGCTCCTCCGGCAGCAGCCCGCTGCCTGTGGAGGCGGCGCCTCGCGCATGCAATCCAGCAAGAGCTAATAAGTCTGCACGTCAGCCCCGTACTGCTAGGCACACACCGCGGTGCAGGGGATAATCATGCGGAGGGATGGACTATTAGGTGCCTCATGAAAGACACACAAGGACGCACAAGGAGGAGGCTGAGCAGCGCAAGGCACATGCATAGGGCTCTCTGCGTTCCGCAGACGGAGAAGGCCTGAGGGGCTTGCCTCGCCGCCTTCTTCCACGGGTTGCTGCTGAGGCTTCGGAATAGAAGACGCCGAGGAGGGGGGAGCCTCTGGATAGAACTCGGCATCCCCCATGTTGGCAAGCAAATGTATCACGCCAGCGCCAACACAAGCAGGGCAACAGCAGCAGCTGACAAGCTGGTAAGCCGTGCAAAAACTACAAGTGCGGGCTGCCCCGTAACATGACTGTACAGTGGAGCGAAACGATGACCGATTTCTGGCTTCCAAAGGGATCTGTAATGGGCTCAAAACACTCGCTTCTGTAGCCTGAAAGAGGCTGGCCGGGTGCCTTAGGGATGTCTGCGTACGAATTTTGCTGCATTGGCACGATTAATTCCGTTTGCGCGCGGGCAGATGTTCTGCGAGCGGCGCGCTTGCAGCGCTGTGTCGACGTAGACCCTAGCCAGAATTTCTTCACGAGTTGAACGGCAAATGGAATAACCGGACGGGAAATTCAACGCTGGTTGCCCCCGACGCTGCGGATGCACGACCCTACCGATAGACCCTAAAGCGCCAAGACCCCCTTGGCAGACAAAAATAGGTCATTTGCAAAGATGATTCCCTGAAGAAGGGTCTTCAAGCAACTCATAGCGCCGGTCCGCCCTCCTTGCCATGGGCAGCTGCAGCCCAACGCGGTGTGTATGTGCTGCTTCAAGCAGGGCTGCTACGAGTAGGCTAACCGGGACTTTGTTTTATGAATTATTTCTGATTAAATGCCGCTCAACGCTGAAATAGGGTACAGCGGAGTTGATTCAGTGTACAAATTTGACACCTACCCAACCCAGTCTCCCACTCGGAGCGTAAGCGCATGTGTGGTAGGACCCATATATAGAACTCTGCCAGCTATACACACACATCCCGACGGTTGTCGTATTTATCTCGGCTGACAGTCTGTGTAGTTCATGAGAGGCTGTGCACAGTGCCTCTGAGTGCACATCGCGAAGTACTACGGAAAGCGGACCAAGGACTGCAAGATAGTATGTGGCGGCGCGTTGCACTAGGGTCCAACTGTTTGGTCCCTTGGCTGCATACATTTAATTGTATTGCGCCTATAAAGGGGTGTAGGCTGAAGGTGTTGAGCCTTCGTAGTCCTATGATCTTCCAATCCCACATGCCTTCTGTTGCCCCTCATCGCCTTGTGCTAGCTGCTCCACACCTAGTTGCACGAAGCAGCACAGCTGGCCATGGGAAATGTATACATCTAGACAGTCTTTGCCTTGCTGAGGCATCCCGTGTGTATATGTGTGTGGGCTACACACAGCACTTTATCGCGCTTTGACATGAGACCGAATGCAGGCTCCAAAGGCTGGTGTCCTTAGACTTCATACCATCGTGCAACTCATTCAAACAAGGAGCTATGCACCCATGCGTGAAACACTTCCTGGCATACCACTCTTCCCTGCACGCCTGTAGCCCTCTCTACGCGCAATGCACGAATACGCTCTGTTGTACTGCAACTTAGAACACCTTCCATAGCCGTTCGTTTACGTCGCTCTGAGCAGACTCAATTATAAGCCGAAATCAGCCAGATCTATTTGTCAAGCGTGGCATGTGAATAGGAAACACAAAACACTTCAAGTGGAGAAAATTCCTGATTTCTTAAGTGATGGAAGGCGAAAGGCTACACTCCGGCACTTTACTTCTATGGCACGGATCTTTGTCCCCATTCAGTCATGTATTGGCTGTCCGGCTTGGCTGCTCTTTTACTTATGACAAAGCAGGAATAGTGCTATTTTTGAACCTCTTACACGCTGTGTGTTTCACACTTGATCTGTCTCCAAAAGAAGACCTTCAACTTCAGCTTCAAGCTAAAGAGAAAAATTCTGAGTGCTTTTCAGAAAATTTTCTACCTTCTCCTGCCCGTGTTCCTTATTGTTCCCTACGTGAAGGGAGAGGGAGAACTAGAGTGCGAGTTCGTGCACCCTCGAAGCACATGGGCACTCACAACTAGTTGCAAGTTGCACCTAGCGCACATGCACATAACGTTGCGCTCTCTATAATCGAGTTAACAGAAAGCTGCAGTAAATAAGCTATACTGCCAAATAAACCACTTAAGCACCTTTAACCAACTCTTGGATATAGCTAGTGTATGAGAAAGTGTGTAAGTGTAGCACAAACCGCTACAGCGTGTGCTTTTGCTCATAGTTACTGCACGCAGATGCCTGGAATGGCGAGATCGTGCATCTGCTTGCAATCGGGGGGCGAGCCCCTGTAAATCTAATGAATGATGGTGCTTTTATGAAATAACACAATTCCTTTCGATGCTAGATTTTGGCACTATCGGGATCCTTAGAAACACCCTTAAAGCATTACTGGAGTACCTCCTAATGCAAACAGTGTACAAGGAGTCCAGCAAGCGGTCGCAATGAGGGTGATGATGGCTTGTCGTTTGATGCCTCGAAAAGCCTTTTAAGATCGTTCCGTCTCAAAGACACGGCAATGTCCTCGAGTGCTTCCTGGCCTACTAAGTATAATTTTGGCGTTTACAGCTCCTCAGTGCTGCGATGCGCAAAGGTAGGGGTTCAGTGCTCACAAACTGCGGGAAACAGCTTCTAACGTACCTAAATAAAGGTCAACTTCTAAGAGGATAAGCCTATCACAGCAATGCACGGCTTCCACAACGGACCCCCTGTGTCGTAATACAAGATGATCTCTGGAAAAGGGCGACGCCAGTGGCTGATACTATTGCATGCCAAAGGTATCCCTTAGCGGCCGTGGCTGTTGGGAAGCACGCGCATTTGCCTCAGCTAGTTGTGCAACGATAATCATATGATGGCACGAGAGATGCGACTATGAAAGAACTGCGGGCGTTGCTTAGTGCGTGGGCGTATAGATTCGAAGTTAGTGAGTGAAGCATGCGATGCAAACCCGCCACTCCTTGTCGGTAGAACACAGGAATTACCGATAAGGAGCCCCTTTTGGTTCCGGCAAACATTAGTAGCAAACGACGCTATGCTCATGTGCCGGCTGGTTAATATAGCTTGCTAAGCGTCTGCCGTGAGAAAAAATAGCAGGCTTTATCGGGAGGCAGTCTAGACAATGTGCTGTAGCTGATGCAAGGCAGCGGAGCCCTCAGGTTCTGTGCTGCAGCCGCGAGAACATCCTGACCCCTTGGCAATATCGCAAAAGAGCACCAGTGGTAGCGGTAGCTGCTGCGGCTTTGCTTCGCTTCACGCGCTTTTGCTACGGCGCAGAATAACGCCCACAACCATCTACCAAGCAGAGAGTGTCACCGACTTATCCCAGCTTCACCGTAAGATCGTCCAGGAAAACCGTCTCGGGAATCTCAAGATTGGTAGGCGCCGGACCCTGGCGAACGCGGCCTGAAGTTCCGCAAGGCAACAGCAAGGCTCTTGGATTGTCTTACGCCCTCTCAGCTGACAGTATGTTTGCACAGGGAGCATGATATGCGGCAATGTGTCTATCGGCAAGGCAAGTGCCAACAGGAAAGCATCCAACAACGCTAAACAGAAAGCTCGAAAGTCCACCGGACCAGCAAGAAGCTGCAGAACTACCATGAGCTCCTTCGAAACACATCACTCGCCAAGACAGCCAAAGTGAAGAGGTGGCGCACTGACCTGAAATGTCGTAATGCGAGCCATGGCACGGGCAGAACCAGCCCTGATAACTGCCGCCTTCAATCGGGATGCAGCCGAGGTGGGTGCAAACTCCGATGTTAATCAGCCATTCTGGACGGGGGCAGCGCTCAGCGTCCGTCTGGGGGTCCTTCATTGTGCCAACCACCAAGTCATCCGCACTGCAAGCCACACCACCACGCATCCGCAACCAGCTCCTTGAATACGATTTCGCATGTCTACTACATACGGATGCCACTCCACCATGAAAATCCCTCGAAACGTTACAGAAATGTCAATTATAGACTCAGGTGCTTGCATGCGCCAATGCAAGCACTGCTCAGTCGGCGTGCTCTCCGCGAATGCAATGCAGACACCCCATGCGACCAACGTACGCTGGAACACACAGAAAACAAGACTGACACAGCATGATGAGGCTCCCTTACGTACCGAGCCCGCTCGATCTCCTCAGCAGTCCTGTGCCTCACGAAGACGGGCTTGCCTCTCCACTTGAAGACTGCTGTCGTTCCCACTTCAATCGGTCTGAGGTCGATTTCGGTGGTACCCGCAGCCATCAGGTCCTACATGAAAGCATAAGTAAATGCTATAGGAAACAACAGCTTTATCATCAGGAAATGCAACGCACAGCACTCCGCACACCGAAATTCGCAGAGTCACAGCAAGCAACCCGCCGCAAACAGCCCCTCCTCCGAGTTGCCTGTACACCCCAAATGAGCAAGCAGGGCCCTGCTCACAGCACATGGCGCTTCTCCAGCTTACCTTGCTAACCCACCAGAAGTGAACCATCTTGCACAGCAGGCTTCTCATCATGCTGGCTCCGATAAAGAAGTATGATGCGCTCAAGAAGTACATGAAGGGCCTTCTATCTGGGGAGCCGCTGCCCAGGCGGTAGTCTCGGAAGTCTGGGTGCGCATCGCTGTTTATGCTGGTAGGGACAGGGGCGTTCTCGGCATAGCCTGCGGCACGGAAGTTATCGGGTGCAAAACGCCCAACAGAGACCACAGCCGGCTCATCAGGCGTAGCCCATACAGACGTACGGACCACATTTGCGCCAGCCGCCAGCTCTGCATACATACAGACACAGACACACACATAGACACACACATTGACACACATAGACATACGCACACACACACACACACACAGCAGGCAGGTCTCAGAGCACGTGAGCGTGAGTGCGCCATAAAGGTATTCCCATGAAGGACGCCGAAAGTGTGTTTACACGGGAAGCACGCATGAAGCTCCTAGGCTACGGTAAGAGCTTCAAAAAGTGAGAAACATGACGGGCGGGAAAGGGATGGGCCGCAGTGGCTGGCTTGTCGCACAGGTGTGAGACCGGCTTACCTCCTTTGCTCAGATCTGGCGTCTTAGGAAAGGTCGGCTCGGCTGTCTGGTGGTAGTGCCAGTAGCGCATGCGCTTCAGAAGGCCCTTGCGTTGGTGGGGGTGGTTAGATGGCTGGACTACATCGGCTGCATCAATGGCGTCCTTGCATTGCTCCTTCAGCATGCCCTTCGCCTCCAGCTGCTGCGCCTCGAGCTGGAAGAGGGCTGGATCATTTGCTTGGTCAAAACGATTCAAATAGAGCGGCTTTTCGCTAGCCGGGGGGTCCGACTTGTGAGGACCAATGTTATGGTTGAAGGTGCCGAAAGGACGCACGCAAACCCCCGTGTGGCCAGAAACCTGGGCACCTGAAGACAGCAGGGCCCGTGATTCTCCGAGCCTAAATGGGAGAAACCATCCAATAGGGCTTATGACCCTGCCTTGGGTCGTCTGCCGCAAAAACAGCGGCTGCAGCGGAACGCGAGGCAGCATGGCAACAAACAGCTAGGCCGAGCCGCCGTGGAGAACCAACCGTACAGAGAAAGAAATCAGAGCTGCATATATAACACCTTACAGGCAGCAGACTCTCCGGCACTCCGCAGTGCAGGACATAAAGCAGAGCAAGGGGAGCGGCTGCTGCATAGTAGCCCCTGCCAAAATAGCATGCAGCATCACGTACGGGGCTTCTACGCGGTACTTTGCTGAAACAGTGAAACCCCCAACGTGCTATACATAAAGATTCGAACTAAAAATATTGTTCTACAACAGCTATAAAGTTCCACTTCTTGGTACCGGGAAAATGCCACACTTTCCGTGATAGTGGCCTTGCGCGCACACGGCACTGGACTGCTTTGAGCCAAGCAGGTACTGAGACGCGATGCACCTCCGTTAGGTACAACGAGCAGGGTTTCAGGGAGTTGCCCGTTGTGAGCACCCATCTCAACATGCATGACGCACTTCCGGGGTGCGGGTGTTCTGCGCAACATACAGCACACCATTTATTCTGGAATGCAACTGTTGCTGGAGGTGACGCAGTGCTAAATCTGGACATTCTCTCCACTATTTGTCATGTTTCGCGAAATTTGGAAAAGATTTAGCTTCTCGGTTGGGCTATCTTAATGATAGATACATTTCGCACTGCAGTATTGCTCAAATTGAGAAGATTGAATGCTGGATGCGTGTACGCTACAGGTTGCAGTGCGCACTTAGGTACGAATATTCGCAGTGCTTGTAGGATGCATCAACGTGCACTCGAGCTGTGCCTCACCCTTCATGCCGGAACCCTACAGGATGACAGTATAACTGTAATGCTCCATTAAAAGTATTCGTAGGGAGGCACTTTACTCCAGACTCAATGCAGCCTGAAGGTAAAGCTATTGATTGCTCTCCTAGAAAACCCACCCTCCCGTCCCTATGCCCCTTAACGCTTCCTTCATGGGGGGAGAAAGACGTCTAGGGTACGAGTACCTGCACCCTGAAAGCACTTCCAGCTCTCAGAGCTAGTTGCACACAGCACTTAGCGCACACGCACATAACTTTGAGCATTCTTCTATCGAGCTTGCAGTATGGTCCAAGGAATGAGGTAAGCGAAAGGACGAACCAGTTAGCCGTGTAGCAAAAAACACCTTTTTCAGTGCAGCTTTGGCTGCTCCGATTGCGATAGCGAGTTATTTTTTGGTGAGACACCAAGAAACTTCTTAGTATCTTCATTGAATTTTGTACCAGAAGGTTCTCCTTATGGGTCCCTAGGCTGAGTGGAACTGTCAAGCTACTCCCAGAGTGTCCACGCAGAGGCCGTTAACTCTTTGAACGGATTAGATTTTTGAGAAATCAATTGACCACGACACTCTAGGAGTTGCTTTGCCCAGTCCTTGTCCTCAGCGCACCATAATCCAGTCTGATTGAAAATTAGTCAACATGTACGCAACGGGCTGTGCCTTTTGATTACTTTGAGCATCCGGGCACATTTGCACACTCTCACATAGTGCACACAAGTAACGCTCAGCTGACGGTCTCCGTAAGAAACACTCCGTACCAGACTCTGTGCAGAATTCCTGCCCTCCCCCCTCATATTTCCGACACGAGAGAAGAGGGGCAGCTGGGTTGCGCGTTGCTGCACCCGTTGAGCACCCCCAAAATTGACACCCACTGGCACATAGCAACTTAACAGAGAAGGACCGCTTTCACCCATATTATATTACCCTAATTCTACCCTGCGACGTGGAACATGTACAAACAGCCCAACTCGTAGGTCAATCCTTCAAAGGCCTTTAGTGAATGTGATTACCGCATCTCAAGATTCTAGAGTGAAAACATTAAAACCTACAAAAGGCACGTAGCAAATGAATGATCAGATTTAGATGGAATGCATTAGCCTAATATTAACTGTCCAGTAGACCTTGGCCGAATACAGATTGTTATCAGACACCGCATAATCCCTCACACGAGAATTGCTCCTTTTCCACTAGGGCCACCACGTCCCTGTAATGTAAGTAACAATGCTTGAAAGTTTCTCACACTGTAGGCATCCGCTGGGCAGTGAGCACTCGTAGCCAGGGGGACTGTATGCAGCTGGCATTATCTTGACTTCCTTTAGGTTTGCATACATGGATGGCTCTGTACCAAACGAAGGACGCTAGTAACGCGGGAGAAGCTTTCACCATCCGTAGAAAACATTATTTACCTAAGCAATGGTGTAAGAAAAAAGTTTGCAGTATTCACCTCAAGCACCCATTCGTCTATAACTGTGGAGGAAATACTTTTGTCAGTTAATGAGAGGGAGCGTTGATGCCGCAGTAACTCTAGTACACGACTGGGTGTTTTACTCTATGTACCTGGTGAACAGCATGCGCCCTATGTTGCTGAAGCGTTTTAACATAGGTCCAATGTGGGACGAGCTCCCGAGTTGTTTCAACACTGCAGAGCTGCTTGGCACCTTTGATCGTATTTGTGGTCTCTCTCTCCAATAAAACGCGACACATTACCTTCGTGGTCTTCTGTAAGAAACAGTTTTATCAAAGAGGAAGCAACACAAGCGTTCTAAGGAGCCGCGTAAACTCGTTTTCAAAGTAAAGTAGGGCACATATGTGCATATGAGCGTTCCCACTATGGCCTATTTGTGTCAACACTGCACGTACAATATCCTGGAAACGCAATACTGGCTCTGAGATCCTGTGACAAAGCGTCTAACAAGTTCGATCTGTTCTTCAAGGGCGCAGCACTTCAAAACAGTAAGACTGTGCGGATTTTCTCAGCGTGTGTAGATCTACAGATTGACACGTATTTAATGTGTGTTCGATATTAAAAAGTGTACCAAGATATTTCCTGGTCAAGTGTACATGACCAACTTTAAAATACCCCCAAAGTGAACTAGCATTCCCACAACCGGTGCGGTAGGCGCATGAAGTAGAAAATCTGACAAAACCATGAAACAACGAAAAGTCTACCTAACCGCATTCCAGATCCCTTGCACTGACTCTTTTAGCGCAAAGCTCGATCTTTTTTAGTGCCTTAATGCCAACGCACTGGCAACAGCCAGAACCCATGTGAGCCACACAGAACTGCATGCAGACAAAGCATCCCCAGTAAACGGAGTGTCAATGTCATCTTGCCCTAAACTATAAAGGTCAATGCCTGATGCTCTCCTCTCCATGAGGGCCTCATAAAAGGCTTGGCTGCAAGGCACACACATGAGGGAAACGCTACTACATGCCAATTCATTGTGGCATCAAATCCCGTGGTCCATATACACCTAATGAGATTCCTCAACACACAATCTAGAGCTTTTTAGCCATCAGATATGAACTACCTGCAGTGCAAAGCATCAAGTCTACTGATAAGACGGGATACGGACCTGAACGGATGTTGTCCCGTGATCGGCATAGCCGACAGTTTGCAAACAATGTAGCCAACGCTGCATCCCTTTGTATAGGCGCATCCTACACTCGTAGCGGTTTCCAGAAGAAACCGAGCAGTTATCTGGGCCTCCAGATTTTGCCACGGCGTCACCTGCTCGTCATACGCGGGTGGAAAGCTCCTGCATCAGGCCAGCAGTGTAACGTGCTATTAACATGTAGCAGTACTGTTTCCAAGGAGACAAAAGCACCCCCCAAATCAATATAATTCTTGCCCTGTAGGCTAAGGTACCTAGGTAACCCTTAATGCGCCATTACTAAGAGTGAACGGGGTAGGGACTGGGCCCCAAGAAGTAGGGGTGACACTACTTACGGCGAAATATCCAGAAGCTTGTGGGTGGCCTGGATCATGCTTTGGAGACAAGGAGGGTTATCGCCCACAAACACCAAGCCAACAATATCTGCGGGGGCCTGAAGAGTTGCCCAAACCACATTGACAACATCAGCAGAGCAATTGTAACGGTTACAAATACCGAGAATACGGCCCATTGTAGCTTCCGCGCAGTCCCCGAAATCCAGTGGGCATCCATGAAGCTAATTACCTAACCATTAAGGCGAGCACTAAGCATGGTATCCAGACAAAAGTCCGTCAGTTGTTTGGGCATTGGTCCTTGGATATGTGCAGCTAGGTATTGATTTTATTCTGGGGAAGTAGAAATCGCCTCTGGCGGCTTTTGTACCTGTCCAAGATCCGGCGCCCTTAATGTTCTACAGTCGTGCTTCGTCCCGAATGCCGCATCCAGCATGCCCTTAGCAGCTGTTTCCAACTGAGAACTCACTGTAAGCCGGGGATTCTGATGCCTGAGATGGGATCTACGTAATATGTTCATGGCATCGACGCATTCTGCCCAACGAAACACAAAGACGGAATACATAACTGCAGCAGTGTAACCGTCCGTCACGGTCAAGGCTATCAAAACAAGCAAAGACCACTAAAAGCTTTTAAACAAGTATTGCTGTGCATCGACAGGCTGCAACGGGGTCAGGAGTGAACTACGTTACCCACGTTGAAGCCCAATCTCCACCGATCCCTCTTCTTCAGCTGAAACTGCTGCCACTAGGAGAAGAAGACAGGCCACAAGGACACTCATTTCCGCAGATTTTGCTGAATAACGAACAAGCAGGAGGCAAAGAAAAATTAAAGACACTTGCACCTGCTGCCCCTGAAATACAACAGAGAAATAAGCCTACAGCTGGCTATTCAGATTGAGGAAAATTGTGCTAATCGAAATGACACATTGCAATACACAAGCCATATTCACTACATGGGAACGCGCTCACAACAGGGGACGCCAATCTGGAAACGTTGGGCACAGGGAGGAAGTGAAAGCAAGCAATACACCGACAAGAAAAGTTGTTATAAAGGAGAATGTGGCGTGTGGTCGGGGGGAAGCAGATTAAGGGAGCTAATTTATATGAAACTGGCTGTTGGGCATCGAACTGGTGCAGTGCTGTCCCTGTTGTCCCTAATTAAAATCCATGGAATCCTCCGGTTTCACCACAAAAGGACGAATAAGCAATAGGATACAGCCATATTTATACTTATGCCATGGTTGAATTCGCTACGGGGTAGTCAATTGCATTGCTGGCCGAAGGCAGCACCCCGGTAGCGGCGTGGCCAGAGGGGCTGCACGGACACCCAACGCTCACAGGAACCTTGAGGTATGGCCGATAGCCCTTACTAAACAATGATCTTCCAACTAAACGCTTAGAATGACGAATAATTCTTCAAGGTTATGCATGTTTTCAATATCCTTTCCGAGGTGAAGCATTCCTGGTTTTGCCCCCCCAGTGTGGTCTAAAGGAATATACTTTCTTGGAAGAAAAACCGTACTTTGCTCTCTAAAGCACTGCTTTTCATTTCAAACAAGAGCTCTCAAGCTTATTGATTACACTCTTTTCCTATGAGCGCCTGGTGCGGGCCACAAAGGGGCTAAGATTCGCTGATGGTCTGCATGGACCATTAAATCTGCTGGTCTGATGAGAAACATTCCACACCACCATAAAATGGGCGGGTCGTCCTGGGCGTGGTATTAAGCAGGCGTTTGACATTTGGCTGGATCCTGGGCAGTTATTGTAACCGAGTTGCTGTAGGCAAATATTGTGTAAAGGCAGCTAAGGCAATGCCCTGTGCTAGGTAAATGTTCGTGAGCAGGATATTCCGACGCGTAACGGTCCCCTGCAATGCCGTCAGGGGAAATAGTACACTAATATAAAGTAGCGTTTGTTTCCTAGGCCTTCACAAAGGGAGGCAAGCAGGATGCATGCGAAACTTAATGCTGGATAGTTACCGTGTGTAGCGAGCCAAGCAACCTTTACGTCCTTACTACTATGCCACCCGTCATATCAAGATTTGCCTATGTCTCTGTTGCAGGCATTCTTAATTTGTAGACTTATAAGAGGAGTATTAGTTTCACACAATAAGGATGAATGACACGTGCCCGCATACGAAGTTGGCGTGCGAAGCTATTTGCGTATGCTATGAGTAGTGAGTAAGTGCGCCAGATTTCACTAGAGCTCTCTTGTTTTCCGCCATGCTGGTAAGTTCTAGGGTAGGGCAGAATAAGTTGCAGTGTAGCGCTCCTGTGGTGTTCATAAGGAGACTCGTAGCTCTCAAGGGATATCAAAACTTGAGATATATCTTGCAAGACAGCGAGCCCCTTCTCCTTGCCATGGTTCCGCCGTGCCTCGAGACAGGACAGCTGGGGTGCATGCTGATGCATCCTATGAGTTCCTAAAGCTGCGCATGGCAATCTTCTGCAGGGACACACCGCATACAATCTTACAATGGAGGGCTAACTCCTTTGAAAAGGGAAAAAGTATACTAAAAGGGAAGCTTTATGGTTGATACGAAACAGTTTCCTGGTTCACTTTGTAGACTATTGTAGTAGAAAGTGGCAGAGTGTATCGCGGTCAGCCAGAGGTGTTTCTTACGAAGAGAGAAATAAACGCCTTTGATTAGGCGTTGATGTATCGTCCAGGGGTTGAGAGTTACTCAACGGACGATCTAGGCGGAGCGTTACATTGCAACCTGCTATGGCGACCCAACGACAACACATATACATGCGTGCTAGCTCGGTTCTGTTTGCGGACCCATTCATTCCATCTCCTTCTTTTGTAGCTTAAATAATCTTGCTTCAGTTCTAGAAACCTCTCTCTCAACATGTAGCCTCAGCACTACCGTGTGAACTGCGCTTGCAGCACATTGAAAGTTCATGTTCCAGTGACACATACCAATCGGGCAATACGCTACGCGTCAAGCTACACAAGAAAGACATCAAGCAGCATCTTGGTGATATACGATGCATCAGCCGCATGAAAGATGCAGGTATATTGTTAAATTTTCGGGAGTAGAAGATGGCTTGCTGATTGCGGCATCATGAGCACAGATAGATCTGTCAGATGATCCTGCATCAAAATATGCCAATTCCTTGAATGTAACAGCACACAGAGTAGAAAGTGGTGTGCGTCTAGGCTTGCGACGCTTTTCTGGATTCCTCACAGCTACACTGAATGATGACATTATACGGAAGGAGTTCATTATACGTCACGAAGGTGGTATGCTTTGAGGAAAGTACAAGTACCTCTATGCGATCAATATCACTCCAGAAGCGTCCTTCAGCACATGATGTCTGGCTGCTCGCTATATCATAGCTATACAAACAGCTGCCAAATACGTATTTCACATGGCTCAGCGCGAGGACACTGCCTGGACGAGGCAGCCCTAAATTCTGGGCTTTTAATAGTGGGCAAGTCTGGCGACCATAAAAAGAGCCCAAGTTGCTCTGTTAGTAAGCCGTATTCATATTAATAGCACTGCAAAAGGCATACAACGGCCTGTGGAAACAAAGCCATCCCCCCCAAATTTTATCGATACAAAAAATGTTCGAGTGTTCACACTGTATTGACGAAGCATTGCCGTAAATGCCTTTTATACTCCACTCTCCCAGGACCCCGCTTAAGGCGTCTTATTCTCGCAAGGGCCTGTGAGAGACGTGAAGCAGAAGCTGAATATCCAGCCTTGGGGTTCTTGCAGCCTCGCGGTGGCGGGGAGCTTACTTTCAGTGCCTTACTGGAGGCACATGGAATATGCACAGATTGCCCCCATCGAATGTCCTCTACACCACTTCCAGCGAAGGGATTGTTGCTGTTTACCGTGCTGCCTTGCTGCTGTGAATCAGAAGTCGGGGTCTGTTTGGTGAACGCTCCAGCAATAGCTGACACTGCCTTCTGTTTTTCGATTTGCGGAGCAGCATGCTGGGCCCAGAACCTATCGGGATAAGGCTCTTCAAACGTGCCATCTGAAGCGGGAGGGTGCAGCCAAATATTAAGTGCCAAGTGCACATTAGCTTCGCAGACTCCAGCATAATCTGCATCCCCTGTCTTGCCATTGTTGCTCTTTGAGTAAGAGAACACCTCGTGGAACCAACTAGCAGGAAGGTAGACTGCATGCATGCAACAAGCTAGAGCCAGCTATTCGATTTTAAAGCAGACTTGAAGAGAAAGAGGCAATAAAGTTGGCCACTTGATCAGGAGGCTGGAATCTGAAGTACGTCGGGTAGAGCCATTTGACAATCATATGCAACTGGGAAGAAGTAATGCAAGAAGAAAGAGCCACAATGATGTAGAGCACAGACATCTAAGCAAAGATTGGCCACAACTTACGAATATCTCCTTCCTCCACCCATACACTCCAGAACCTTTCCCTCGCATTGGTGGCACTTGAAGGCCCCTCCCACGAAGCTGCGTATACGCAAAAGCCCGCTGGACTCCACCACCATGGGTACAAGTGGATACGGCAGGCGAGCCACAAATGTGCGGAGAAGGAGCTTACTTGCGGCCGCCTTCCGAGTCCCTCTAAGACAAAAATGATCTGGAAATGCTCCTTTTCCCACTAGACGTCCCTGAAGCAGTGCATAACCATGCTGGACGACACGGTTTCCGAAAAAAAACTATAAAAGTAAGCAAGTAGAGGCATAGGGAGTCAAAAATACGCGTGGCCCTCCGCTCTTACTTCCATCAGCTCGCTATCTTCCGACACGGATTCGTCGTCCTCCACATCTGTGTCGTCAGCGACTGCGTCAAGTGCCGCCTCGAGGCAATCGTCAAGCCTAGAACCCAACCGTCCACAAAGTCGCCTCTAAGAATAATGGTTGTGGAGGCCGAGGCAAGACTATATCTTCCGTGCACATTACAGCGACGTGGATATGCTACGAAAGTTGTCCTTACTCTGCCTCCACCTGGCTCAACATATGATTAAGTTCCTTGACTTCCTTGTCTAGCTCGCGAAAGCTCTTGCAGTGCGCCGGAGCTGCAGACATAGCCCCCTCGCGCTGATTTAGGAGTGCGCGCAAATCGCTGGCCTTTTGTTCCAGGGTGAGCTGGCGGGTCCGGAGGACGGCTAGTTCATGCGCACCTGCACGGCAAAACGCAGCGTCAAGGTGGTGGAGAACCTGTGCTGTTGAAAACGACGCTGTGGTCAGAATGAACTCAAGTGGCCTTGTGGGCTGCATGCGGTGGTGACTCTCTACACTAGATGTTGGGTAGTGGATGCAGAGGTGCATTTCTTACTGCAGTGACTTCACTAGAAGCCCAGCCTGCAGCACGAGCTTACCGTCCTGACGAATGCCCTTCAAATAGGATATAAGTCCGTTGGGGTGAAGCTTCGGCATATTGGAGGGCTTCGCCATGCCATGCGTCGGCAGGAGCTCAGAGAGGCCAGGGCTGTACAGCCGAAACTCTTTCCGCCCTACCGCCCCACAGAATGAAGGAGTCAAGGCCTAACTACCTCAAGGCATTCAGAAATTCCGACAACAACGCTGTGTCAAGCAAAGGCGCGGTAAAGGGCCTACCCCTTAAAAGACAGTAGAAGTTATCATGGAAATCGTGGTGGAGGCCGCTGCTGCTGCCATGCCGGCTGTGCCCCATCCATATGTTGAACTGGGAGGGCACTAGGTTGCTGCACAAACGCAATCACAAGCAGCAAACAGAAACCGGCAACAGCTCTAGCTAACTCCCCGCACCCCGCGCTGATAACACACCACTGTAATCAGGCTTCCGTGGAAAACTTACCCTGCAATTGTCGGATTTACAGGGAAATCGCACGACAAAGCTCCACAGAGCGGAGGACCGCAGAGCGCCTTAGGACCTGCAGCCGCCCATCAAAAACTAGGTTTGTGTGGGGAAAAACACGCCATATCTGCATCCGAGGGGGCGAAGGGGGTGGAGTGGGGTGTACGGAAGCCCCCGAGCAGTCTTAGGCGTTGGTAGCACAGGCCGTTTCCTGCGCCCTTGACATCAGCCTACATCCAGGAGTGCGAGCTCAATTATACTGCCCCTTCAAAGCATGATCTGCCTATTGTGTACCCTCGCTGTGCTAAGGTATAGAGAGAGACATCCTAGCGAGCTAGTACATGCACTTCGTGCGCTTTCCCTCGTAGCTGCCGGTCGAGTATCCAACGCAGGGCAGAGGAAAACGCACCATATCTGTCGCTAGCAATCCGCTGAGTGGTGACGTACAAAGAGGCGTCTCCTTCTGTAAGTCTCTTGATAATTTCCTTGAAGGGCATCTGCTGATACTGCCCCATGCCTGCGGCAGGCAACACAACACACACTCGCACGGCCCCCCTTTGTAGTGCTACGGGTGCTGGCTCTCAGGATCAGCAACGTATACGGCCAAAACCCCAAAGTTCAATACAGGGAATGCCCACCAAAGGTGTGGGACCCTTGCGGATCCCGAACCTCCACGTCGACGGATTCTTCCCCAGCGACTTTTTTGAGGTACTGCAGGTCCCTCCAGCGTGCTAAGGCCGGGCTGTCTGCCAGTGCGGAAGACGGTGGGGCAGACGGCTGGCCAGAACCCTTGCATGGGATGAGACGTAAGAGGCATGGCTTGCGTGGTTTTATGAACAAACCAAAGAAGCATCGAGGGCACAAAGGATCATCTTTGAGTGGTGGCATCCGTTTGCCGGTGACGCAGGCGCTGCAAGACGTCAAGTGCTCATCAACCAGCACGCGATCGATTTCACGAGGAGGCCCTCCAGTAGGGTTTTCCCTCCATGGGCAGAACCTGTGCCGCACGAGTAGGAGAAGCACAGCCTTGGCACAGTGTCTGAAAGACTGCCAATAAAGCTGTTCAAGGCCGAATGCTTAAGGATAGCAGTGTCTGAAGGGTCAAGAAGTATTCAGTCGCACCCTAGATATTGCCTTCCCTTTAGCTTCTTTTTGCAATGGGATGGGTCATGAGAGAATCCATTGGAAGAGCGGGACCTTCCACACGTTCCCAATGCACGGGAGGTATTATTAAAGCCTACACGCTTCGAACGCGACATCTCTTTTGCTGACAAGCATCAAAAGGGATACCTCTGGACGCGGAGGGGCAGTAAGGCCCTGCCTGGCTCGGGTAGTGCCAGGGGCCTCGACGACCAGGGTGACCTCCGCAAAAGTTTCGTACTTTGGCTGCAAATCCTGGCGCTGATAAGGAAAATATTTCCTGTACATGCTAATAAATCGCTTATGGAGCGGCCCCACAAAGCATGTGCCTCCCAAGCAGGGCCATCCTGTGGTGCGCTGGAGTGGGTCGCCTTCTGCAATCTACCACCGAGGGCCTCAAGGGTGAAAACTAGGAAATCAAGACAATCGTGCACTTGAAGATTTAAATGCTTTAAGTAGGCAAACTTGGCAGTCGGAAGTCGTGTGGATGAGTATAGGGTTTTTCGCTAGCCGCGTCATGGTGTTTAAGCTGTACCCTTAGTAGAAATGTGGAAAGAAGCGGTGGCCTCAGTGTACAGAATGCGGCATGAGATAGATGAATATTGCAATAATTACAACTCGAACGAGGAGTCTCTGTATTCCCCTGCAGAGAATCACGCCTTGTTGTACTTTTCATACATTCGAATAAATCCGGAAGCCTCAGACACTAGCAACTGACATGCCTCAACCCTTCACCTTTCCTGGGAGACCTTTGTCGCGCTCCCATAAAGAGGAAGGATTCAGCAACTACGAGGAGGTTGACACATCCGAAAGCTCTAAGATGTAGCGAAGAGTGGTTGCGGCCTGTAGAGCTCTGGAACAGCCAATCACGATTCGCTCTAAGGAGAGGTACTATCGACAGTCATCACTCTCCACATAAGGACGTAGTCAGAAACAGGAAGAAATACTTTTTAGGGCACAACGCCATGCAGATTCCTTCAAATGTAACGCTCAACTCAAGACCTCCGTGGGAAGGACCTTAACTCGAGACCCCATACAAACCTCCTGAAAGTTATCACGAGTCCTTCCAGAAGAAATACTTCTCATACGTGCCTCAGCTCTCATAATACCAGCCTGATGGGAGAGGCGCAGCTAGGGTGTGAGTATCTGCACCCTCGAAGCACTCCGAGCAATCACAATCAGTTGCACTACGCAGCACCTACCGCCCGCGCAACACAATGTTGCATTTTGTTGAATCTAGCCAACAGTACTGTGCATTAAAGAAGGTATAGGAACTGATAAACAAATTAATCAATCCTCAAGTGTATATCAGCTAGGAATAACTATTGCAGAGGAAAGTGCCGGATTGTATTTTAGCCCGCTACTGTACGTTTTGGACTACAATGACCACCTTAAGCACGCACAAGCCGCAGCAGTAGCATGCCCTCTACGATATGATCAATACCGCAGTCAGCGGTGTTAGAGACGCGCTAGAGAGTCCAGCGGCTACAGAGAGTTGGCGTTGTTGTATGGAGGGGGCCCTGAAAGTAGCTGTGCATCATCGCTTCCCCAAAAACGCGGCCGTGTAAAGCAGAGTGCAAAACGGAGCATGCGCTAAAAATTTTGTACCAAAAAAGTTCAATTCAACCCGAGAACCTGCAAGCGGGTACTTGAGCAGTCCTTTTCACCAGCGGCCTAACTCATTGGAGCGTCAGCCAGGTAGGACATCCCACGATTTCTTTTGTTGGCAGCAGCATAGGCCGCCGCCTCCCAACACTTGCTGGATTTCCACCAGTCTACGGAAGCGAGTTCCCCATTGAAGGTGCTCACTACATACTTACCGAAACCCCAAGCTAAAACTGATCAAAAATCCGATGCTTGTCACAGTCCTCCTCTGTGTAGAGAAGCTTTTGCTGCATCGCGCTGCAGAGGTCCATGCTACGGAAGCATCCCTCTAACAGGGACACTGCAGGATAACTTTCCCAACAAACCATCCATCATATCTTTTCTAAATTGCAATGCACAAGCCGATGCGCTTTTGCTTCCATTGCAGATAAGGATTGACAATCCTAGAACGCAGCACCAAACAAAAAGGCCCAGCGTATGCTTATTTTTACCTCCTGAAACATGTATAAACAAGCCGAACTAAGAGTCAACACAGAAAGGGGTACACATCAAGTAACTTACCGAAAAATCTGGGGGTTGCTAGAGTTCGCGTCAAGGACCCGGTATATGTGAAAGCTATTTCCCTACAGACAAACCAAGACAAAGTTGCCTTGGGTGCAGTTAAGGGCGCCACCGAAGGGGAAGTAGTGTTGGGTATGCAGAGAATGCCACCACAGCTGCAATGAGAAATTCCATCGTCCTCAACGAGTGCGAAATCTATCAGGGGCGACCTTGCAAAAGAGGCAGACGCTAAAAAAAGGTATGCACAGCGAAGACCATACACTAGCAAACGGATACCAAGGGCGCGGAAAAGGCCAGCCCCTTACGTGTTGTTGCGCCAGATTCCACTCTCTATGAGATATCTCAAAATAGCGCTTGTCTGCTGTTGAGCTGCTCTTCACCTCCACGAAGGTTGTGCGGGGGGCTGCAGTCGAGCCTACAGGAGGAAACTCCTGCAGCCGCAGCAAACAGTCCGCATAAATTCTCTATATATTTTAAAGGAATCAGTTGAATAGCCACAGATGCCAAGTAACCTCCTTTACATTTGCTTGGCGCATAAAAGGAAGCTGTAGAACCGAGCCACGCTGCTACAGGTGCTAGCGTGTTAAAGAGAGCTCTGAGACACTCCTTGTAGCTCTTCGCCTCAGACAGAGACATGGCCTACGCTATGCAGAGCAGATTTGAAATCCAAACTTTCATGTGATGATACTAAAAGAAGCGTTGTTTGTGCTATGGCTAATTTTGGCCAGCTACATCTAGCCAAGTCCTGTTCAGGAAGGATCAAAGTGTACGAGGAGCGCTCACTTGGATGAGGATGTCGTAGCTCTGCCCCCCCTCCTGCTCCTCATTGAGCCACACCACCTGCGCCGTCTTAGCAGCCAACTGCTGCTGCAGTTGCCTCTGCAAGTACATGTACACCAGAGCTTCTCCTCGCCGTGCCGCAATAGTAGATGCCTTGCTGGTATTGGTAGAAGGCCCCGCAAGGAAAGGCTCTGCTGCGTCTCTGTCCCTGCGATCCATACAGACACAAATCGATACGGACACCTTGTGGGGAAATACAACTAAACGATTTCTGGCCTGACAGCCAGCCAACGCTCCAGGTTCTTTTGCTGACAAGTTGCGGTGGCGCAAGTTGCGCGTGTATTCTCTTCCCTCCCCTCCTGCAAATCTGTGGGCCTTGAACTGCGCCTTCTGTGGCTGCAGCCTTGTATCTCGCTGAAATTCTTTCCGCCGCTCATGGAAATCCCTTGCTCTTGCTTGCTTACCGCTGGTGGAGGTCAATAGCCTGTGCTTCAAACTCCCCAAGAGCCACCACGGGGTTTTTCTCTTGAGTCTCCTGGAAGTTCCCCTGCCTTGACTGCCCCTGTTTTCCCTCCGCGTCCACGCTGCAGGAGTCTTCATACGCTGATGCCTTGCCAAAGGGATGAAGGCTTCCAAATAGGGCCTCTTCCCGTGAGCGCTCCTTTGAAGCGTCCTCTGCTTGGAGAGAGTCTGCAAGATGAGAGCTCGCTACACGATCCCCCCCTTCCTCAGTCCATCCCAAAGCGTCCGTGGGCATAACCGCCTCCTCCTCAGTCTCGCTTTCACTAGAGTCACTGCTGCTGCTGCAGCTGCTGCCGGCTCCTCTATGTTCCCGCGCAGCCAACTGTCCCTCGCCATCTTTAAGGATCTCGCTGTGTGCAGCACCAACTCCCTCTGAAGGGCGCCTTTTTTTAGCCGGCGAAACACCAGGCGAAGCGTCTCTGCCGTCCACCGAGTCAACAACAATAGCTTCCCCGCCCTCCAATTGATCGCTACGCGGCATTTCTTCCTGCGACATGCTTTCCGCTGTTTTGTCAAACGGCTCCGCACCGCTGCCACCTGTGGAGACACCGTCAGTCGCCGTAAGGACAAACCAGGCATCTCTCAGTAGCCACAGGGGGGACTCCTGCAAGTTAGCGTCCTGGCAGCTCTGCCGTTTGTTCTCAGCCGCTTGTGCTTCCTCCTTCAGCACCGTCAAGAGTGCCTGTTTGTTCAGGACTGCGGTGTCTGCAGTCTTGCCAGCACCGACACCAGCGAAGGCGGCTGCAGCACCAACGCTGCTGCTGTCGGCACTCCAAGCCCTCCTTTCTGCCTCTGCAAGACACTGCTGCTGCAGCTCCAGGGTGTCAAGCGGCCCCCCCGTCCAGAGACAGTCTGCTGCGAGGTGATCCTCCACCGCAGCTCCCACAATCGACGCTGCCGCAACGGTCCACAGCCTGAAGCCGAGAACGCTGGTGCCCCGCTGAAGCTCCCTTAGCCAGTTGAGAATTCCACAGGAAGGCGGACGGAGCAACCACTGCAGCAGCCGATGCTGAGCCTTCGCGTACAGCAGCAACAAAAAGGCGGAGAGCGAGGCGTCTACCTTCCCCGTGAGGGAGAAAAGGCGGGAAAACTCCCCAAAGACCTCTCCAGGAAGCGAAGGCAGCAGGAGTTCCTGTAGGCGGTCCACGTAAGCTGCATCAAATGCAGCATGCGCTCTGCTTGGTGAGCGACTGCCGCCAGATTCCGCTGCCTCCAGGCCCACAAGCGCACTACCCAGAGCCTCGTCGCTCACGTTCCAGGCCAGTAGAAGGGGCACGTTCTCTGCCCCCAGAAAGTCTGTCTCCCACCGATTCTCGGATGCCGCGTCCACGCTGTGGCTGCTGCTGCTGCCGCTGCCACACGTGCTGCTGCTACCGGAAACAACGCTGGCGACAGGCAACTCGCCACCCTCGCCTTCCAGCAAACCTTCCCACTGGAGTGCCGCTGGGCAGGGATCCCACCGTCCAACAGCGCCAGAGGGCATGTGGCGAATGGTACGGCGGAGATTCCTGCAGAGCAGTATCAAGAGACGCTGCACTTGCTGCAGCCAGCAGGGCCTCCCCGGCGCCGGTGCTCCCGCTGCCGCTGCCGCGGCAGTATTCTGACGAGCCAGCCACTGTCTCTGCAGCTCCACATACCGCGAAGGGTCATGGTGTAGCAGGAAGCGCCTCACAGCTGGCAGCAGCACAGCAAGCAGCCGCTGCTTCAGCCCGTGCAGCACCAACCCGTAGCCGGTGCTGCTGCCCTGCCCGTCAAGCGCCATGCAGAGAGACTTCACCTCTAGCCCTCTCAACGCCCTCCCCCGCTCACCGAGCTCGAAGGGAGGATCAGCGGTAAGCTGCGAGGAGCAGACACTATGGAGACTCTCGGCACCCAGCCGCTGCTGCAGCAGTTCGAGCCACGCCTGAGAGACGCGAGCCGCCCCCCCTTGCAGCCCATGATATCTCCGCATGCGATACGCCGCGCGAGGCCCACACAGACGACAACAGCATTCGCTTCCCCTAGCTGCACTGCAGTCAGCAGCAGCGGCAGCAGCCACGAGCTTCTCCCAGTCACACGAAGCATCGCAACACCACACCACATGCGGCGCGTCAGAAAAGGCAGAGGCAGCATCTGCACATCCCCAAGGGTCAACATCCATGCCACGCTGCGCTCCTCGCCAGCCCCGCTGCCCCCGCCTCCCTCCTCTGCGACTCTCACCAGCCGCTGAGGCAACTCCGCCCTCCCGCAAAGACTCCCACAGTCTGCAGTCACTCGGGGAGAGCCGCAGCCACAGCGGCGTTCCCACCGGGAGAAGGCCAAACTGCACGACGTGAAGGGGAGCACGAGCAGCACACCCGGCAGCAGCAGCAGCAGCAACAGGAGTGCGACCAGCCTCCTCGAACTCGGACGGTGCTGAGAGACAGGCCAGTCGCAGACACGGGATGACGCACAGCCCGTGCAGCAGAGGCACGAGACTTGCGCCTGTCTTTCGGCAACAAGAGTCCACATGCAACAGCAGAGCAACAATCGGCAGGAGAAACTCGCCGCAGCCTCCCGCATCCTGGGAGCCCGTGCACCCTGTCCTTCCTGCCACAGATCCTGCACCTGCTCCCGCCAACCGATTTCCTGCTGGAGAATCCTTTGAAGCTACAAGCCGACTTGGGCTGTCCTCTCCTGAGGATTCGAAACGCCTATACTTTAAACTCCTCCCGAGATTCCCCAACGTGCGTTGCCGTTGCCGCGTGCTAGTGACCAGCTCACCCGAAGGTGCTGCTGTACCTGCTGCTGCTGTGCCTGCTGCTGCTGTAGACGAAGACGATTCATCAAATGCCGCACACCCAGACAGCCGGCGTGCTTCATGCGCCACAGACACAAGGGCTGCAATGCAGGCTTCTAGAGGGGGAAACTCGGCAACACGTAGATCCAACAACAAGAAAGCCTCCAAAAACGCGAGACGCTGCTCCTGTTGCGACGAAGTCTCTGGGGGAAGCGCAGCCTCTAACCTCCCGGAAATAGATGCCTCAGCACGAGGCGAATCTCGCAGCAGAAGCAGCAACAAGTCCTCCAAGGGCCACCCCCCCGAGACAAAAGCTCCTAAAGGCGCTCCCACTGGCAGCCGAAAGACTGTCTGTGACGGTGGCATCCAGCGAATGCAGCATCCCCGAGCGGCACAAGCTGCCGTGCTTCGATTTTCTCCTTGCCACACTCCCCAAGTCGCCGGCTGAGGCAGCAGCACCAGACCCTTCGCTGCCAAGAAGGCCAAGGCGCTGCTCTGCTGGTTCGAGGCGGCCTTTCCTGGCAGGCTTGTCGCATCTGCCACCGAGTGCCTTTGACATGCAAGATACTGCAGCAACTCGAAGAAGTCGGCAGCAACCGTAGAACAGCAGCAGCAAAACAGCTGCAACTCCTCTCCTCCTGCATGCTGCCAGAGACAGCCACACCCTTCGCCGCATGCCGAGCTGCGTTCACAGCAACAGCGGCCTTCTTTGCAAGCCGCACCAGCAGCCGCTAGGAAACACTGTGCCACTGACAAGGCTGGTGCAGTGTGTGGGCTTCCAGGTGCTTCTGAGGCTTTGCACGGAGCCTTGACGTCGTAGTTGTTGCTGCGGCTGGACTCTACAATTGTCGCTGATCGAGCAGGCGTTGTTGTTGTTGCTGCTGCTGTGGGATGCCTGGAGGGCTGCCCTGCGCGGTTCAGATGCGCTGAAAGAGACAGCAGGACGTTGACAGCTGTGGCTTCATCTGGCATGCAATGAATTCCCTGATATGTCCAGCTTTCCCCGTCGTTACTTGCCGTTGCTGCTGCGAAGACTCCAGGCGGCCTGAGCGATCGCAGCGGTTCCCGTAGCCAGCAGGACGCACGAGAGAAAGATTCCGTTGATCTACCGCCATTCACCTTCTCCAGAGAAGACGCATTGGGTAGGAATATGTGGCTGGCTGCGGCTAGGGATTTTTCAGCCTGCTGGATGCCACTCCCCACACTCGTACGGCAGCTTTCGTGGCGGGCTAGGCTTGCAAAGGCCTCCAGGCTTTCGCTTTCCAAGGGAGCCTCCTGCTGCTGCGGATCCTGCAGCAAGCGCCACACTAACGGGTGGAGGTATTCGACGAGGCGTCCGTACACCGCGACGCACTCCGCCGATGGGGCTGCCACCTCGAAAGGCCTTCGCAGTCCCACAAACCTCCATTGCCAGCATATGTCACCGCTGGTAGCACGGCCGTTGCATCGCGTGCAGCTGCCATCAGCGATTCTATTGATTCTCCTGGTGTCGCCTCCCGCTCCGGCAGCTGAGAGGCCGTGTGGCATGCCGTTGCCGCCGCTATTTCTGCTGCTGCTGCTGCTAGTACACTTCTTGTGCTGCCTCTGGTGCACCTCGCCTTCCTCATGTAGGCCGCGCTTTCTGCTGAGATTTTCGCGCCTGCTGGTGGCTGTACGTTTGCGCATGCAGCTGCTCAAAAGCCTCGTCGGCAGACCGTGTCCAGCAGTCTCGAGCTCGCTATCGCTGCTGCTCGAGCTATTACCAGTGAGCACGTCATCTCCCTCGCAGTCGATCTCAAAGACTTGCGCCTCCGCGCCGCTTGCTTCCTGTGATGCCGCTGCCACGGCAAGATCAGACAGGGCATCGCATGCCACTGCTGGAAGCCACGCACTGCAACGCAGCTGCACAAACAGGGAAGACGCTGCTGTACCTCCAGCATTCGGAGTATCTTTCGGGAGCCAACGCGCCCTGGCTGCTGCTGCGTTTAAATTCTTCGCGAGCAGCGGGTGGGGTTTGCAAAAGGAGGCTTCCGAAGACGTTGCAGCAGCACCATGCCACCATCGCAAGGCATTGAGGCGTTGCCATCTCTGTCCTGCTTCAGCCAGAACTGCACTCAGCAGACGGAGGGATATATTCTCTGCCTGCCGAAGGTCCTCATTCAGCTGACGCATGCGCTGAAGCGGCTGTCGTAAGAAAGACTGAGACCACGACGCAGGACTGGAGCTGCTGTCACTGCTGCTGCTGCTGCTGTCACTGCTGCTGCTGCACGCTGCCGCAGTTGCAGCAGCGGCAACAAGACGCTCAAAGTCTGGACATAGGAAATCCTCCAGCAAAAAGACGCAAGTTTTCGCGGAACCAGCGGCGACGCTTTCGTCATCACGTACACCTGCGTCCCCCCAATGGGCCTGCTTCTGCACTTCTGCTTTAAGCCAATCGCACGCAGATCCCCTCCATCGGCGAGCCAGCAGCAGCTCGAGATCCTCCACCGCCTCCCTGGAGCAGCCCTGAGGCACTGGGTAGCCATCGACAGACACAATCTTGAGAGCTGGCTGTTGCGTAGAGGAATGATGCTGCCTCGAGTCGCTGAACTGCAGCTGATAGACTACAGCAGATATGTGCATCAGCCGTTGAAGTCCCAAAAGCTCGCAAAAAGGCTTCCAGGTCGGCATGGCGATGACCGGATCATATGCAGCTGAGAGGAACATTATTTCTGGCAGCAGCTGTCTGTACAGCTGAAGCAGAGCGGCTTCCTGGTGGCGTGCCTCAGCCCTGCATCCGTGGTCGTCCGGCCACACATAGCGCATTGACGCGGCTCCGAGCGGAATTTTACCCCCCTTTTCCCCCACGCACACCGGCAGCGACAGCATTCGCTGCCGAACGCCGTCGATGGGAGAGCTACGGTCCGCCTCGATCAGCGCTGCCAAGTCTCGGTAGTGCAAGACGAAGAAGGAAAGGCACTCCACCAGCTGGGAGTCCGTCGCTGTCTCCCTGAACTGCGCGTCCTGCAGCAGCGGGAGCAACCGATGCCGCATCAGCTGCTGCGGCTGAAGAAAGTCCACCCCCAGGTTCCGTAAGCAGCGCACAATGCAGGATCGCTGCAATGCCCTATCGCTATCCACTAGCTGCCTAGTGTCCTCGCCTTGCTGCTGCAGTTGCGCGTCTACAAGCTCCTCAGCCTCCCCGACTGGCGGACGCAGCCCGATGGACCATGGCTTGAAGACGGCGGGATGCACATACAGGACAAATGCGGCGCTGCTGGCACCACTTACAGGCTCTGCAGGAGCTTCGGAAGACTCTGCGTCAAGGGAAGGCAGTGGGCTGTCGGCTGCAGGGTCAGCAGAGGCGTCGTCTGGCAGACACAGAGTCAGCTCCGCACCGTCCACAGAAACAAAATTGCCGCAGCGTGTAGGGATGAAAGGAATGCCCTTAAGGACTCCCAAGGCGGCACGGTGCCGCAGAGACGCCTTATCCTTTGTGCGAATGCACTCGATAAGCTGCAAAAGCCTGCCAACCCACTGCGGCTGCAAGACCGATGCCCCTAGATGCTTGTGCACCTGATGCTGCTGCTGTCGCAAGGCGACCAGAAAACGCAAAATTTCGACTACATCCCAAAGTGTCAGCTCCCGCATGCCGAGTGCGCGCAGTCGTGCAGGGGGGAGGTGTCGCAGCACTCGAGGATGGACGTAATGGAGGCCTAGAGCTTTGTGCAGCAGCCACGGCGGAACTGGCCAGTCCGCAGTTTGGATGCTGGTACGACTGCTGCTGCTGCTCACGCCAGATGCGATATCGGCAAGCGATCCACCTCCTTCTCCCGCTGTAGTGCCCCAAGGAATGACTGCGCGAGCCGGCGAGCACCAGACACAGTCGTCGGCTTGGTCTTGGGGGTCTTGCTGCTGCACGTCGCTGATGTGGGGGTTGACAGCAAGGACGCACTCAAGGTCCTTTATTGCCGCAACTGCTGCAGATGTAGCGGCAGCGACCATCTCCGCAGATCCCCCCGCGGCTGCGTAGACGTTCGGGAGGGGAACGAAGCGCAGCAGAGACTCTTGCAGTTCAGGATGGACATCTCGGCAAACAGAAAGAGCTCTGCATAAAGCAGCGGGCAGCTGCTGCAGGAGCCTCGCATTCCAGGGGTCGCTACACTGTAAGTCCTCTCGAGAGGCTGTTAGGCTGAAGGCGCCTTGCAGAATAAAAGGGAGTCCGAAGCCTCTCACGGGGAGGAAGCAATAAAGCGGCCATCCCGCGCTGACTCCCGTGGTTTCAAGGTCGTTGGTGCCGCTGCCACATAGATCGCCGTTTCCTGTCGCATTGTGGGCAGCACGAGGAGCAGCAGACGTTGAAGCAGCATAGCCTTCCGGAGTCAAAGGCAAAGCCACCACGAGGGGTTCATCGAAAGCCCCCGCTACAGGCGCAGAGGGCGCCAGGTGCTCTACGAGCAGCCAGTGCTGCTGCTGTTGCTTCCAAGCGCCAGCCGCCGTGCTTGTGCACCCACTCCACAAGTCGCATGATCGTGTTGCCGTTAGTGGGCTCGCTAGCGAGCGGCTACGTGAGGTGAGAACGACGTGTCGAGCGCTTTTGGGCAAGCCAAACGTCTGGCGACGAAGACCCCGTTGCTGTTGCTGGTGCTCTTGCTGCTGGCCCTCAAAGGCAGAGGAGTCAATACATTGGAACGTGTGTTTGACTAGCAGAAAGCAGCTCTTATTCGGCTGGCTGCGGCAGGACACACGGCAAATTCGGCGAAGAAATAGGAGGCAGTGCGGCTCCACCACAGAAAGACGCTTGGGAAGGCTGCTATGAGCCGCCTGCCACTTCTCAAGCAGCGCTGGACGTACGGGCAGCCAAATGATTGTTCGCCAGATCCCGATTGCCGCCTCTGTTGCCGCGTTTGCGTTACAATAACACGATGCCAGTGCGCCGCAGCAGCAGCTGCTGCTGCCGCCTTCGCAGCTGCTGCTGCCTCCTGCTGCTGAAAGAACTGGATCTGCAGCCGCAAGCAGAGCGCCTTCCATAGCCTTTGACGGTACATACCTGCTGGGATCAGGGGGATCCAGGGGATGCGGCAGGACGAAACCAAGGCCACTTTTGTCTGTGGCAGAGAATTTGATTGCCACTCCCGTGCATGAAAAAACATGAGGATCGTCGGCAAGGCTAAAGACGGACTTGAACCCCACTCCGAACTTGCCTATGCGCCGTCTGCCACCCTTATGCTGCTTGTGCTCCTCTTGCACGGCCTTCGTGCTACGCGCCACGTCACACAAGGCACGCAAATCAGCAGGCCTGAAGCCTCTTTCATTGTTAAAAACGCAGAGGCCTTCTGCCAAGACCTCGAAGTGCAAAGCGGGCACTTGAAGGGCCGTAAGCCGCAGCGACAGTTGCAGCAGCTGCTCTCGCTGCTCGTGCTGTAAGACCAGAGACGGCGGTAAAGGCAGTGGGAGGACATATGTATTGTCATCCGCATTCTGAAGCAGCTCTAACTGCAGGTGACCCTCCGCAGCGTACAGATCTCCCGCCAAACGCCCCAAGGCACGCGTCAGCCTCTCGCGTTGCCTCCGCATGACAGCATCCACAGCTGTTTCTTCATGCGCAATTTCAGCGACGTCGCTGTGGCTGCTGCCTAGGCCCACACCGAACTCCTCTGCGCGTAAGCGGCGCACAAACGCTGCCGGACTCTCGCCATTCCAAAGATCGATTGCTGCATCTTCGCCTGCCACCGTTTGCGGTGCTTCCGAGAGATCTGCACCTGCGTGAGAAGCAGCAACTGAGCTGCGTTCTGCTGCCTTTGCAGCCCGTGGACGGCTAAAATAGCCTAAGCCTGCTGTCGTCCTCCCCGAGAATAGCAGCAGTGTGTCACCGTCTTCGGAGGGTTCAGGAAGGCATGCCCTGCTTGAGGGGGGTAGAAGCGCGAGCACAGGCTGCTCCATGGGAACGGCCTTCTCTTGCGTACGGCTGCTGCTGCTTCGAGCATCAAAATCCTGCGGGTGCTCCTCGTGCTCTAGCTGTAGCGAGGTATGCTGAGAACTGGGTTGCTGTTGCTGCTGCTCTTCTTCTTCATAGTGCTCGCGTTGCAAGGCATCCCATAGCTCTCCTGCCTCCCGAGGCGGCAGGAGCAGATGAACGCACCGTTGCAGCGCCTTGCGGAGATGCGACGACAAGGCATTGAAGGCGACATTTGTCTGTAGCAGCCGCAGCAAGCCAGACTCTGGGGCAGAGGGGACCCTTTCCGCCGTCGCTTTCTCCAGAGACGTTAGCTCGCGCTGCTGCTTTCGGCACTTGAGCGTTGAATTGAAAGCTTCTACTGCGGCGAAAACAACGCCAGATCCAAACACCTCGCACAGCGGTGCCAAAAGTATTACAACGCATCCGTCCACGAAGGCCCTCGGAGCCTCGGCAAGAACCCTGCAGCAGAAGTCTCCCCACGCCTGGTGCTGCTGCTCGTCCTGCTGCTCCTGCGCCTGCTGCTCCTGCGCCTGCTGCTGCCTCAGATGGTTGCAAATGTGTATCTGGAGGGTCATGGGATCGTAAGAGGTCGAATGAACTTCTCCGCCACTGCCACCAGATCCTGTCTCCTGCCTTTGCCCCAACAGCGCCGCAAGAGCCCTCACAGCGGTGGAGGCCTCTCTGGTACTGACGGCTTCCAGCAGCTCCGAAAGAGTCTCCTGAGTCGCTTTCCGCACGCGAAGGATGCCGCCGCCTTCGACGCTCAAGAAGAAGCTCCGATCCAACAAAGTGGTGCTCCGACCGCTGCCCATGCCGCTGGTGTTCCTAGCGGCCCTAAACGGTGCATGCCCATGGCGCTGAAGAAAGGAGTCAAGACTTCCAAAAAGAGGATCTAGAGTCTCGGACCAGTCGAGGTATGTACGCAACTCCACGAGCTCGGGAGCCGTGGCAATTCGCTCGGCAACGGATTGCCAGGTAACAGCGGCTTCCATTCGCTGCTTCCCCCGCAAGGCCGTGAGGCTCTCTGGCTGCGACACGAGAAGCTGCAGACATTGCTCGTACGTGCCTGCTTGCTGGGAAGACACAGATGCTGTCCCCTGCTGCTGCTGCGTGTGGGAATAGCGGAAGCTCGCCGCGAGCGCTGAGGCGAGCCGCCAGGGGTTGCAGAGCGCTGCGGCTAGGCGAATGCCGCTGCTGGACTGCCGCTGAAGCTCCGCAGCAATACTGTTGTGCAAGGCGGGAGAAAGGGCCTCATCCTCGCCCCTCAGAGCAGGCAGCAAGGCGGCAGGTTTGGAAGACTCCTCCGTTCGGAAGGTTCGGGGATCCGTGAACATCGACTCACGCAAAGCTGCGAGAAACTTGCTGAGCGCTGCAGCATCAGACAGTGCGTTGCTACACCATAGGGAAGAAGCAGCAGCAGGAGAAAAGTGCAACTGCACAAGCCGAAGACACACACGGTGTAGCCACTGCTGTTGCATGTTTAGATCTACATCGCCTGCTGCTGCCGCTGCTCCTGAGGCTTCCAGCAACAACAGCGCCAGTTGCACATATATCTCGATCGACGCTGCCTCATTCGCAAGGCCAGATAGTGAGTTTCCGTCTCCCGTGTGTGTGCCTTGCCATTGCAGCGCCTCCTCTATGGCGGCAGCAGCAGCCCGCGCTTCATCGCGCTGCAGCAACCGCAATAAAGAATGCGCCTGAGAGGAATCGGATGCCGGAAAAATGGACGTCTCCAGTGCATGCAGCTGCTTCAGAGGCCCCTCCCTGGAGCCCCCGGTTGCTGCCCCTTGCTGCTGCAGATGAAGCTGTACATACTGCATAAGGCGGGTAACAGCCTCTTCAGGGGACGACACAGAGCCTCGCTCTGCAGCAGGATCTCCTGAACACGCCTCGCTGCTGCTACTAGCACAGAGACTGCGCTTATTGCTGCTGCTGGAGGTCGTCTCCGTTGAGTCAAGCCGCACGTCTTCTTGAGTCTGCATCACACCGTTCCCTCCTCCCTCCTGATCCTCAAGCTCCTTCTCCTCGTCCGCATCCATAATCTCCTTCAGATCCTCGTCCTCCTCCTGCTGCTCGGTGCTGCTTCTGCCCGCGGTGGAAGGAATTTGAGGCAGCACTCCCTTGGCATTCTGAGCAAAGCGCAGCAATAACCCGACGACAAGCCCTGCGGCGGCGCGGGCAGCAACCGCAGCTGGATGTCTTCGCAACAAACGCATGCAGAGTTCTTCCAGCAGTGGCTCGCAGCTGAGGGGCTTAAGAGGAACGAAGGCTTCGGAAAGCACCTTGAGCAGCTGTTGCTTGACAAAAGTACTGATCGCCAGGCGGAGTCTGAAGGTTTGCAGCTGGTGCATGTGCTGCTGGGGTTGCCATAGAGCAACGGCAAGTAGGTGAGAGCACGGTGGATTCGGGTTGGGGCAGCTGCATTCACATACAGCCACGTCCACGATCCGGCAGTTGGCTCTGCAGAGGAGCACACACAAACAGCTTGAGTGGCAACACTGCTTCTGTAAAAGAAACCAAACTCTTTCCAAGCCTCTACTTAGAAGCTCGCTCAATCCTTGTGTGCTGGCTCTGCGTTCTGAACGTATCTCTAGCCCTGTGTGCCTGGCTTAGGCGGGAGACTGCGTGCGCGGCCGCATTCAATATGCCAGCGTCGCTTATGAAAGACGGAAATCAAGACCACAGAAACTTCGCAAACAGCCTAGGGAAGGAGTGGCAAGAAGCACAAGGCACCAAGGACTCAAGAGAGACATGCACTTGCTGCTGCCGAGACGCTAACCTACAAAGCCACCAAGTTGAACTCAGCCCCTGATACAAGCATGCAAAACGCGTCTTGGTACCTAACTCTAACCAACACTGTATTGCCTGAAGGGGGTGCTGGACTGCTAAGAGACCATATGCGTAGTCAGTCCGTTTGGGCACGCGCAAGCGCTTCGAGGCATGCAGCTGCAAAGAAATACATCTATGCTCACGAGTCAGAATCCACAATAAACGTGTCGGCGTCCGCCTGATGAGGCCGCACGCCGTCTTCTGCAGAGGCAATCCTCAAGGCCTTTTGCAACTGTCCCTTCTTCCAACGGAGGAGCCCTCCGAACTCGGGCAGCAATCGGCTGGCATCCATGTCATACAGACTGCTGCCACCGTCCATGCTCCGACTTATTTTACCGCTGCTGCTCTGGATGTTTGGGGCCGTCGATGCTAATTGCGCTGGCACCGCGTAATCCATGCGCAGCTTTGGACCGCCGAGATGCCGCACCTCCTGCTGCTGCTGCTGCTGCTGCCGTCGCTGCTGCCCCTCAGCTGAGCCCTGCACCTGAGGCGTGTGCGACGCGGTATACTGAGAGCTCTCCAAAGGGGTTCTCTTCTCCGCAGAGGCCGCTGCATGCCGTATTTCCCGCCATCGCTGGTGCGACCAACGAGGCTGCTGCGGCTTATCTCGCTCAAGTCCTGCTGATGCGTCGTCTCCTTCGGAGTCGCTGCTGCTAGTGTCGCTGCTGCTGCTGAGCACGATTTCTTCGCCAAGCCGTACCGCTGTGGAGGCCGGCTTGTTTTTCCATTGGCGGGGTCTTGGTGCATCTCCAGTAGATGCTACTGCTGCCGCCACAGCAGCAGTGAACGTTTGCCTTCCAGGCTGTTCGCCGCAGTGAAGAGGTCTCTGCCTGGGGTCAACTTCACGCTGCCGCCTGTGCTGCGGCCGTGACTCTGCATGGGCGTAAGGGGACGCTGAATGGTGCTGCTGCAGCGCGGCTTGTTGCTGTTCTCCATGTAGAAGGTGCTGTATGTGCTCTGTCGGTGCTGGAGGAGGAGGTGGTGGTGGCGGCGGGGGGGCTGGAGGATGGACCTGCCAGGTTTGACGGCTAGAACTGGGCTGCTGCTGTCCATGTTGATGCGAGCTGCTGTATGGATCTGAGTGGTAAGGAGGACGACGGCGACCACCGAAGGGGTGACCGCGTGGCTGCTGCGCTGGAGCTCGAGTGGAAGCCCGCTGACGGCATTCGAAGGTACCGTGCCCTGAAGGCCCCCTCCGCTCCTTTGGAGTTCCCGACATTCAGCTCAGGTGGCGGATGCCCCAAGAAAACAATGTAGCGGGCTCCACCGGGCCACCAGTAAAGACTTCCCATTAAGAAGCAGAGATATTTTCTGCCATACGGTTATGGAAAAAGCTGGAAATGCGGCCGAGACTGGGGCTCATTCACGGAGGATGGTACTGTAACAAAACCGCTGCAGTAGTGGATACAAGCGGCTCTGCTCATATGATATCTTGCTCGAGACAAAAGCACCAGCAAAATTCTGGGTATAACACAGAACTCTCTAGCTAGCGGGATCTCGCGCTTAGTAAAATGGCTCACGGACGCTTCCTGGCGTCCGTGGGCCCCCCAGGGACCCCGTAACAGGCCCCTTGCGAAAGTACCATGTACGATACCTACAGATTATCTGGTTCGCAGGCTACGTGCTAAAACAACATCATGTGAATCATATGCCTAGTGGAGAACATCCTAAGGAAGGGTACAATGGCGTTTTAGATATTGCATCGACGCTGCCTTCGCGCTTTCCGATTTAGTTGCCGGTTGGGAGGTAGCGGCCTGCAGGCAGCACACTGAAAGAAACACGGGGTTAAGAATTATCCAATGTCGAAGTCATTGCCGCATTATTTTCAATATTGCTCCCTAGCCCGGGCTTCTCCAATTCATGCTCCAGGAACGGAACTCGGTGCCTCGGGCACTGCTGGGAATACGAGCTCGAACTCCTTTTAAAAGACTTTTCGGGAGTCCGTTTCTTGAACCCTCTGGTATCCTTTGAAGGGCGTATCTTGGCCCAGCTATTCTTCTGGCTCCTTGGCGTGCACAGCACGGTTCGCCCATGCAGTTGTGTATGCAGAAATACTTGTACTCCATCAGAAAAAAATCAGGCCGTGGCTTTCATAAATGACAAGATCACAGGCCTCCCACTGTGTGTAACCATATTTTCGAGATAACTGAAAAGGTATCCTCAGGCATTTAGCAAACTTTGTCCCTGCTTAATCCCCGCATTCACTGACTGCAAAACCCTAGCACGAACCACAAACACCAGATGAAGAAAACATCACGTTGTGCCACAGCAGGCACAAAGAACATGTAATGCCATTCTGGAGGTATGTATGGTTTTACGTCATGCATGTGTTTTCGTTGTGCCCCTGAATACAGCAAGCTAGGCTACATTTAACACCTTCTGCTGACTAGCTGTCTATACTAGTTATATTCAACTCAGAATCAGTAGGCGATGGACTTATTGGTTCGTCTGTTCTTGAGTTTTATTCGTTGCATAGTAGTGCTAATTTGCTACAAGAAGACGGTGCATGTGCGCTTGACGCCACGTGCAAGTACTTGGAAACAGCTTCTAGTGCGCAGAGGGTGCAGCTGCGCGTACCCTAGCTGTCTCCAAACCTATGCTGAAAATTCTGAGGAGCGCACGCAGGAGAAGGCTGGACGATTTCTTAACCACCCTCAAAAACTTTCATTGTGTCTTGAGACTTGGATAAAAGGGTGCCTTATATTCACGGCTACATCGCTCATAAGTAGGTTTCACTCAAAGTGAAATATTCACCCAACACAGTAGACCTTGGTATGAAGGCTACATAAACATTCATTGAGTGCCTTCAAAAACAGCTACGATCAAGACGGCATACTCTGTTATTGTACTAGGAGCATCAAACCGAGGGGGGCGTAGGTCACTTTAACAACACATTGGGACCTTATAGTACCATCAAAACGCAATTAATGGCATCACACATCGACGCTTCGTATGAGAAAAGCACCTTTCATCATTGTGCATTGCAACTCAATCAAATATCCGATTTGATACCTGTTCTCCGAATCAGCAACTTTTATGTTTTTAATTCCACTCAAAGCCAAATATTTTTTAACGCACTGGGATTCTGCAGCCAATAACGCAAGGGATATAATCGAATATAGATGACGCATGGCATGGACTGAAGTCTGAACTCTGAACGGCCCTCCACTGCGATTCCCTCATACTGCGCGGGCGACTCGTCCCCAACAGGCGCACCGTGGCCACCTTCGACAGCAAGGGAGGCAAGCATAATCTGAAGGAGAATCAGGATCCGGAATTCTGTGTTGGTTTTGACGAACTCTGTCGAAGTAGAAGTCAACCATGGCCACTACCTTCGACCTCGTGAGTTGTGGCAGAATAATGTCCGAAAGGAGTACCTTATGAATTAGTGCATGCGCGGCAACTGCTCCCACAATGCAATCCGCCTGCATGCGGTTGCCCAGTGGACACGGCCGCGTTGCGGCATAGGCCACAATCTCATCTGGGTTAGACATGGAGGGATGTGCCTGCATCAATATGTAGTCCACGACGTGGTCTTTTGTAACAACAACAGTAGAGTCTTCCGCGTTCGGCTCAGTGGCTCCAGGTGTATTAGGAGACACTGTGCTGGCAGTACCAGCATTTCTTTCTGTGCAAGCCCGGTGGCCATTTCGAAAATTTATGCTTTCCAAGTCCTTTTGAGTCCGTCGTGGAGCCTTTCCGCAAATGGTGGCTGAACATGGGCGATATTTGAATGACCCAACGGGCCGTCGATAAACGCCTGTTTGACCTGACTTTGTGATTGAAGGGAAGGCAAAGGACACAGTGGAATAAGAATCTGCATATTGATGGCATCTTCGGGACGACTTGTCAGAAGCACTTGCACCTTGAGTCGGTATGTAGTTTGTGTTGTTGGTGTCGCAGGTGCTGATCCCCACCGAAGTACTGTAGCCATCAGCTAAACTTTCTGTGCTCCCAATATAGGCGGATGAATCCCGGGACCGGATCACACGTGTGCTTCCAAATGCCCCCGAGCTCTGTTGCTTCGTAGGGGCGGCAGGTGATCTCTCAAGGGCACTGCAATCATCCGATTCTTGATTTGAGAACACAAGGTCGTCATCGGATAACGCATTCCTTGGCATCCATAGGTTTGCGATGTGTTCAGTTTGATACCCTGCTCTTCTGTCTGCTTTGCGAAATCTTTGCTGCGCTTTCTTTTCTGTCTTCGCATTAGCTGCATGATCTCTGTTGGCTACCACTATACAGGAATGGGAGCCACTTGATGCAAGTGGAAGGGTGCGGGCTCGCTTATCCGTTTCCGCTTGTTTTAAGCGCTTATGTTGACCAAAGGGGAGAGAAGCCATACCTCCGGACCCAGGCCAATATGCGTTGTACGGATGAATTGCGCGGATGAACCTTGTCTGCTGCCCCCGAGGCGTGGATGCAGTCACTTTCGGTGTATCAGAGGAGCGGAATCGTTGGTTTTGTATTCTATTGCTTTCTTCCAGTACGACCAGTGGCAAAGTTGAATATGCATTTGTTTGTTTTGGGGCTGGCAGCGCTGGACTAGGTTCCTGGTAACAAAAGATTGGCACGTGATTTTCATGCAATTTTACATGTTCCTGCTGATCCTTTGAAGAAGCCGATAGGTGTGAATATTCCTGAGGGCGTTGTCGTACAGTTTCAGGGGGTAGTTCCTGGCTGCTTCTGTCTGCATTGCTTACTTTATTCCAAATAATGCTTACGGGGAAAAGATGCCCGACAGTGGACTGCGGACTACCCGTACAATACCCAGCTTCATGCTGGTCTGGAAGACAGTTTGTGTTGTGGAATTCGGTGGTGCACTGCTCCAGATCTCTTCTTGTTTCTCTGACCGCCTCAGAGCCCTGTTCGTTTGTATGTCCATCGCTACCGCATTGAAAGACTTGAGACATTCGAAAATAACGCATGAACCTGCTTGCCCCCCTTAAAAAACGGAGAATCGTGGTCCTCCCAAGACGCCATAGCCCAAGAGCATTCTTAAGCTGGTTAGCCCCCCTGCGCAGGCAACAATATAGGTCGTCAAACGCCCTCCTGATGCTCAGCAGATAGCCTGAGTTCAGAGTAGGGAGAGTTGTGTTGAACCTGTCGCCCGACTCAGGGACGCGAATAGATGATTCGCAGCCGTTTTCATCTCCGCACCGCGGTGAAATTGAATTAGGGATATTGACCTTATTGCTGGCACACAGTTTCCAAGGGGTTTCGATACTCATTTTGCACGTTGGATGGGTATCAATGAATGGAGGTGTCTGATTGTAAGCTTTAGGGCCAGAAAACACAGGTGTTTTAGGCTGTTGTGGCAGCGTATCACAAGTTTTCCCAGGCCTTGCGGCAAAGGGTGAAAGAAGACCGATCGCACGCTTTGCTGACGAAGGAATTTCCTTTTTTTGAAGCAGGCTCTTAGACGTAGCTTTATTGGACAGTCCTATCACGCTACGACAAGAAGCAAACAGTTGACAGAGGCAGTAGTTTTCTTGTCTTCATGGGATAAGTTTCAGCTGATGGTGTTGGAATCGGCGCCGTTCCCTTCTTAGGAAGCTGATACACCTTTGTGTAACGCTCGAGCACATTTTGGAGTTGTTGGATCTTCTATGAACCGTTGGCCGGATATGACGTATCGCGTCCACATATAGGGCCTGGCGCTGTTTCGCCAATAAAACCAAAAGAAAAACAAAAATTAGTACACCTCAAAACGGCATTTGAATCGCAACAAACGTTGGTAAGCTTTTGGAGATCACCAGAGCAACCTCAAGACGACGCGAAAGTCCTCATGTTGCTCTCACTGATCCCCGCGTTGCCTTCATATGACTAACAGTCACGAAATTAACATACAAATAGTAATTGCGATAAATCACATTCGGGCGTGCGTGCTGTGAATAAAAGAGGACCAAAAGGACTTTGCCCTTAGCAGTACAACAGGACAGTGGCGTCCGCGCAATGTATGAAACTATGGAAATGGAGTGCGGCGTTTGGATGCACGAATACACAAGAAAAGATACAGCAAGAATGCAAACGCTACATATAATATCTATTCTTAGCTACTGGAATATTTTACTGGAAAGATCAGCCAAGGTATATACAGCATGAACGCTGCTGGCCGTAGCTCAGGAGGGACCTGGAGATACCTGCAGTGCTCAGTTGGGAATTGCCAGTCTGCCACGGAATACCACCTTGTATCCACAAAATCAACAAACTTACACATCTTTTAATCAATTAACTTTTTAAGAGGCCTCTTAATTGTCTGTTTGACCCACCAGGCTTTCTGCGAGACACCGATGCGCCATAAAACCGATACAAGACACAGGAGTGTGAATGCTCTCGCACGGACTGGCCCGGTAGGAAGCAATGGCCTTTTGCTTGCTATGATTCACTAGCGTGTTTTACTAGATGCTTGAACTATTGGGGCTAGATGAAATGCTCCTTATTTCAGTGCCCCGCAGACAATAGATGGGATACTTCCTTCGCTTGTCCGAGTGCGCGGCCGCTGCAAGGTAAAAAACAGTACATGACAAATCCAAGGCTCTTAATTGCAGGCACATAGGCGGGTTTCATACCTAAATATTGCTTCCATCCCTACTTTCGCAAGACACAGCACTCATATTGTTCACACTTTGAATAAAGCTAGGCAGTTTCACTCTTCCCATCATCCCCAATACCAGCCACTTGCTTCCAAATTAGGCAGTTGCGACGAGATTCGTGAATCTCAACAAATGTGGCTGCATCCCTTCGCAGGATCAGAAGCAAAGGCGAGCTTTAGTGTAATACCGGCGAATACTACTGTGCAAAATCTAGCGAAGAAAGGCCAGTTACAGCTCCAAAAGTGCACCGTTTACTTCTGCGATCACGTGTGCACAACTGATAAGCCTTTAATGCTAAGAATTAGTGACCTGCATGAAACGCGGGCTCTTAAGGCGTCCGTAAGGCATTTCGGAGACATTTCTTCAGGAAAGTGCCTCACTGCGAACATTAGCAAGTACTTCATTGCGCCTTAGATGCCAATGCTCTGTATTGGTTCACCTCTACAGATAGAGAACTATGTCTATCCCCTGGCACACTGGCAGCTAGTATGAAATGCTTAGTACCGGTAGTTGTTCGCCTCAGAATTCTGCAAAATGTTTACAGATCTGTCAATGAAGTTTAGCTCATTCCTCCTGCCAACGGACCAGAGTCTCCTGTAGCATTATTGGCTTTGTGAGACCATTGCCTTCTTAGAAGCATGGAACGTTGGCCGCAATTAATGTGTGGACGAATGGTTGTGGGATGTAACCCGGAAGTGCATGTTTAGTGGAAGGAATGTGCTGCTACATAATTAGATGTGAACCGGCGAGCTAAAACAAGGGATGACGGATCTACAAGTGCTAGCTGGTGGATAGCTCCCGCGTACCACGATGTAGTATCTTTATGTTATCGGGCAGGTGAGCCAACATTCACAAGGATGTGTGGCTTCTCTACAATGCAATAGTACCCAGCAGGTATTGCAAATGCTCTTTGTGATTTGAGGCCCATTGGCACGGTCAGTGCCCCAAAATATCTGGACTTCTCGAAATTTCATACCAAATACACCTGCAAGCCATACTTGAGCTGCACAGCCAGCCAAAACTACCCGCGACTGTGCGTTGGATAGCCGTTCTAGCGAGATGTTTGCCCTTGTCTAATTACAGAATTAGGTCTCTGTGGAATATGACCCTGGATAAGATCGCACAATTACCGCTGAACTGTTGAACAGAAAAGGGGAAAGCTACTCGCCTACCTATGAGTGCGTAGATCTCTATAATGAGTTTCCTATACACCAAGGTTACAGAGCGATCCACACACAGCTACCTCTATGTGCCCACTTGCATACTCCCATAGCCCAGGAACCGATAACATGTCAAACGTTCTAGCTAGCTATTCAGCTTGGATGCACCCATTAAACAAAGCTGTTAAATGCATCACGCTACAAAGATGTCTCGACTTCTTTTCAGCTTCAGCTGCAGGGACGGACGAGGTGAGAAGCCCCTCGGCACCACCGCTCAGACAGCTCTTTATGACTAGCCCACATTCAAAATCACATCATAGCTTTCTGTCCCTAAGAAGATTCACATACGGCATTGCCCTACTTCCTGGTGCCCAGGCTAGTAGGTTAGTACAATACGTGACCATCAACATACGCCGTCTTGTTATCGCTACTACGATCGCTGCCACAGCGTCTGACGCCCTCTCCTTCCATGTCTGTGTCTACTCCTTCGTCATCAAGATGAAATTCAAGGGTTACCGGCTGCTGCTGGGCTGGTGATAAGCATGTCGGCTGTGCGACGGTCGAGGAAAAACCAAGAGGGGGCACTAACGGGTGACGGCTATCTTTGCAGCTGCCAAGGTCGAGCGAACCAACACCTTCCGAAGCAACAACTCCGTCAAAGCTATCTTCCTGATCTGAGGAGCTGCGGCTGTGGCTGCAACTGCTTGCAGAGTCGGCAGGCGCCTTTGGGCCAGTGTCCCCAGAACCCTCCCAAGAGGTTTCCTCCGGCTGCTTCTGTGGCACTGTTTCCTGTACGCTCGAGAGAAGTCGTTGAACCGATTGCTGCAGCAGCAAATCTGCAAGAGGTATCATTTCTACTCTGCATGGCCGCAAGAACATGTCTGGAGTTACCGGCTCCTGTTTCGTTTCGGCGGTGTTCTGGTCGGAGCTACTCACGTTGCAGTTGCTTCCCTCTTGCTGTTGTTGCAGGTTCTCCAGTGGTGTCCTGGCCTTCAACCGCCTCCGTGATCTTTTGTTATGCTGGTGCTCAGATTTCTGCAGCAGTCGCATCTGCTTTTCCTGTTCTATTACGGGAGGTACAAGACCCACAAGGCCCATAGTGGGGTGTACATGGAGGTATTTTTGAGTTGACCTGTGGAAGAGAGGCATCACTCCGGTGTGTCGGTCCTTTGCCCTAACGATGAATACCTGTTCTGCTGCTGGCCCCTTCTGGAGCAGTAGCTGGTTCATCGCTGAATAGGGTTCTGCCCGCCGCATGTCTGCAGTGGTGCTGCTGCAGCCAAGGCCGTAGCCAATGTCATTGTTTTTGTTGCTGCTGTTTTTGGTGATAGTGCTGCCGGTGCTGCTGCTGCCGCTAGGGGAAGAACCGGCTTCGGAAGCGTCTGGAACCCGTGAGGAAACATATAGGCCCGTGGAAGGACTGGCTTCTTTGCCTGGGATCGGTGTGCCCCCTGCGTCGATACTTCGCTGATACATTAAGGCTACCAAGTCCCAGCCACTCCACAGCTTGTTCTTGCCATTGCTATCGCCTGCCCCGCCAACCATTTCCTCTTCCTCTCTGCCGGACTCCGATGTGATGGAGCTCACACAGCGGTCCTCAAGCGCACCTGCCTGAGTTTCATCCATGCTCAGGCCGTGCTGGAGGGTTTGGTCAGGAGGCAGCTCGGCGGGGTCTACCACAGAGGTAAGGCCCCAATACATTGAAATGCAAAGGGATCGCACCCAATTGTCATCTGTCAGCAAGTGACGGACACAAACCTCAAACACACCTGCGAGAGAACCCACAGCACAGTCGCAGGGCCAAAATCTAATGAAGGCACATATCAGAGCTGCGGATTGGCACACGTATACAAATGGAGGGCTCAAGACACCGGCTACTTTCAGCATAGCAGCGCAGGGTATCCGGGCCTGGGGGCCAGGGAGTACACACAACGGCATGCCGTTACTGTCGGCTTGCCCTTCACCTCGTCAGGAATTTCAAACCCTGCTTGTGCTGTCCTCTCTCACCTGCTGTCTCTTTCGAAGCCAAAATACGAGCCCCATTCATTGCGTGGCCATCTGCTGGGTCGGCCGCCAAGCTCAGACTGCTTAAGAATTTGCTGGCGCTGCTGTGGGAGTGCCGCAGGGAGTGCTGTTGCTGCAGCGGCTGCTGGACAGCGTCAAGAAAAAAGTCCGTGCCCTCAATCTTCAGGACGCAAAGAAAGGTCGAGTGCCAGAATCCTTTATCGGGTGTACTCGTGCAGTGGGTCAGCGCCACTTCGGGTGTGGGCTCCCAGTTTGCACCAGCAGCAGTCTTGCTGCATTTCCGGCTACCGTTCGCTCCACCGCGACCAAAGGACCCCAAAATATTCATTGAACGCAGAGAAGTAATAAGGGCTTTTTCGATTGCTCTGTGCTGCTGCTCCTCTTCATCGCCAGGCCCCCTTCGCTGCCAGGTTCCCGATGATGCACGGGCTGATATAACTCCATCTCCAAACCTCCGCCTCGGTGTTTTTAGAGCACTCCAGGCCAAGGGGGCCCGACACGTCAAAGGGCCCCCCGTGCGGAGGCTCCTAGAGGGGAGCCCCCTGCAGTCAGTATTCGCAGTCGCAACAGCACCGCTCACGTGACTGCCCCCTGAGCGCTGCAAAGCCTCCAAATTCAGGGGGGCCATGCCTGGAATGCCGGCTAATTTGTTTTGTTGCTTCTGGGGCAGAGGCACCGGCTTCTTGGGCTGCTTCCCTTTCTCGGGTGGATGCTGCAACGCGTTTTGCCTCTGATGCTCTTTGACCCCAACAAGACCTGCACGATCTTCGCACTTCTCTCGAAGAGCCCCCAAGTTCAATCGCGGGCCCACAGGGCCCCTTGCCGTGAGACATCCGGATGGCACGACGGTTACACAGCGGCGAGCGAGGTCCTTTCTAGGTGTCGCGCCGACGGCCTCTGCGGCTGCGGCAAGCGCGGCAGCTGGCTGCTGCTGCTGTCGCAACAAAACCTTTGACATTCTTTCATTGGCACAGCGGAAAGCCTCTTTCTGATTCCACAAATAGTCCACCTGCTGCTGGAGCTGCTGCTTTTCCAGAAGCAGCTGCTTTATAATCTCGGCGCAAGCTTCTGCATCGGCCAATACCTCCCAGTGCTTCGCATCATCTGTACTGTTGCGGCTTTCCGCTCCTCGTGGTGCCCCTGCAGAACAGGACGATGAGAAAGACTGTGCAGAACTCGGCAGCCGCAGGCGCGGCACGTTGGTCAGGCCGTTCTCCGAGCCCTGGCGCTCGTAGCGCTCTTTCAGAAATTTCACAGTTCCCGGATTCGCCCCCACTGGCGATATTGCTGGATGTGCTGCATTGAAACATAACGATCCAGCGCTTGGTAGATCTTCGCGGGAGCTGCCGCGGCTTGCTGCGAATCTTCCGTCTTTCCCATAATCTCGAGAGGATTCAGCACTGCACAGTGAGGGGCTGGTTCCGGTCGAGGCTTGCTGTTGCTGCTGGTGGTGGTCGCTGTTGGTTCCGGCAGCACCAGCCGCAGCTTCAGCGTAGGTCATGCGGCGCATCGGGAGCAGTGTTGGATCCTCACCCAAAACCTTGGGTATCGGCTCTTCTTTTCAATTCAAAAATGTGGGCGCACACGGGGAAAATTGTCTCAAGAGAGCGGTAGATCCGGAGTGCACGACCCGCTGCCTACGGCAGTGGTCGTCCGTTACCCTAGACCCGGTGGGCTTCGCCCCAAGACAGGTGCTAGAGTCAGCTTATACTACCTTTAGCAGTGATGCTTCTCCAACACATGTGCTGGACGCAACAAGAGGATGCGAGTTAGCGGTTCTTTGCATTTAGTCCCCCTGCATGCCCTTGCCTGCGGCTGTACGGGGAAGGCCGCTGGTACCACCCAACTCGGATGAAGCAGATGCATAAGCACGACAAGGGGGATCACATGTGCTTGTAATTTTCCGTTATTTCCCATGGAAACTCAAAGACATCAGGCGAAAACTCAGCGACAGAAGTAGAGAATCCAAGGCATGCAGCTGTGTGCCGGTTGAGTTCCGCCGGACAACGGGAAGCCAAGGCGGCAATGATGTACGCTTTTCATCGTTTTCCCGCGTTCAAAAGTGCAGTTGTATCTTTGATTCTCAGCAAGTGTTTTATGTTAACATGGTTGAATAAAACTCTAGTCGTGGATCGGACCAGTTATAAAGGCGCCAAGCTACAAGACCGCTTTGGAGCAACCAATACAGTGGCGCTCTCATCCCCACAAGAAAGCTCCAAAACACACATACTGAAGTACGCTCTTCTCATAGGTCCGTGAGACGGCAAGTATATGCTAGCATGGGGATTTAGTGCTGCCTATTTGCCCCGTCTTGCGAACCTGTTCAACACAGGGCATCGGGCTAACGGCCAGAGCATTGCACGGCGGCAAAAAGGCACCCAAAAGGACTCTAGCTATTCCATGCTGGCTTCTTCCGTTTACATACTGCCTCTGTGCATGCTATATGCATCTATCACCTTTGTATGCTGTCCCCTAGCACTCCAAACTACAGCTTATGTAGCTCTCCATCTATGGTCTCTAGACTCTATGCAAACTTACTAGAAATTTATTAAGTACTTACACAGAAAGCTTCTTCATTATACTGCCAGCGGCCTTTGGAGTTTCAACACGAGGGGAGAGGGCCAGCTAGGCTGCGTTGTGCAGCAATTCTAGCACTCCGAGTTTCACAGCTACTTGCATGCTGCTGCTAGTGCAAACGCATTCAACAACGCGTCTTCTTGTATGGGGGTATCAGTACTCTAAGAAATTAAGGTACAATAACAGACAAATCAAACAGTCAATGCTCACCCGTTTATGGTTAAATACAAAACCAGTACAGAAGAAATTGTTGGTGTAGCTTAGCCCGCTACATCTGAACACTTTCTTTTCGTTAAACTTGATTAAGATTTTGAAAAGGATTAGCTATTTAGTATGGCTAGTAGGATATACCCTTTGTTTGTTAGCGCCATACAACAAAAACCAATGTTGTTGGCCTGTGCCCTTGTTGGGGTGTGCAACCAGCTGTGAATGCCTCGCCTACATAGTTGGTGCATCAACACGCATTCCAGCTGACCCTCTTTCCCCGAGACGTAATAATGAGGGGAAGTGGCGCTTTGGAAGACCAGGTGATATCTACTATCAAGTCATTCAATGGGCTTGAGGTTCAGTGTTCCCCTGTGGCATCTTTATATGAAGCCCTACAGAGCACGCTCTTTGGAATATAGCGGTGTTCTGCGGTCCCCCTTCAAAGCCCGCAAGTCACATCAAAGCTAATTAAAATATTGTTTAATAATCTTCTCTAAGAGGCTACGCCTCTATTCGCCTTCCTTCTAGACGGCTCGGCTGAAGCAAAAGAAGATAGCTGACGTGACGTTACTGCACCCTCTGGGCATTTCTGACAATAATCACCAAGTTCCATATAGCAATTCAGCACCCAGGAGTACAGCGTTGTGACGTCATTAATAAACGCTCTGTGCGGCACGTAGAACCTTGGAGCAGTCAAACCGATGAGCCAATTCGGTGTTAGCTTATTCGATAAACAGCCGCTTTAATACAATGTGCTGAACTGTAGCTCGACCCTCTGCTGGGATGCTTAGGGCTACTGAGAATTTTCTGTAGGTGTTACTGGTGCGTGGGACACGCTAGCGGCCGCTGCTGGCAATCAGTCATACAGCTTCTCACATGTACTTCACAAGGGCATAGTGATCTACTGTTTGCTCTGTTCAGATGACGTCATCCTAGTCATGACCACACAGAACAGATTATCAAGAGGAAGAATTACTATGCGCAGACACTTCTGAATGGGTGTTAAGATGCTAGAAAGACAGCGTCTTATGATGCGTGCCGTATCAACGGTTCATCAAAACAGGGCTTGATCGGAGTTAGATGCCACAGGGCAGACGAAGCAAGGTGGGCTTTCAAAAGCCGATGCCTCAAGATACTACAGTCTTAGAAAGTTCTGTCAAATTCGCATATAGTTGACATCATCAATGTAACAGCTCCTGACTTAGTGTAAAGGCTAAGCAGATCTAGCTGGGAACCGATAAGGCTAAAGAGGAAGCACTTCCAGTGAGGAGCGTGCAAATTAGACCACTTAGTTGCCGTGCATCTGCTATAGCATGATTGGTTCTGCAGCCTTGGCAAGGCTCGAGGGAACCCACTGCAATAATGGTGTGCATCCAAAAACTGGGCAAAAATACATTTAGCTAGATCATCTACAAATTTAGATCCGAAAAGTGCGAAGCTTTAAATAACCTGCGTAAAATGAGGCTCAATCGTTCAAGAAGAAAGCAATGTGAACACTTGCTCTGAAGGGGTAATTCTGGAGGATATACAGGCAAAAAGCAGTGATTGGACAATAATAAATGCTGCTTTCAAGAGTCGTTCAGTCTAGGCTGACTGAGTTTCACCGAATATATTCGCTCAATGTTGACTTTAAGGCTCCAAACGTACCGAGAGTTTGGCGAATGCATGAGCCTTTCTACAGTAGGCGGCTGCATCTTCGTTTTAGTATCCCAATACCCCAGGCCGTCCATTAAGCATGAACTTCACACTTACCAAACTCTTTGACACTTCATCAACCCAGCCAAGGGGCAATCGAGTCAGCACTACTGCAGCCACTGGCACATGCGTCTGTAGAATCCAATGCGATCTCCATGGGTTATTCGTTGTCATCTTCGCATGGTCTTTCCTGCACATAAAGCCGAAGAAGACCACCCAAACTGATCTGGTTCTCGTACGAGTCGTCTACTTAACTCGGGAAAATAAGTTACCCCCTTACCTTGAGGCATCAACAAGGGAAGGCTTCCCCTAATATCCCGATGGATTTTCCGTGACTATCGCACGAACTCTCTCACAGCCGAAAAGGCAGCCTATATCCAGCTGCATACGGCCCCTTGTGGAGCCGTTCTGACAGCTCCACTGCCTATTGCGTTTTCAGCCCACCTTAGCTGCTGTGTTTCACGTTTTATTTTGCGGAACAAATGCGACTAAACAGCAGCTTTGCCTTTGATTCGCGGACATGTGGACCCATAAAAAAGTACTCATCAGGCTAGGCCAAAAGCTAGTTTGTCACGTGAAGATACTGAAGAGGCCCATGTGAAAATCCGGATTGGTCGCTCACACCAAGTTTAGAGGCAGGTTGGCACATCGCCCCAAAAGGCCAAATCACCAGAACAACAAAGTGCGGAACAGGATTAAATTTTCGTAAGGTCATCGATGAAGCAGGAACAGTTAGACATGAGGGATATGCTACTTTCAACATGTTAAGCCCCACTCTTGCAAGATACACGAAACCAAGAAGAGACAAAATTAGGTGAAAGGCCCAGAAACCAGCAAGACCATGCTAGCAAGGCACCTGCAGATTCTTCAAGGCGCACTGAACAAGGCATTGTGAGATCTGTGAAACTCTCTAAGTTCTTCAGAAAGCCTGCAAAAGGAGAGCCGTAAGAATGAGTCACCAGCTGCCTTCGGCGCAAAACTAAAGCCTACTTCTGCAATCTTAGCTCCCACGTAGTTGACTACATAGGCACGCTATGTATATGGTGACTGTTTGTAATAGACAAGCGCCCCATAGATTTCGGAATTTCGTACAGAGTGCTCGCTCTGCATATCAGCGGCTGCGGATCATGCCCTTTAGGTGACTTTCAGGATACTTTGCATCCAAATGAAGCCTAGCAGTTCTACAAGCTAGGCGTGTAGGAGCTAATTTTACATAAATGATTTTATCTTCTGCGCTCTGGTACCAGGTCCTGCAGTTTTGCTTAATCCTGGATAACTGCCTTACGTCTCCAGTACAACCCTGTTCGGAAGCCTTAACAGGCTTCGCTCTAACCAGCTGTAATGCCCAAAACCATACTAGAAGGAAGGTGATACGTATGGATCTGTGGCGTAAAAGATATTGCAGCAACTGCCTCCAGGTAAGTGTTGTGTCCAGTTGTTCCCTGCTAATACTATGGCCATGTAGGGTACACGTCCTGAATGTGCTCTACTCGAAATCTGCCGCGCGCTTTCAGCAAACTCGCTGTACCCTATAGACAAGGGCACAAGCCTGGCACTACGCTCTTCTTCATCAATCGTCATCTAAGCGTAAACGAAAACAGAAGGGCCCTCCTCATAAAATGCTCTTGCCATAGGGTAAATATGTAGTCGGGAACCAAAGATCCCAAATTGCTTCATGCTTAAAGCAGCTCTGAACTACTCATAAGCTACCTATGGACTATTTGAATTAGCCTGTGGTGTCTGGCCATACAACAGTGCGCAGGGTTCCTGAACTCGCTATTCTGCATCAAAGTGCTTTTGGAGTTCAGAATATGCCCTGGAAAGTTCCTTGGAGAAATCCTCTCTGCCTATGCTCACCATATATGATGTGTGACGTCACCGAGGTGGTAAAGTACAGCAATATCCTGCTACTTCTGTTTTTGTTCTTTGCCCGGTTCTGTGGACAATTCCGTGAACAAGCTACAGAAACCCAACAGGACTACAGGGGATACATGTTCGTTTCCCCTGACTAGTCGTAGACCTGTTAGAGGC